AGTGGTGGATACAAGCCTAGCATAGGGATACTCCCTACAACGTGCAGGTAAGTTTATCTAATATCAGTCAATTATTTGGTTCATATCTATCTCTCGTTTGCTAGCCGCTGCGAAGCTCAAACGTGGACGAGAATCATCTGTTGAGATTGTCTCCGACACGGAATCCAAACCTTCCGCCAAAAAAATGAAAGGTGTGTAATATTTCACAAGTTGTCCTGTCACTCACTCATTGTTCTAGCAGGCATCACGGTGAAGCAGGAGGACTTACTAGTGTCAGATTTCCGAGCACGGAGTGTTTTTTACGCAGCCTCACAGCCTAACAAACGTTCGTTCATCTTTAAACTTTTTCTCTCTCGCTCACTCACTCACAATTTAGTTTTTCTAGAAAGCTCCAATGCAGACATCGATGAACTTCCCAATGTTATTCGACAGTTGTCTCTAGTGCCAGAGACCCCGGTGCGAAAGGACACCCTCCCCTCCGGCTCTTTTTTCAGCGCGCAGGCTGGGTCAAGCCATCAGGCATCAAATTTCGGCACCGCTGATTTACTATCTAGACAATTCCTTCTTCGTCATGTCTCCAAGCCACTTGACTTTGTAGAGCCCCGACCATCTGATATCTTCTTGCGTGGTGTCCTCGACCCTGATAGTCCATCTGCCCCTCCTCGTATTAATCCTTGGTCTGAAGATTATTTATAGGTGATGTGAATATTGCCGTCTAACACTCTGTGCCCTACTGCTATCTACTTAGTATCCTTTTAATCTCGAAGCTTCCCTTGTCTATCTATACCTTGCTACCCTGACCTGCTACCTGACCAAAATCCTCCCGCTATGATACACTACCTTAATCTTACACCCATTATACACCGTGACTGTTAGTATCTCACAATGTCCTTGATGTCATAAACACGACACTTGTAGGCTGTGTGGCACTTTGGTGCCCTGTATCGCGCATTCGGTCGTTGTGTATCGCGCAATCGATGTTGTGTATCGCGCACTCGATATCGTATCGCGCATTCGGTTGTGTATCGCGCACTCGATGTTGTGTGTCGCGCAGTTTATTAAAGTGGGGTTTGGAGCGTCATACATACGCGCGACGCGCGAGTATAACATGTACACAATCGCACAATTTTTGATCATCTAGATGAGTGTCTGACAACAGCATGTCGATATGGGTCCCGCCGCAGGTGTTCATCATATCTAGTGATCAAACTCCAACCAGAAGGATGTGGATGGGGATGAAAACGACGATTTCACGTTCAAACCATCTCGACCATATCCTACCAATGTGTTGCCGTCCACATCAAGTCCGGTTGACATTCCGATGTTACCAGTGCACTCACTGATGCCCCTCCTCAACACCTACTGAGACATTGTGCCCCCAACCGCAAAATGGCATGAGGCTTGTTTGAATTCTAACCTGCACTGTAGACAGTCTATAGACAGTATAGCAATAATTGGATTGCACTATAGCAGTAAGACCGGGGATTCATTGTGGTGGGAGACAGCGGAAGAAGCATAAGTGAAGGGCACGAAAATAGCAACCATATATTGTACGAGTTCTGTGTAGAATGTCCGTAGATGTTTCCAAGACGCGCCCTAAGAGAGCATTATCGTGAAAACAGGACAGCCTGCGGTTCCCGGCACTTGTGCCATGACGTGCCATGCGCGAGACTACTTAAATCAAACTGCGAGGCATGATTCAAGGGTATCACCAGCGTGTTGCCTGGGGTATACATCACTGGGTGAAAGTTGAGTGGGATCCCGAGGAGAAGCCGTCCGTCAGGGCCTACAACCCAGCCTTCACCGTTTGGAGCAAGAGAAGCTGCTAGTGGGGTGGAGGAACATGGGAGGAAGGATGAGGCGGAATGAAGAGCATATGTTGGGTTGGGGGAAAAACAAATTGGTGGCGCTTTCAAGGGTTGGTCCCGGTTGAGAAATTTTAGATCCCACACCCGAATGGTCCGGTCATATGAACCAGACACGATGCAGTTGCCATCGGGAGAAATTGCGACAGACATAACAGAATCGGTGTGTCCTCCCAGAGGGGCACTCAATGGCTTTGCAGTCTCCATATCCCAGACTCGGATGGTCTTGTCATCTGAACCAGAGAAAATGTGTTTCCCATCCTGCGAGATTGCGATAGACCGAACAGCTCCAGTGTGGCCTCGGAGCGAGCCACCGAATGTTTCGCGAGTCTTGATATCCCACACTCGGATGGTCGTGTCATCTGACCCAGACACAATGTGTTGCCCATTCAACGAGATTGCAACAGACCAAACCCTGTCAGCCTCTTGGAGAGGGGCACCGGATGCCTCGCCAGTCTCTATATCCCATACCCGGATTGACCTGTCGCATGAACTAGACACAATGCAATTTCCAATGGGTGAGATTGCGACAGACGTGATATAGGAAGTGTGACCTCGGAGAGGGGCACCTGATGGCTCTCCAGTTTCTATATTCCATACCCGAACTGTGCAATCATCTGAACCAGATATGATGTGTTTCCCATCCCGCGAGATCATGACAGACTGAACCCAGTCAGTGTGGCCTTGCAGAGGGGCGCCTGATGCCTCTCCAGTTTCTAACTCCCACACCCGGATTGTCGTGTCTTCTGAACCAGATACAATGTGATGCCCATCCGACGAGATTGCAACTGACTGAACAGAGCCAGTGTGCCCTTGGAGAGGGGTACCCAATGCCTCGCCAGTTCGCAAATCCCACACCCGAACATTCTTGTCGGATGAGCCAGACACGATTCGATGTCCATCCGGCGAGATTGAAACAGAGTTGATGGAGTTAGTGTGGCCTTGGAGAGCGGCACCCAATGCTCCGCCAGTACTTGTGTCCGCATTCCACACCCGAATTCTCTTGTCGTGTGAGCCGGACACTATGCGATTTCCATCCGGGGAGATTGCGACTGACGTAACAGAGCTAGTGTGTCCTTGGAGAGGGGCACCTAACGCCTCGCCAGTCTCCCCATGCCACACGCGGATTGTCTGGTCCCATGAACCAGACACGATGCGATCGCCATCCGATGAGATTGCGATAGATGAAATGGAGTCAGTGTGGCCTTGGAAAGGGGCACCTAATGCCGTGCCAGTCTCCATATCCCACACTCGGATGGTCTTATCATGAGAGCCAGATATAATGCGAGTACCATCAGGTGAGATTGCGACAGAGTTGACATACTCAGTGTGGCCTTGGAGAGGGGGACCCGACGCCTCGCGAGTCCCCATATCCCACACCCGGATTGTCTTGTCCCATGAATCAGACACGATGCGCTTTCCATCCAGCGAGATTGCGACACACTCAACAGACTCAGTGTGCCCTTCTAGGGGTGCACCCATTGGCTCGCCAGCCTCTGCATCCCACACCCGAACCGTCCCGTCATATGAACCAGACACGATGTGTTTCGCATCGCGTGAGACTGCGACAGACTGAACCCGGCCAGTATGCCCTCGGAGAGGGGCACCCAATGCCTTGCCAGTCGCTGCATCCCACACCCGAACTGTCATGTCATATGAACCTGACACGATGCGATTTCCATCCGGGGAGAATGCAACAGATGTAACACATCCAGTGTGGCCTTTGAGAGCGAAGCTCAATGCCTCTCCAGTCTCCGTGTCCCACACCTGGATCGTTCTGTCACTTAAACCACCGACGATGCGTTTTCCGTCTGGCGACATTGCAACCGAGAAAACCATGCCACGCCCATGGAGTATCTTTTCCATCTGAGGCCACTTTACGACATGGCCAGCAACGATGCGGGGCGTGCAAGGGAACTTTGCGGCGAACTTGCGAAATATCATCGACTGCGTTGGAGCGAATGGCAGAGCGGACAAATATAAATGTGGAGTGCTGTGTAGAATGGTGGGTGCGAATGTTCGAACGAAACGCAGGGTGTCCCTGGCAGCCTCGCCGGTATGGGTATACTGGGTATGGCCCTATAATTACTACGCGTAAGAATCTAGTGAGTCTAAGAATGAGCTCGAACTACGCACCACAAACCAGTCTGCGATGGACAAGAGGCACACCACCGAGCCGCCGACACTTTTCATCAGAGACAGTGCCTCCAACCACCAAAGGAGGCGCTCTCCGTCGAAGAGAGCTTCGATTTCCTTAGCGAGTGATGGTTCAAAAGATGTGGCTGCCACATGCGTCCCCCAGAATCGACACGAGTATGATAGCTCGGCCGATATGGACACCTTCACTCGTCTCTCCAAGTCAGCGACAGCGGAATTGGCCAGGTAAGAACTTTCCAAGGAGCAGATGTTGAATCGAAGCCCGCGCTCCATGACCCGGAGCGAGGCCAAGGCAAGATCGCTCTGTACCGATGAGATGTCGACGAAAAAGTCGTGGCTCCGTGACTCATCTGTGAGGAAGTCATAGAAAGATGCGTGGAGGGGGCGTATGGAAGTTTGAGAATCTGTGGTCCCGGTGAGAAGCGAGCTCAGTGGCCGAATAACCCGCTCCAATTTGTAACGGCCGCGCCCATCAGGAAAATCCCGACGAATCGCGTTCAACGCAGCGACGGGAAGCGGTTCCAATGATGCGAGGATTTGCCCCATAACAGACCGAAATATGGGGATGGCTTTCTCGCGCTGACCCTCTGGCATGGTGTCTGCCAAGATCAGTCTATACATGGCATCCAACAGAGGTGTTCCTTTTTCAGATGCAGTTCCGATTACAGCTTCGAAAAGGTCCATCAGATCTGGGCCCACTGTGTTCGTGTCACTTATATACTCGCAGGCAAGACGAGCCCATTCGAACAGGCCATCAGATTTCTCGGCGAGCGTCTTGAAGTGCGCATCATTAAATATATGACGCAGATCTTCCAGTCTGTTTGAGATATACAACTGGATATCTTGCTCTGTCGTCACGGGCGAGATATCGTCCAAGGAGACTATGGCGAACATGCGATGCGGTGTGCAGGACGTTATTGATATCTTCCAGTGGGCGGGACGTGACGAGAATACGGAAGTTGTCAGGGAGTTTGGAAGAGGTGTTCAGTTTGCCAGCGAGCAGACGAAGAATTTGTTCTCGGGAGGCCTTCTTGCCACTCTCGTCCAATGCCTCGATGACTATCAGCACGGGAGTAGTGATGGCTTTGGAGGCCTTCCCGACTGGTCCAATGACTAGCTCCTGCCATTGCCTTGCGATGTCTGTGGTATCCTTGAGTTCGTTGCGATCGTGAATCGCACGCGCCAGCGTTCGCCGCACGGTAGGATCACATCTGGCCAAATCGCGAGCGATCGTGGTGAATATTTTCTCGTGGCGAAAGTCAGCTCCTCGTGTGCGATCGAAGCAGAAGAAGGCTCCTAGACCCCCCTGCTCACTAGACCAGTTGGCTATTGTATGAGCGATAGCTGATTTGCCTTTCCCTGCAGTGCCGGACAACCAGAAGATGGACGGCACGTCCTTCTCCGTGCTACAGATCCAGGACTTGATCTCGGACAGAATGTCCTCCCGAGTGCCTGGGAGACAACGTTTGGAAGTATTGAAACCAGCACCATCAGCACACATCATCCCGCTGAGGTCCAGATCCTCCCCTAGGCAACGCGTCGTCGAACGTCAGCGAACATTCAGAGTGAATTGGAGTCAACTCTTACCGGCACGGTGAATGATTGTCACAGCGTCACGAATCGCTTGATCTCTGAACTGCTGCATGAGACTATCCAGAGCCTCGCTGAAGCTCTGAATCTTGGCATCTGTTTCGCTGACGATGTTTTTGCCAAGTCTTACCCCTGCGCGAAGAGACAATGTTGAGTGACAGGCGATGCAGTAGTGCGATCGACTCACAGGCGCTCTTTGTCTCAGAGTAATGGGTGATGAAATCGGCGCATTCCAGCGTCTGTCGCGCTATCTTTCCGTATATCGCTACCATCGATTCAATTTTGGCCAATGCTTCATCTTGCGTCATGAAAGCATAGATCTCTGACATCTTCTGGAGCAGACTAGACACAGCAGCATCGCGGTCTGCCTGAGCGATGATCATCTGTCACTAGATATCAATAACCTGCGAAGGTGAGAATATGGAAGCAAGAGCACCTTCGACGCGAAGGTGAATATGCTCAACGCCACCTTTGCATAGGGATGGACCTAAGTAACAAGGTCAGTCGGTTACAAAATCGAGATAGACGCTCGTACATCTGCAAGCCCATCAGCGACGGAGTTGAACAACTTCAGTGGTCCAAGAATCACGGAGAACGTGTCAATGGTATTTGGGATGGATTGTAGGTTGTCGGATGGTGAAGCTATATTTTGGGCCATTCCTGGGACATTTTTCATGCCTTCCATATTTTTGGAGGCATCAGCGATTTTTTCATCTACAAACTTCGGGTTAAGTTGTTCGGCCTGATGACGGAACTTAGTACATTATCGAAAGATAGATAAGAGCGTCCGATCTACAACAGTGGAACTTACGTTCGCAGCGCGGGCATCAGAAGCCTGTTCGGGAGTGGGTGCCACGGTGAGCGTTGAATGATCCTGCCCCAGCAGTAAGCAATGATGATCGGATACAGGATATGCCCAGAGTCGATATTGCACCTACCTGAGTTGTCTGAGTGGTTATGGGATCCTGTGCCCCGGAACTTGCAGCCGCGGGTTCAGGGATCGGAGACTGTCGAGCGCTTCGAGTGGAACGGTTGGTCACCTTGCCCAATAAATTGCGTACCGATCCTGGAGGTTTTGTGCGAGATTCATCCCCTGAAGGGGGGAGAGAGGAGACCTAGAAAGTCATGATTAAACACAACGAATAGACGTAAGCTCAATATTGAATACCTCAAATTCGCTGTCTCCACTCTGCGCTGGCAAATGAGGGTTTGAGTGGCTTCGCGGGCCCAGCAATCGCGAAAGCCGTTTCTTCATAACTGAGACTGAGTCTAAAGAGGTTTCTAGGTGAAAGAGGACGTGGATGGGACGTAAGGTCGACAAGCGCCCACCCGCAGAAGATATTTACATAAGTAATGATGGAAGCGCTTATCACTTATCATGCAATTATTGGGGGCCGAACTTCAAGCTTCATCGATTGGCATGGTTGAAACATTGAAGACAGATTGGTCAGTACTGGTGTTCTGCATATCACAGGCTGCCCGGTAGCGAGGTCCACGGATTGCCTGCCTTTGTTTGCCAGCGTGCAATGTGCATGCCTGGTTAGACGTGCGCCGAATACACTGACTTCTTCCACAACCCCTTATCCCATGACCCAACCTATTAATTAACCCGGGCGAACCGCTACTACGCCAAGTCTAGATACATCCAGTTTGGCATCCTCGGCCTCACCTACTTCCGCCATTTCCCATCAGCGGCGCACCAAATACTACATCCAATCCTGCACAACTGGAATTGCGAGCCGTCTTTTGCTATGTCACCAATCACATACAACATCGGTTCCACAAATCAATCAGTCTATTTATCCGCGTATTTGTCTCCCCCACCAATACTCCGACTGCTGTTTACATATCCTCTGTCATTAAACTTGAAGAATGTGTATGTGATCGGGATGGCAGGGATTGAGGAAGAAGGTATCTCTTTCATCGGGGGAACAGTATGCAAATAGTCCTTCGTGCACCCCGCCCACCACTCATCCATCCATAGACAACCAGGACCTAGCAGACTGCACCCTCGATCCATTCTCATCATCAAACTTCACACTTGACCCAGATGTTCAAGCCGTACTTTGTGGCTCAGACCTCAGCGTAAAGTATACCAAGCTATCAAAAACTTTCCAATACCTCACACGAAACCCCGGCTGCCAATTCTCGGTCACAAATGAAGACAGCACATTCCCGAGCGCGGATGATCGCTTGCCTGGAGCTGGAGCCATCAGCGCTCCATTACGCTTGTGCTGGAGAAGGATCCGATAAGTATCGGAAAACCCGCAAAGACGATGTTGGATTGTATTCAAGCCAAGTAAGTGGTCACCCCATCTAGCTTGTGGTGCTTTTCATCAATGCGCTTTTTGACAGGGTGAAATTCGATCCGAAACGCACGATAATGGTCGGAGATCGCTTGAACACTGATATTTTATTCGGACAAGCTGGAGGTCTTGCGACGCTCCTTGTTCTGACGGGTGCGTATTCAAAGTCAATAATCAATACTTGGCATGAACATTGTGTCCTCAGGCATCACATCGAAGCAAGATATCACCGGCCCACATGCTTCACCAATAGTACCCGACTACGTCACCCAGTCTATCGGAGAACTTCGCATCCTCGATGGAAAATAGTTTTAGTCTTCTCCCGTGCATAGAAGGGGCTAGTCCTCAGAAGAGTGGATTAATTAGATATCTAGAGCTACAATTTGAATAGAAGGAATTAGCGCTAATGTCACGCCTGCCTGAGGATGAAGAGTCGCACAGTGGCGGGAATGCAGGGGAGTCATCGAGCATGGGAAATGGTCCGTCGAGCTCGAATATTTCAATTGTTATCGACGACTAGCTACCTTGAAGTAATTAACTGCTATTTAACCCCATTAACCCCAGTTATTTCGTAGTTAATTCAATCCAGGACTCACCAGTTATAACCTGTTTAGTTATGACCCGGGTTAGTAACAACACTGGTCACTCACCCCGATTTTTGATCTCAGCGCTCATCGGCAAAAGAACTAACCACGAACATCCGCTGCACAACCCTTCCTACTGCCTCTCACATATACTCATGACCTCGCTCCAGCGCCTCCTAATAATTACCACCATGAATGATAGAATATATGGAATCGTTAGAATTCTGACATCATGTATTCCCTCCCTCTCTATGTATCGTTGTGCCACAGGGAGACGACATGATCAGCAAAATATGTAACCCAAGACTTCGGGGTGAGGAACTGATGAGTGACAACGCTGCATCAACATCATGCCGTCAAGGTGGATAGCTTGAGTCGTGGGGCAAGGCCGCAAGGACCATTATCCCCTTGCAGAGGCCAAGCACGCGAAGAAATGAAGTTATAGCAGCGCTTGGCACTAAAATAAAACCAGGAAGTACATGGGGTACTCATCTAGGACACGATGCGACACGCATGGTCGTTTCCTGGTAGGGGTGTAAGATTTTCGCTAGCTTGATGCCTATTGTAAGATTACCTGACCTATGCCAGAAATGGTTAGTCGTGCCGAGGTCGGACCCAGTTGTTCTGCCGGTCACCGTTACAGGCGCTACATAGTATTTCCTCAGACTCGTAATATCGTGAGGTTATAGAACTCACCAGTGGTATTCATCTTTACAACAGCAAATCTTTCTCTTTGCGTTCACTTCCTGCTTCACAGACAGCACTCAGATGGTAGCAACCGATCTACCACGATCCCTGATTCTACCACCTGGACACTCGAAACTTCTTGGATGTGATATCCTGGAATGCAATATGAAGACCAGACAGGGCCGCCTGGTCGAGTCATACTAACTTTTTTCGAATAGGGGGCGAGTGAGCTGGTAGACACGCGCGTCATCAAGACAGGTCAAACACAATAAAACATAGCATGCTATGCAACTAACCAGACATTTTTGATACCCTTGTACCTTCTGCATCGGCGCATCTCAACCAAGGAAACACCAGACAAGGTCAGCCAAAACGCACTCAATTGCATAAACATATCTATCGAGGGTGGGTTCTCCCCAGCTAACAAGCTCCCCGGGTGCACGAGAAGCAAGCACAGAGGAACACGGGAGGTCTATACCTGAAGGTGAATATGAAACTGCGGTACAACTGTGACCATCATGATAGTGCAGCTACGCACCTTGATCTTTGAGACGAACCTGCCAGATTCCAGAGGGTAAAATTTGTCGGACGTATTGAGCCTCGTTAGCGTATTATAGGACGCCACAGATAAATAATATGTCCCTTATAACTTCACATGGGAAAGGAAGTTGTCCTTCCGAGTTGCATGATTTATGGAAATTTTCGAAGGTGATCAGATGAAGACGCCTAGTGGTACACATAGAACCGACTGACCATGAGCGAACAACATCCATGAATTCTTGCATTGGTTGAGCACGCGGTCAATATGCGCCCCTCGACCCTCGGGCGGCGTGAAGCGTCCTATTATGGTTGTGTCTACGCGGAGCTTACTTCAGCATAAAATAAAGCATCAAGCGGACTTTCAAACTATTTCTCTCATCAACCAGCTCGAAAGCCACGAATGCTCGTCACGCACAGGGTTGCTCCATGCACCCAAATTTCTGAGCGGGTTAAGGTCTGAGTATTCCAATCCCCCCCGATAGGCTCTAGCAGAGCCCAGCTGTAATCAGCTGTACGACGTTCCAGCAAAACAGCTTTCGTTTCTCCTATCCCGAAGATTCTGCTTATGGCAGAGGAGGGCGAGAATGAAGGCTTTGAAAACGTCGCGGGGATCGGGCGAACTTGTGTCTGTTGTTTAGCAGCCAGTCATCGCTATCGCGTGTGCGCCTGTGAAGAAGGCGCTTAAGATGATTACACAGTACGTGACGAGGAATAATTCAAGTTCGCTATTGCGTTAGTAGCTTGACTGAGTGCAGGCCACCATAAAACTATGGCGTGAATATGTGGTTACCAGTATTGATAGCCTGCCACTGCGGGTAACAATCTGACGAGTGCTGCTTATGTTGCCACTGTTGGTAGTCTGGCTCAGTTGCGGGGCACTGACGAGCTGTGGCGAGCATATATTCTGTCCCACGGTCAGAGTAATCATGAACTGCCTCTATGACTCGGAGGCCAATACCTCCTTGCGTAAGGGGCGAGAGGCTAACTACCTCTGCGTATGAGGCGCGGTTGGTTGCATCATTATGCGATGGGACTGGTTTGCCCTTGAGCTCGCTTCGTGGCTCGCGTATCCTTCGTGGATCGTGAAACTCGATTCAGACTACTCTCGGACTGGTTCTCTTGAATTTTTTCCTTGCTGAACTCCTTTGTGGAGTGTCGTCTTTTCGCGAAGTTTTCATTTGTGCTTGTTATCTGTGTATCGATATGTGGGCATTGCTTAAAGAAGGTAGTGTCCTAGTCAGTAAATATTGGTGATAAATGTGTTGATTCAGGTTGAGATAGACAATGTGCATGCTACGCGCTGTAATCCGCGCTGTTTGCGGGATAAGTTCGCTCCGTCTCCCTCCTGCTAGCATTCCAATAATATATGGCGTCCCACTGTCGGTTATTAGACATACCATCTCCGTCTATGTTGCTGGGCTCGACGGAAATCGCGACCCATATATGTTATTGCAAGTGTTGTGAACCGGTACTCCTTACTGATTTTTCAGCCCACATACTGGCATTATATCCAACTTACGAGGCTTAAGCTTACGACTCGGACTACTGGGGCTGCAGTACTGTTTATATTTTCAAATCAACATCATATCTAGGTCTTCGAGATGCAAGGGGCCCATTACTCCAGCGGCAGGGAAATTTGACCAAGTGCAACAACCCAGCAATCAACTATGTAAAGGTTGCTCCATGAATGCCCGCCAATGCGAAGGCAGGACATCGACTCACCCTTGTGACATGCGAGCTCCCTGCTATCTTGAGGGTCCTTCTACATTAGAAAAGGGAGAGGCAACGCAAGACGTATAGCCATCATTGTCAATCTATCACAAGGCGCAAGGCTCAGAAGGGGATGCAAAGCAAACTACTCATACTCACGGCACACATATATCCAGAGCAGCAGCCTGGCAAACCGAAGCCGCAAACGCCGCCAACCTCGGCGCATTGTGAATCCCTGCTGAAAACAGCTGGTGTCGCACTGACAGACATAGATGCTGTCAAAGCAGCCACGACGGCGAGAAAGGAGAAACGCATTAGATGTACGAGGAGATGTGGGATCTATTAGACAGGTTCTCGATTAACTCTGAGGTAGTGCGTGGTAGGGAAGACGGCAGTCTGACGGCTGGCTTTTTATGTTCTGAAAACATGCTGGGAATGAACCATGGATGGCGTAATAGTTATTCTTCATCGGCTCGGTGACTGGTCGGGTCCGATTAGACAGCCTATGCAACGTTCGGCTCCATCTAGTGAAGAGAAATGGAACCTAACAATACAATAATCAATGACATACTTGGTCCAACTTACGATGTCGAATGTTTTGCTAGCCGCAAACCACAATAAATCTGCGCAAGAAACTGATACAGTAACAAATATAACTGACCTGCAATACTGCATGACGTCCCCCCGATGCCGTTGTTTGCACGATGGAGTAGCGTTACAAATGGTCCCTGCGGTTCAACTTGGCTAGCTGCAAATGGCATCAGTTGAGACGCTGACGTCTTAATGCAAAGATATCCCAAATCGCTTACTTCAGATGAGTAAGAACTTTGCAAAATAGTAATGCGATATGATTCGTTAAGACGCTGTCGCCTGGTCAACCGACCGCCAAGTTCCTCGATATTCGCATCGTGCGACATGGTTGAAACGTCACCTCAATATCGTATCTTACTCTTGCTAGGAAGAGAATGTAGGTACATCTGACATCTACGAGAGATCGCCGCTGTTCAAAGTCGGGCAGCTTTGGTACAGTGCAAACGTCATTCGACCGCATGTGCTTGAAATGAAGTGGTTGAAGTACCCACAGACGAACGGATGATACTGATAGCATGTTGCACACACGAGCAAGTAGGGAACATGCTGCGTAGTATTTAGGTGGTCAAGCAACCGCTGAGACCAAGGATGCTGACGCTCTTCGTCAGATGTGGTACGTGGTGCCTTGAATCGTGTCCTCAGCAGACAACGTTATTCTGGACATCCGTTGATCAAACATCGACCCATGATGGAAGGCCGATACTGTTTTTCTGTATCAGAAAGGTGGATATAGAATTGCGCAAGCACGGTACCGTCAGTGGGACCCACCCCGATTTTTGAGATGATGGAAAACGTTGGAGATGCAAATTTTAAAAGACATATTGTATCCCACAGTCCACTATAGCTAGTAGAGAGGACTACTTGACCAGGAGACAATATGTCCTTTACAACTTCATGAAGTAATAATACTCCACCAACGCTTCAGCGCCCCAGTTGCTGCGTAGTTCATGGACTCTCGATTGGATGCACTATGAGCATTGCAATCGGACTTTGAAACTATTTTTCTCCATGGTTGCGGTATTCGAACCCCAGAAGGTGTGACAGGCTCAGCATCAGTGTTGCCGAATGCAAACAAAGCGGAGACTCAACCAAGCCGAGAGTATGATTTCCCAATCTAGCCTGACCGTCATTGTGGTGGACATAGAAACACCTGGAGTAGATTCAGAATGGTGTATTTCATATATGTTGAAGTTCCTATGTTTATAGGTTAATGGGATCTGGGTGGATCTTGGATTTAGTGTCCAAAAATCACTCATTTTGGGTACACTCGCACAATGTTTCATCTCGGGGGGGCTTATTTTAAATATTTGATTTGCTGATGTGCAAATGCATCTATGTTTGGACTCATCTTGAGAGACACTTGAAATCAGAGCGATACTTTTGGGATAGTTCAGGGACACTGTCCCCTAAGTACCTCCCCACCAATGAGAGCGCACGTTTATGGCTGAAGAAAACTTCAAATGTGAACGTAAACTAGGCCGTCTCTCAGATGTGGTTGTAAGGTAGTGTATGCACGACAACGAGTAAAGTTAGATGAGTTGTATCAACAGTGGAAGCTATGTAGCGCATTAATTTGTTGGTGAGGGTGCATTGCAATGATCAAACTCGTCCATAATGGATCGCGGGAGAACACGATGGTCGCGAAATTTCTTACTGCCCATGCAGCCTGTGTACTATTAATCAATAAATCTTGCAAACCGCATGGCGAAGCTGAAAATTGGACGATCGACGATCAAAATATTGATGCCCACCATGCCTTGAGGCCTGCACCACGACGCTTTCGCGAGCGCGGCTGGTCTACCATGAGCTCTACAGGTGATGCTCTCGGCATCACGGCACCTCTTGCATTCGGAGTCGACAGACTGCTAGGAAGGCAAATTTACAGAATCACAGTTAACTCACTCATATCTTCACTTCTGCTGATTCGGAAAATATCAACGTCTGCGCGAAGGCGTTTTCTATGCTCTGATATTACAGATTTTGTCCTTGTTTCCTTGTTGAATAGTTAACTTCTGTTTTGTGTTTTGTCACTCAATGTAACGCTTTGTCACGTGACGTTCGTCGAATCCACAAATCCTCTACCTTACACGTATGCGTCGTCGAGAGCCCAGTGAAAATAAGCCAATCCTCATAGGCAAACAGGTCCAATTTTTGCCTGTCATCCCTCGCGAGGAGTCTACCCAGATCATCTGTCCACCCCCGTCTTCCCCCCAGCCAGCGTAGACGAGCACGCTGACACTCCCCCCGCCCAAGTTATCTCTCCAAGCGAGTCAGACCCGCTACCGAAAGCCACCGTATCTGAGGAGACAGACATCAATGCAGAGCTCCATTGGATCGGCCAACACTGCGCTCTCGAGGAGAAGGAGGACTGGGTTGCTCGCAGTACTGGTGGTTCTGCTTTGATACAATGTACTGTGCGTGTGTCTGCAGCCGTGACCCTTGACACCGCCGGGCTTCTGACACCTCTCACTCTGCTCCCCGCTCCTGCTCCTGTCTACTCCTGCCTGATCTGACCTGCTGGAACGTCCCGCTGGAACGTCCCGCCGGAACGTCCCGTGACACCATACAGCCACAATAGACAGCCAGCGCATTCCGTGATGGTCTCCATTGCGCAAGCACCCCTCCTAACTTCTCCAAGGCCCGTATATTTTTGGTTCATGGAACTCGATTCTGACTCGTTGCCGAAAGGCATCGCACCTGAGGAGTCGAAGCAGAGATACAGCCACCAAAAATAGCCAACAGACTCGCCTATTCCACGTTGTGCTTATCGTTGCAGGCATTACTCAGTGTCGTGGCTTGTTACTCTCGTCGACGGCCCCCCTTTAGTCAACGCCATCCCTCCGTTTAACCAAGCCCTGGATCAGTACATCCCACACAACTTATTGGTGCGGGAGACCAGTCTATCAGCACTAATTACAGGACTTATGTGGGAGTCACGGACTTTCACGAGCGCCTTGCATCGATTTTGGCGCACTGCGACCTTATCTCACACCGCCTTACATCAAATCTGGCATAGTAACAGCGCTTTCTTCTTATGATGCGATGCGTTGCCCACTACACCTTCATCTTATGGTGCCCTACATCGAATCTAGCCTAGCGCGACCTCAGCATTATGATGGCTCCATTGAATCTGGCCTACTGCGACCTCATCTCACGATGGCTTGCAACGAATACTGCGGACTCTTATGATGGTTTGCATGGAATCTTGCCTACTGTTGTGTTGCATTGAACTGCGGACTCCTATTATGATTATCGGCGTTGAATATGGCCTACTGCGGACTCATCTTATGAGATCTAGCAGCGTGTAAGGCTCTTTGAAGGCACTGAGCACCCTCGGCTACTGAAATCTTGTGGCCGACGGCAAAAACATGTTCTTATTTTCGGTGAGGCAGGTATGAGCACGATCATACGATAACTTAGTGTGCGGTATGTACTTATATAACATGCCATTCAGCTCTTGAATGTCATCAGTTCCCTCCAATCCTCCCGTATAATCATGCTACAATTGCCTGACCTGCGCATTTTTGACAACACCCAGCTCATCCTTGGTGCTGCAGCTTGTCTTGGGGTAGTAGGAGTGATCCTTAAGGCTTACCTTTCTAAGTCAGGGAGCCGTCTTCCTCTTCCACCTTCCCCTCCCACTCGGAGATTTTGGGGGCACGACGTACCCATTGAGAAGTAAAGTTTCACCATTGCAGTCGTTACTTTCAATGCTAATTGCCTCCGATAAGCCCATGTCTTACTGTAGGAAAATGGATTGACGAGTACGGTCCTCTAGTCACCATTCGCGTAGGACCTCATAAAATGGTCATCATCGGCCGTTACAATGTTAGTCCCTGCAAACTGAGTTATCGTATCCGACTCTAAATCGTGTTGCAGGCCGCGGTGGATATCATGGAGAAGCATGGCAGCTCGCTAGCTGATCGCCCTCGCCTCGTTGCTGCTGGAGACATCCTTACTGGTGGGATGTCTATCATATTGACACATGTCGGGAACAGGTTGCGTCGGATGCGTAGGTTCGTTTGTAGCCCGCGATACTCTACGAATGGGCCTTCTCTTACTGTGCAATGTTGCAGAGTACTTCATTCGCATCTCCAGCCTAGAGCAGCTGCAGAATATCAGCCCCTGCAGATGTTACACGCAAAATCTACTGTCCTCAACATTCTTAAAGATCCATTACAATTTCCAGCAGCATGCCGGAACGTAAGCGCTGCTCTAGATTCGGGTTATCATGGTACATTACTTACAGGTACTTTGAAGTTATGCTGCCACAGTCATTATGAAAGTTGCGTATGGGAAGAACACGCCCACGGCTGCAAGCGATCCCGAAATCGAACAGATTCGCGAGCACATACAATTCCTTGGTAGCCTCTTGCGCCGCCCTGGTTCTTACTGGGCAGACTTCATACCGTGGCTTCAATACATTCCTTCGTACGGCCGAGAGTTGAAACAGAGGTTCATGAGGAACAAGCAGCTTTACACCAGTCAGCTGAACCGCGTGAAGCAGCAAATAGTACGCATTACCTTGCCAATCTTCAACGTGATATCTGAATTGTTCTACGGCAGAGCAATGTGGACGCTGGCCCTTCGTTCGGAAGACATATGCTAGAAAATGCTCAAGACCACGGTTTGCCAGAGATGGATATGGCTTTTCTTGCTGGATCTTTCTTCGCAGCTGGATCTGATACGGTGAGGTGTCTTGTGTGGTTGATTCCGAAGATATGTGGCTGACACAAGACATTAGACTACTTTGGCAATATGCACGGCGCTCATGGCAGCCGCACGTTTCCCCGACGAGCAAGCTAAAGTACAGGCCGAGATTGATGCGGTTGTAGGAAGGGAGCGAGGTAGCTTTCTTCATATCGCAAGTTTATACATTTGAAGGATGTCCCCACTTACAGCACCGACCTTCACTGACTTTGAATCCCTTCCTCATCTGCATGCCTTCGTCATTGAGGCTTTAAGATGGAGGCCGCTAATTCCCAGTGGTAGGTATCTCCATTGTCAATTCTGTGCTTGAAGTTCACAATGTTCAACGTTAGGAGTGGCCCACCGAGCAACTGAGGATGTGATTTGGGCAAGTACTTTTGAACTACTTTTTGTGCAGATGATAATTTGGCATCAGGGAGACTATTGTATTCCAGCTGGGACTATTGTTTTTGGTAATCATTGGTAAGAATCGTCCTTCAAGAGAATAACGAGGGACTGACGGTTACTGCCTCAGGTCCATCTCTCGAGACCCAGACGTCTTCCCCGAGCCGGAATCGTTCAATCCTGAGCGCTGGATTACCGATCCAAGGTCTGATGAGGGACGATATCAAACAATTCTTTACCTACGGGTTTGGTCGGCGGTAAGCAACCGTCCTTCATGATATTCTTTTAACTGACTGTGTTCCAAGTGTATGCCCCGGTCAACATATTGCGAACAGGTAACGGTTTCCTTCTACGCACATGATCCTCCGAGTTCATTTCGGCTGCCACAGATCGGTGTTCATAAACTTGCTCCTTATTTTGTGGGCCTTTGAGCTGACTCTGAATCCTAAAAAACCACTGGATGACATGGGGTTCATGAGGGGAGAATCCCATCCGGGTATTATTGACTTTAAGGCGAAGTTTCCAGACGCAGAGATTAAGCGCATGCTGCGGGCTTCTTCTGATGTCGCGGGAGAAGACATCGACACCTAGAGATCTGCTGGTCCTCTACAGTGCGTTAGAAGCACAAGGCAGCACCTCCGAATTAACCTCGGACATTGTTTGATCGTGAATCTATGTAGAAGTTGTACAGTTCTGTCCGTCCTTCTCGTTCGCAGTTTTCGTTCTGTTCATATGCAGTGCCCACTTTGTCCGTTAGTTGTCGGTACTTATATTTATTCATGAACTATATCTTTGACAATACTAGAAGCTACTGCTTGGGATTCAACTAAGTAGGTTAAAGAGAGAGACTGGAAGACTAGGAATATCGCAAGCTCTGCCGACGCGTCGCGTTCGCATCCCGATTTCAATTGTGCATTGCTGGCAGATTCAGTTCCAACGGATCATCCATCTGGCGCCAGAGATGAATGAAAAGTACCTATCTATGCCGCTAGGCCCTTGCGATCGGACATTGAACGAGACCTCGCGCGTTTCCCGTCTTGATGAATATGATATATATCTTTTTTAAGACTTGGACTACGAGACGGATGTTATTGACTATTGGGTGACTATCCGTAGGCTAAATAATGCAGAATAGATTATGACGGACTGGTGTCGGCACTGCTCAACTCGTGCTCTGGCCGGTCGCAGCTATACGTGACTGTGCAGTCTGCTGATACAAATTTTAAAATTTCAGCTGAATTTTTTACCAGGGAGCTCAGGGATTGGACCGCCTAGTTGTTCCTGTATATTGCAAGAGGTTGGGACGAGGCAGCGACTATCGCTATGCTGAAGATGAGTAAGGCGGGGACCTTCAATGGTAGATTAGTCAGCGGATAGCTCAGGCGTAGTGGCCCAAAACGGATATAATCTGTCAATTCTAATCGGATTAATCTGTAAGGGCCCCCCCCCCCAAATTCGACCCAAATGAACAGCGGCATCGCGGCACGACTTCCTTAAATGGTATTTTTAATTCTATTTTATTCTATCCCGCAATATTTGGGCCTACGGATAGTCACCCATTAACTGCACGAACACTTCAGCGATAAACTACGATTTGGACGTGTGCGTCTGTAGACTGCGCTGGATACCCTCCTCATACTCATCCCTCTAGCTCAGGTGCTCGACTTATGATACTTTTTGATTTTCAAGTTTATGACTCGAACCACTAGGGCTGCAGTACTTCAGTCACACCCATGTCATGTTCTCAAGTCAATATAGTCAATATCATATCGAGTCTTCGAGGTATTCTATTCGAGGGTCTCCATTGCTCAAGCGGCAGTGAAATTTGTCCAAGGGTTACAGCCCAGCAATCAACTATGTCAGAATTGCTCCATGAACGACATTGCCAATATGAAGGTAAGGACATGACTCACACGTGCGAGCTCGAGGGTCCTTCTCAACTGGAGATTCAATAGGCGCGGCAAGACATTGAGCCAGATTTGTCTTCCTATTATATGGAACAAAGGGTGAGTCAAAGGTATGCAAAGCAAACTAGTCATACCCACGTCACAAAAATATCCATCACAGCACTCCTGGTCAATCGAGCCGCAATCGCCGCCTCTCCCAACGCATTGAGAGTCTCTGCTGAAAACAGCTGGTGTTGCACTGACAGACAGAGATGCTGTCAACGCAGCCACGACAGCGAGGAAGAGGAAACACATTAGTTGTATGAAGTGATATAGGGGATCTGTCAGACAGGTTCTTGAATGATTCTCAGTCTGACGTAGTGCATGCTCGGGAAGACGGCTGGCTTTTATGTCTTGAAAACCTCATTAACCGTTCTGGGAATGAACAATAGTGGGGTAATGGTGGTAATAGTGATCGTCCATTGACTCGATGACCAGGCAGCCTGCAGGAGACATCAACAAATGGATGGGTATTACGAACCTGTGATTAAAGTGGAAACTCACTAACAGTGGACTAGGACTGGATTGGCGTCATTCATTGAGACAATTCGGATCCGATTATTAGCTCGCAACGTCCAGCGGTTCTAGCTGGTGAGGAGAAATGGAGCCTAACAGCATATGGGTAGACAACTAATGTGATGCTTGCCATTACACACGTAGTTGGTGGAACGCAGGTAGCGCCCACTAGCCGCAAATCACAATGATGTTGTGTTGCAAATCAAGCGTAAATGAAGACTGGCATCGCAGCTGTCTTCCTAATGCGATTTGTGATATTCTATTCTACATTTCTCAAGCCCACGGCAAGTCATCCACTCAAGCTGGGACCAGACAGTGAATTAAGAAAAACAAGTGAAAAAAAGGCCGCTCAATTTTGAAAAGAAGTAAAAACCATCGAAAAGTCCAAAAAAGTCTGATTAAGTAAGTTGAGGTTTTACTGATGGCCTGTAAACTCCGGTGCGCATGAACATCCGACTATATCTGACGTCGACAATACATTTGACTGGGCTCACATGGGTTCAATAGCAAATTATGCATCGACTATAAAAAGTTCCTGTGCTTCCGTTTGGAATGACGCGCCATATATCGTCCGGTATGATTTGCCCTTGAGTACTCTCTTATTAATCGGATGCATTGAGCACAGTACCTGAGCGGTATCACTTTTGCTTGCTTCAGTCGTACGGAGATTGATCAATTGATGATTGCAAAGTTTATCCAAGACTGGCCGCTTATAGCTTCAAGTATCAATGCTATTCCGGGCAATATCAATAGGGGACCTTTGACCCATGAACCGTGTGTAGTCACTGGTAGAGCCCCTTGCATAGAAATCAGACATGTTGTCTCCGTCCTCAGAGATCACCTTGGGGCTCGACCATAATTGAGACCCAGACACGTCATTGTAAGGGTTGTGAACTAGTACTCCTCTAACATACATACTAATCCTTTCAGCCATCGTGATGGTATTATGTTCAACTTGCGAAGTTTTTTTTCTGATTTACAAGCTTATGGCTCAGACCACTGGGGTTGCATTACTTCGGTCAATCATAAGTCATGTTTTCTGGTCAATACCATATCGAGTCCTCGAAAGATGTTCTATTTAAGAATTCACATTGCTCCAGTGGCAGTAAAATTTGTCCAAGGGCGAGAACCCAGCAATCAACTATGTGGGAATTGCTCCATGAATGACATTACCAAAAGTGAAGGCAGGACTTACATGCGAGCTCATCGGTATCTTGAGGGTCCTTCTCAATCGGTGTTTTTCAGGGGTACTGTGCAAGCACTGGTCAAAACATTGGGCATCTATCACAAGGCAGAGGGTTAGTCAAGGGGATGCAAAATAAAATACCCATACCGTGATACAATCATATCCAGAGCAGCACTCATTGCTGGCGTCGCACATTTTGCCAATACCAAGACATTGCGAGTCCGTGCTGAAAACAGCTGGCGTCACACTGACAAACATGGATGCCGTCAAAGCAGACACAACGGCGAGGAAGAAATGCATTGCTTGTACGAGGTAATACGGGATCTGTCAGACAGGTTCTTGAATAATTCTGAGGTGAAGGTGGCTGGCTTTTATGTCCTGAAAGCCTCATTGACCATTCAGAGAATGGTATGACAATGATTGTTCGTCAGCTCTGTCACGGGTAGGAGCACTGACAGATATAGTGCTGCCGCAGTCCGGTTCTGAACTTCAGTTCGGACCTGAACACTTCCGAACCGGACCATGGGTTCAGTCCGGGGTTTGGCATTTTGGCAGGACCGAACCCATTGTTAGGTTCGGGGTTCAGCCGCTGCCGGCGAATTGCGAACGCGTTCTGACCCATTCGAACTCGTTCGAACCCGTCCAAACTGAGTGAGGATATTATTACTTCTGTATATGATCCTCGACGTCCTTATTACTACTGATAAGCTTTTGATTATTTCCTCTGATCTTCTGGCAACTTCTGGCAACAAGCATGGCCATTGTCAGTCCTGGCCCTGGGTACATTGATCTCGGGATGATCAATAGCGCCTCTTACTTCACGACCAATGCCACATCCGACTTAGTCAGTAATCTACTCAATGTTTCGGTCTTCAATGTTTCGGTCTTCGTCAGTAATCTACTCAATGTTTTGGTAAGCTCAACGTTCATCGTGATTCCCATTGTAATGTATTTTATGTCTAGAATATATCTTCGAGATTCTCATCCATCATCCTAATTGCATGGCAACGGTATGTTCAAGGTGCGCCATATATTTGATCTTATATCTTATATCACAAATTTTCGTATAAACGATCTATTGATCTCATATCACAAATTTTCGTATAAATGATCTAATCTACTCTAGGTACAATATTCACCCTTCCCACTGTGAGAATGTTGTGCGCACTTGGATCCGATGGGCAACTGAAAGATGCTAGTGCCATTGATTGGTACAATGATCCCGACGATGACTCACCTATGCTCGCTCCACCTCCACCTCCTGCATCTAATGGCAAGCTAACTGCCTTTGTCTCTCATCACTCAGGTCGGGCTGTTAAGCCAACGGAGAAAATCCATGAGGCCATCAACACAGCTCCAGCCGCTCCTCAAGGCCAGCCTGCACCCAAGCGAGTGCAAGCTGGCCGTCTGGTCCATCATCACAATGATGATGATGATGATGATGAGCATTCAAGCTCTCGGTGGATGAGTGGACGAAGTTGCAATTAATGCGTGACGTGCTTCAGGTGCGTGCGAGTTTCTGTCTTTGTTTTTGTGCTAACTGTTCTACTACTTAACAAGGAGCCTGCAAATGCCCAACAATCTTTTTCTGCAACTCGTGAGCCTACCATATGGCATACTATTCCGGTCCTCGAATTTCTTCAAGAGACTTGGCAAAACATGGCCAATTGTTCAAAGTTTGATGACTTCTCAATTGCCATCAACTCAGGCCTCGATAATCTTCGCAAATGGTACCACAAGATCGACGAAAGCGACGTCTACTTTATTTGCCTCGGTGTGTGTTACATTTACTATATATAATGTCCCTTCTAATGTACCCCATCATCCTAGCACTTGACCCCAACTATAAGGTTGCGTACGCGAAGAGTAAATGGGAGCGTCGTGACTTTGACGCAGGTATGAAATGCCTGCAAAAAGTTGTAAGTCCATGTCTGTCTCGTGTTCAGTTGCAAGTGCGCTAATTTTACATAGTTTGACAAATATTATCACCGTACTTCCAGTTCCTCACCTGATACAGGGCAAGCAGTTGCTGTTCCTTCATTGCTTGCTTGTCAAGGGTCATATGGCCACAGTTGGATGCGTGATGCCGTCAAATCTCGTGTTGTCGATGATACTGCGAGTCGAAGGCCTCGCCAAGAGCTCGATGATTATCTTGCTGCACCGCTAGAGGACGTTGATAATGTAGTGGCGTGGTGGGGTGTAAGTTTAGTTATTTTTATTGCTATTTCTCAGTTGACAATATTCCTAGCATCATTCAGTTCAATATCCCACCATTTCCCGCATCGCAAAAGACTATCTTGCCGTTCAGGGCTCGGTCGTTGCATCTGAACGAGCCTTTTCAAGTGGTGGCATCACTGGAACCACACGCCGAAACTGCTTGTTGCCAACGACATTTGAGGCCCTACAACTGTTAAAGAGTGCGTATTGTCAAGGTCACATATCTGCAACGGCACAAGCCGAGTTTGCTGCTGCTCGTGAATACCCTGCCATGGATATTGTGTAGTTACTCATTTGTGTCAAATTTTTGATGTAATTGTTGCAGTTTTTTTTGAAATTGATATGTTGCGTTCAAGCGTTCGAACGCGTTCTGAACTCGAACCGAACGCTTGTGAACGCGTTCACAAGGGTCCGGTCCAGCGTTCGCCCTCCTTGCCTGAACCGGACCATGGGTCCGGTTCGGGGTTCGCATTTAGAGGCCTAAGAACTGGACCGAACCGGACTTCGGCAGCACTAGACAGATATCGAAGCTGTCAAAGTAGCTACGACGTCGGACAGGTTCTTGAATAACTCTGAGGGGAAAACGGCTGGCATCAGCAAGTGGATAGATTTAAACGGCATCATGTTACAAAAGTGCAAGCTCAGTGACAGTCATACATACTGTGGGGCTGTTCGGGTCCGGATGGGCAGCTGCCTGTCTCACAAAGGTTGAAACTTTGTTGCCTCAATATCTAATTTTGTCTCCATCTCGCTAGAAAGAGAACGTAGGTATGTCTGCCATCTCCGAGAGATCGCGATTCCCCCAAAATGACTGTTGAGCATTGGTTGAGCAGCTTTATAATGCGTGCATTGCAAACGTCGTTCCGTGATCAAATGAGAAATCTGCCCGCTGTGGCGCGTGAAATTTTCCAAGGGCAATAGCCCAGCAACCGACTATGTAAAAAATGCTCTATGAATGACATCACCAATGCGAAGCCAGGGACATGACTTACTCTCGCGACGTGCGAGCTCCTCGCTACCGTGAGGGGTCTTCTCCATTCAAGGTTGCCGGGTCGGCGCAAAACGGGTAGGTCTGGCCGCCAACATCGTCAACCTATTACAAGGCGCAAAGGGTGTGTCGATGGGATGCAAAGTAAACTACTGATACATCGGAACAAACATATCCAGGGCAGCACATTTTTTTGTAAAAGCTACCACATGGTTTGTCCCACGTCAAGGCATTGCAAGTCCCTGCTGATATGGCACTGACAGACATAGGTGCTGTCAAAGCAGTTACGACGGCGAGGACGATGAAACGCATTAGTTGGACGGAGATGGGATCTGTCGGACCCTCAATACTCAATTTTATCTTACTCTCGGAAGAGAACGTAGGTACGTCTGACATCTCCGAGACGAGATCGCGATTTCCCTGGAATGGCCACAGCTATTGACAGTTGAGCAGCTTTGATGCATTGCGAACGTCATTTCGGCCGTGTCCGCTTGAAATTAAATGAACGAAATCGGCTCACAGCGATACGCAAATGATGTTGTTCACATATTACACGAGTGGCTGCTTTCTTATGCGCGTGAATTTATACGGGACATGATGCATGATGCCTCCAGTTATGCGCCTCCTCTATAACTGGAGACAATTTGTCTCTTGTAAACTTTGCGCTTCCACCACCTTCCATCATCTCAAATATCGAGGTGCGTTGCGCCGTCACTCGTGCTTCTGAATGGCAATATTCACCTTTCCGACAGTCGATGTTCGGTCGATGCCCATAGTCACGTCCTTTACCTGTCAGGACATGATTTTCCGGCGAGGTCTCAAGCCGCCGCACGGCGCGTACCACATCCGACGAAGAGCGTCGGCGTCTTTGTCTAGGCTGTCACCCAACTACGCAAATACTACGAAGAAAAAGGGTTCACGAAAGATTCTGGCTCTTGAACATGAAGATGAGCGGCTAGGCCATGCGGACTTCTGTGGGACTGGTTCTTTTGAACTTTTTTCTTCTCGAACTCCTTTGTCTTTTTGCAAAGGATTGGTGGTTGATATACATGGATCAGCATGTGGATGTTGTTCAAGGAAAGGAGTCCTTCAAGTTGCGCAGGATGCCATTCAAAATCGTCTTCTTGATCTATGACTGAAAATTTAGAGGACTCTTCAGGTGCAGCGTCCACCGAAACACGATCAAATCCATCCAGTAGTGTCTAGGCATGATTAGACAATATTAATGCACGAATCGGGAGGCCGGATACAGTTGTTAAGCATACCAAATGCCACTAGTACGAAGCGCGGTATTAATTTCCGATCAATGTCTTTTGAGGTCATCTTCATTGCGAAGCCAACATACGACCGGACTGTCCCCTGGCTTATCATCGTCAGGACGTGAGGGGAAACCGTTTTGCAGGGAACATGCCCCTCCTACGATTGAACCACTTTCTTCAAACCAAATTGAGGCGAGTGTATGTACTCACGAAAATTCTCGATTTAAAAGATGTGATGAGGCAGTTCGTCCGGACAGCATTGCTCCGCGCGATCACGATAAGCCGATCCAAGGAGACCGTGTTGTATTGAACACCGGGCTGCTTCTTGTACTTATCCTTTCAGCTGACGTGCTGGCATTATGTCCGACTTGCGAGGCTCCTTTATTCCAAAGATTCGGTCACTCATATGCCATGTTTTCAAGTCGATATCATATCAAGTCTTCGAGATGTTCTATTCAAGAATTTCCACTGCTCAAGCGACAGTGGAATTTGTCCAAGGGCAGCAATCCAGCAATCAACTAGGTAAGAATTGTTCCATGAACGACATCATTAATGTAAAGGCAGGGACCTGACTCACTCTTGTGACGTGAGCTTCTCGGAATTTCAGTTCCCGTCGGTTAAGGGGGCCAACAAGTCTACCAACAAGTTTGTCACGTCGTCGGTCACGCAATACATTCCGCCATTATCACCGTCCTATTAGAAGGCACAAAGGGATGAGTCAAGGGGATGCAATACGAACTGATACTCACGTCACACAAAAATCCAGGGCAACACTGTAGGCTATTACTGCATTCTTGGTGAGCGCTAGCACATTGCAAGTGCCTGCTCAAAACAGCTAGTATTGCACTGACAAACATGGATGCTGTCAAAATAGCCACGACAGCAAGGAAGAAGAAACGCATTAGATGTATGAAGTGATATGGGATCTGTGGGACAGGTTCTCGAATAAATCTGAGATGGTGTATGGTAGGGAAGACGGCTGGCTTTTAAGTCCTGAAAACCTCGTTGATCATTCTAGGAATGGCGTGATTATGATTGTTCGTCGGCTCCGTGACTGGCAGGAGCACTGACAGACGTCGATGCTGTCAAAGCAGCTGCGACTGCGAGGAAGAAGAAACGCATTGGTCGGACGACATGATAAAGGATCTGTCGGACAGGTTCTCGAATAACTCTGAGGGGAAGACGGCTGGTATCAACAAATGGATAGATTTTAACGGAATCACGAACCTGTTACCAGAACGCGAGCTCACTGACAGTGACACTCAAGTATTGGGACTTGGATTGGAATTATTCAATCATTGAGGCTGTTCGGGTCCGACCAGGCAGCTGCCTATGCTCACAACAGTAGAAACTTTGTACCTTGCTATCCAATCTCATCTTACTCTCGTTAAAAATAGGAGATAGATACGTCTGACATCTCCGAGAAATAGCGATTGACCCGAATGACCGCTGTTCAAAGTCGATCAGCTTTGCTGATTTCAAACGTCGTTCAGCCGCGTGTAAATGACGAAATTTGCCCGCAGTGATGCACTGCTCACAAGTTGCACGAGAAAGTAGGGAATATGCTGCGTGGCATGTGCTTGGTCGAGCGACCGCTGAGACCGAGACGCCGACACTATTCTTCAGATGGGGCACGTAGCGATTTGAGACTCCACCCTTAAATCGTGTCCTGAGCAGGTAGAGAACGTCATTCTGGACATCGATTGAACATCAGCCATCATAAAAGTGAACAGGGAGCTTCGGAAGCACGAGTCACCGCGGTACGCACCTCAATCTTTGAGATGATGGAAAGCGGTGGAAGCGCAAATTTTCAGAGACAAATTGTGTCTAATAGTGGAACGCGTAGGGTCCAAGTGCTTCACTATGAGAGACAATATGTCCCTTATAACTTCGTGTGCATAACAGCTGCTGATCAGAGTTCATGAATGATTTTGACTCTGGGGGTCCGGGGACCTGCCGCTTACGGTTTACATGAATAAAGAGCGGACTTTGAAACTATTCTTCTCCTCAACCAGTTCAAAAGCCACGGCTGCTCATCACGCGCGTGTGCCTGTTATGCGGGCGCCATGTTTTACTAGGTACCCACGACTGTTGAAGTTGAAGGTAGTGGTGGACTCACCTGACCTCGGTGAGCTGCCACCTCCGTTGAGCGTCAATGCTAGACCGCTGCCAGGGTAATCATGCACTACTGTTGAGTATGTTCGTCTCCTCGCGTATAAAACCCGAGTAATCATGCGGTATCGTTTAGTATGTTCGGAGGTCTAAGGTCTCCCTGCATATCAGTTGCAAGAGGCTAACACTTCGTTGCGTATGAGGCGCGACTGATTGTTGCTATGCGATGGTGCAGGTTCGTCTTTGAGTTCACTTCGTGGCTCGCGTATCTTTTGTGGATCGTGAAACTCGATTCAGACTACTCTTAGACTGGTTCTTGCAATTTTTTTCCTTTGTGGAGTGTTGTCTTTTCGCGAAGGATATGTGCTTGTTATCAGGCCAACTGCGGACGTGGCTCGGGGAGAGTAATTGGCAACCTTCTACGAGCAACATCTGTATGGGAGATAAATGGATTGACTGGATATGTATGCTTCTTCCTACTCCGTCCCTCCTCCGCCCTCCTTCCAACATGCCAATAAATTCTGTGTGACTCTCCCTTAATTAACTAGAATAGAATGCGCAATGATAGAAACTATGTGGGCTATGTATCAATGTTGGATCGACAGAACTGGAAGCTTGACCAATGACAGCCCAGTGAAAATCGGAATCGTTGTTCTAAGTGGAGCTCTATTAAAGGCCGCCTTTGCTTATCTTGCCCGAGGAATCGGAGGCCGTGGTTTTTGCATGCAGTGGACCTATGCTAAAATTGTCGGTATAGTTTTAGACTGATGATGTGATTTAGGGCAGAAAGCAGCACAGCCACCTGTAAGTTTGAGGCAGTTGGACAAGCAACGAGGACGTTCTCTCTCACTTGCAAGTTCATCGTGTGCGACAGCGACCAAGCCAGGTCAATAATATGGCTACCCGGGTTTCCATTCTGACTACGAGCGAGCTAGACAGACATTCTAGCTTGGTCTCGTCTTCAGCCGCATCTTTCGTAACCGCCCAGACTTCCCAGACTTCCCCGACGTCTACAATCTGCCCGACTCCGATTCTGACAGACATGGATCATACTCACACACAGATTCATATAGTGGAACTAACCCGGGACGCTGTGCACCTCCGCCCGCCCAAGCCTTTGCCTGTCATCCCCCGCGAGGACTCAATTCAGACAGTCGGTCCACCCCCGCCTTCACCCCCAGCAAGCGTAGACGAGCCGTCCCACTCCCCAGGTTCAATCCGCTTTTCCAAATCAGAACCGCTCCCGAAAGGCATTACAACCGAGGAGACTGACGTCGATGTAGAGCTAGATACAGCAACCATAAACAGTCAACGCACACGCACATTTCACGACAGCCTCCAACGCGCATCCACAGAGACAAAATTCTCAGCCAGGGTCACTAGAATCTCCCAGACTAGCAGCAACGCACCCACCGCAAGCTCCTCCAAGACCCAACATCCAGACGGTCTCCTCCACCCACCAGCTCCCCGTCTCACACGCCGCAACACAACAGGCTCTGCTCGCCGTGTTCCTCCTCCATCCATTTACGTAGCAACAGGCGAATTGGAGGATGACATCCAGATACAAGCAGAGCAAATTCGCCGCGAAAGAAAGCGAAAACAAGCTGCAGAAGTTGCAGCAGCAGCAGCTGTTCAAGTGTCTCAGAAACAAGACGAGCATCCCTTGGTGGGCAACTTGATAGGGGAGGACCACGCAAACTACGTCCTTATGTACAACATGCTCACCGGCATTAGAATAGCTGTGCATAGCAATTCTCTCTTTATGTGCCGCAGCCTCTGACTCCACACAGGTCTCACGATGCCAGGCAAAGATCAAACGACCCCTGACCGACCAGGATTTCACCGCGAGGCATAAATACTCTTTCGATATGTACGTACTCCCCACTTTTCTTTACTCCCAACTCACATCCTCCCAGCGTCGGGAACGAACTGACTCCCTCTGCGAAATACGATTTTAAATTCAAGGATTATGCCCCATGGGTCTTCCGCGAGCTGCGCGAAGACCACTTCTCTCTAGACCCCGCAGACTACCTCCTCTCCCTAACCTCCAAATACATCCTCTCTGAACTAACCTCCCCAGGAAAGAGCGGCTCCTTCTTCTATTTCTCCCGTGATTACCGATTCATCATCAAGACCATCCGACACGCAGAGCACAAGTTCCTCCTCCGCATTCTTCCGAAATACTGGGAACACGTAAAAGCGAACCCGCATACGCTACTCAGTCGGTTTTATGGTCTTCATCGTGTGAAGCTCCCTAGGGGACGAAAGATCCATTTCGTGATCATGAATAATTTGTTTCCGCCTCATAAAGATATTCATGAGACGTATGATCTCAAGGGGAGTACTGTCGGGCGTCTGCTCCCCCAACCGAAACTGGAGCAGAATCCACGTGCTGTCCAAAAGGATCTGAATTGGATTGATAGTGATAGGGTGTTGGAGCTTGGCCCGGAGAAGAGGGCGCTGTTGACAGAGCAGTTGAGGAGGGATAGCGAGATGTTGAGAGATCTTGGGGTGATGGATTATAGTCTGCTTGTTGGGCTTCATTGGGGGAATAGGGGGAATAAGGAGAATGTTAGAGGGACTACGTTGAAGGTGTTTGAAGTACGTCCAGCCCTTTTACTTTTACTTCTCTGCTTCCTATGCTGATGAGAGCACAGCCCCCAGTCCCACCCATCCGCCGAAAAACGACAAGAAAAGACGGACGGTCGCCTGAAGCGATAGCTATGCGCCGAATCATGCGCGCGTCTGATCCACATGATTTAGGGAATACGCTGGATCTCCCAACTTCACCTTCACCCTCGATGCACACCATCCCGCCTTCTACGCCCAACACCCCCCGTGCGCGCCCTCGTTCCGGTGCAAGCAACGCAACGGTCACCGCTAGCACAAACGCACAACAGCTTCACCCCACCCAACAACCCCACGTCATACAACCTCAATTACAACCCGAACCTGTCCACCCCACGCAAGACCGCGAACACTTTCTTTTCTATCAAGACGAAGGAGGGTTACAAGCAACAGACGAGGGGAACGCAGAGATGGACGTGATTTATTATCTGGGGATTATCGATATTTTGACGCCGTATGGAGGGGTGAAGAAGTGTGAGCATTTTTGGAAGGGATTGAAAGCTGATCGGGTGAGTTTTGGTTTTTGGTTTGAGAAATTTTGTTTCGAACTTGACCTTTATTATTTCGAACCCGAACTCTCGTTCGTTTCTCAATGCTGACGCTGACTCCCATTTGTCTACAGCACAAAATCAGCCCGGTACCGCCTGCTGAATATGCAGACCGCTTCTTTGGGTTTATGAAAGCTATCATGCGGGGAGGAGGCGGTGGGGCGCGGTTCAAGCCTGAGTGATGTCCTTCATGTGCGTGTGTGGCAGAAGAATTTTGCGTGCGATGCTTAATCTTGTGCGTAGGTGACGGCTGAATCCCGCGTGTAGATGGGTGCTGCGTGTAGGCACTCAATCGTTGTCACATCACGTCACATCACACGTCAACTGCTCAAACTCGTTTCTCTGCATTTGCTTCATCTGGGAAATCTGTGGACATTCGCGATGCATTGGAGTTTGTACGATTTTGTCTTTCGGCCCCTGTTTCTCCTCCGTTTTATGTTTCTATTTCTTTCCTTCATAGTTGCTCTAGCATTTTTGACTACTCTTTATTCGTCCTCATGTTTCCCTCATCCTCATGACCTCGTTCATTTCCGCATGCTTTCCATCACATCCCACGACCACGAACGACTCTTGCATCACTCCCATCCTAATACATATTCTTTATTTGCGCATATCACATTCTCCTTCTCCCTTCCATCTTCCCTCTTTCCTCTTTATTTTTCTTCTCATTCGTCATCCATTCAGGCATCCAACCATTCTTTATTGTTTTATTGTTTGATCGTCTGTTTTACTTTTTCACGCGACTTTAATACCGCTATATGCTTAATCTAGTGCGTGCCCTGTCTCCTCCTGCCTTGCCTCTGCCTCTGCTGTGTATGGGTTTTTGTTATTGGCTTAGAGGTTGAGAGAGGGCACGTCGTATTTAGCTGCCATGACTCCGAGTACGCCTTTACTGCCACCCACGGCACACGAGTACGCTTTTCGAACACATCATGCTCCGCTTCCCAACATTTACGTTTCATTTATTCAACTCGTCACGCCCGTCACTTTCGGACATGCATACAACCTCGTTCAGATACGCATACGCCCTCGTTCGTACAATGCATCCAATCTCGTTCAGACACGTACTGTAATCCTCTTTGACGCACGCATCCACCCTCATTTGTTTCATTACGTACATACACCCTCGTTTATTCCGATTTTCATGTCTTGTCATCCTGGACTATGCTTTGCTTGGGTAGATAGCGTTATTTATGATAGGCCTAGGTATAATTTTATCGTGGTATGCATATGGCGTTCTTTGGCTTTGCACGTCTTGAGTGGGGAATCTGAGCATTATTCGACTAGCGTCTGCATTAGAACTTGGGGGATGGTACTCACTGGTTGCGTCGGGGGGTAGCCCGTATCGATTGCGTTGCAGGGATTTTCGATTCTACTGTGATCAACGTTGAACATGGTGTCACAATTTCATCAGGTGCTATCTGTTCACGTACCTCTGCATCTTCTGTTGTCTTCTGCAGTCCGTATAATATTATCCGACTGTACCTATCGTCGATTCCTGGCGTCGAGAAAATTTGAATTGTCAAAGGACAGTCGATTCCGCACGCGCGCACGGATGCTACAATAAGTTACGAATATCAACAACGTGTCCGCTCTCTCTTTCACCATGACGTACACTTTTGTATAGACTTTCGAACATCTTTCAAAAACTAGTAACCCAAGTGAACTACCGTGTGTCGGTGGGGTGGGCCAAAGCAGTCGCAGACACCTGACTTCATCATGATAACAACCGACAAACACCCTCAAACATCTCAGTCTGCGCTAAAATCGAAGCGCCACCTGGCGGGCGCCGCAGCGTCAACAAAAGAGCCTGAACCGTATATGTGAATATATGCTGCCCGAAGCATATATGTCGCAATGTAAGACCTTGTGTACAACTTGTGTATGTCTTAAAAGCTAAATCACAGCATGCATGCTCATGTAACTTAGCTTCACAAGGCCTTGCATGCTTCGGGCTCTTTTGTTGATCAGTGCTAAGTAATATTCAGCTCCATTGTATATTGCAAGAGGTTGGGACGAGGCAGCGACTATCGCTATGCTGAAGATGAGTAAGGCGGGGACCTTCAATGGTAGATTAGTCAGCGGATAGATCAGGTGTAGTGGCCCAAAACGGATATAATCCGTCAATTCTAATCGGATTAATCTGTAAGGGGGGGCCCTTACAGATTTAGAGTTTGTAAGAGGGTCAAGAAAATAATGTTTTGCAAATTCGACCCAAATGAACAGCGGCATCGCGGCACGACTTCCTTAAATGGTATTTTTTATTCTATTTTATTCTATTCCGCAATATTTGGGCCTACGGACAGTCACCCACTGAGTATGTATGTAACATACTTTGGAATCCTGAAGGGGATAACATGGACCAGATTTGAAATCAGTAGCACCAGGTGATGTTACCATTCTTGCTGTTATCGCAAGTATGTATGTAACATACTTTAGAACCACTCATGTGGCCCCAAGGGTTCTGGGCGTAAAGTGCAGTTCTGGGAATTTGAGGGGGATTAACGTCTTAAGTGTTGCCCGCGCAGCTTTGAAGGTGCCGGATAGGTGTTTGCTGCTTGATGTGTAAGTACATTTGGGGGTTGTAATACAAAGAATAATGTAATAGCCATAAGTAAGCTGCATCTGATGACTGACGAAGTTGTGAATGACGCTAGATCTGTAGAGTCACTGATCTTCAACAGCCATGTAACTAGAAGATCGGACTTGAATCGAGCAACAATACACACCTTGGAATTCACCGCATGCAATAGGGGCGATATTGGCGTTGTGAAAGTTTGACAAGCTTTCCATTGCCGTAAGAGCCAAAGTTATGTAGGGAGGGAAAGAGGCGAGGGCATCTGCAAATGCCGAACGCCGACTCTGCCGTATAGCCTAGTCTCCCCTAGGCAGGCCAATAGAAGGAAGACACTCACTTGTTCTATAAAGGTAATAGCTGTGGCTCGGCATTGATGTAACTGCGAGGAAGGATGACGGAGATGAAGGTGTGGTGAGTAATAAGTCGCGGGCCTTCAGGGACGATCTAATAGACAAGTATACTAGGGACTCGTTAGTTGCGTTCTAATTGATACGTAGAGACTATTAACTCACATCTCAGTCTCTTGAAAGAAGCTGAGATGCGCTCGTGCTACTGCTGGCGTTCTTATACTAAACTGGATAGAAATGAAAAATAGATCAAACGTTATTGCAGGACACGAGCCGACATCAACATGTCGCTCGTCAATGTCCTTTTAGGCTTGGGCTCGGACCACCTGTCACTCTCCCTCCTCAACCATTTCGGATCGGTCGGTCTTCTCCGTCTCTGATCGCTCGGATCGTTCGGACTCCAACAGAAGGGCAGGCCCAACTTGAAATTTCTGCAGGCTATCGTGAATATTTGCCGCGTCAAAGCATAAAAATATGACCATACCCCACATATAGGGCGAATATTGCAAAAGTATTGTGAGGGTGGTCTTGGAAGAACCCCTTGCATCATGATTGAAAAGCCAAACCACGGCTTTCAACTCGTCATCTTCAGGATGCTGAGAGCATGGCGAGAGCGTGTTTACCCTACACAGCACTCTCCTCAAACTTTGGAAGAGGACCTACCGCTAAACATGATTGCGCAGTTGGGTAGAATCCATAGCATGCATCAGCGTGCAGACGTTAAAGTTTAATAGTATATCCAGGAAGGCTTGGATAACACTCCCTAAGATCTGCGTAGAGGCTTTACAATTCCACTGAGATATAAGACTACATGTCAAAAAAGTTGGCCTGCATTTTCCACTCCTAATGTATTCAGCGAGATGGCTAACATCATGAGCTGGATGCACTCACAGACTCGATTTCCGGCCGAGTGAGAACCACCATCCCCTCCTCATCTAGTACGATATCCCAAAGGGAACCATGGATAACGCACTTGCGGACCACCTCCACAAAAGGAAGGTATGTTGTTACCTGGATGTCCGGCTTGAGACCTGTTGATATCGTAGGTTCGCGGACTACGTTGCCCATGCCACGCGCCACAGCGGAGGGATTGAAGTCGGCCACATGGAACTGGGAGAACGAATCATTGCCTGCGACGGGAACTGCCCATATAACACGAGATCCTCCCATTCCAAGTGAGCGCAGGCCTTCCCTGCCGAGCATCTCTTCAGGGAAGTACCGAGAATTCTGTGGACCCCATGATGACCATGGAATTGATCGACCGTCTTTTGATGTTGCATCAAACCATGTCGGATGGATATCCATGAAAAAGATGCGAGCGGATATCACAAAAACTGACGAAGGAAAAGCCCACACCACTGATATGACTCGGTCTGCAGGGTTTGTCGTCCATATCCAATTGTCATCTGGGATCGCGAGGTGTGCACAACTCGCAGCACTATGAAAAACCGACGGATGATGGAAGACGCCCAACTCTGTATGAACAGGCAGGATAAATCTTGCCTGAAGCTGCGGTGCTTTTGACAGGTCCTCGACATCGTAAAGCTCTATGTGACCATCTGATGAGAGAGCTAAAACTTTCTCCTTGGTGAAAAAATTGACGTCGGACAACTCGTTGCCTTTACCAACCACACATACATCCTGTTCGATGCTGAAATTAGACATTTCAATGGAATATGAAATGAGACACCCACATCAGCTTGAGCACCCTGATGCCAACTCCACACATGAAGTGACCAGTATGAATCGCAATTTTCGTCGAGCTCAGCAATATAGACTGCGAGGCGATCTCCGTGGACAGAGACAATAAGTTGGATTTCCAAGGCTTCACTGCAAGCAGCTCCACCAGTGATTACACGGGATCCATGGGACAAAGGATGTTCCTCCCCCGTGGATAGCGTGTGGAAGAGTATTTGGTACTTGAGTTCGTACGTGTCGACGTCGACGTCGATTGGAAATTTGATAGTAATCTCAAGGTCTTGCATGTCATCTATGTACCTGAATGTGCGAAGACCTGGATTCAGACGATTCACCCCAACTTGAGCTATACATGTCGTGTAGGTCTGAATATCCACGGTGTCGGACGAAGCATCCTCAACGATGGTTGAATCAGAACAAATAAGTTGTTGATGGGCAACGGAGTTGGATTCGAACAACCTCGTGGAGCAAAGCGTTTTCGTGGTATTGATCTCGAAAGAATTCCATGCGTTTGCCTTGTCTCTGAGGATGCACAAGCACTCTGCTGTAGAAACAGTAGGTGGCCGCGGATGAACCTGAATTAACTTTTGGGCACCGAGTTCGATGGTATATTGGAGCTCGATAGAGGATTTGACTGTAGTGTACATTGTTTGGCAAGTCTGGAACAAGGCAGATAAATGCATCATGATTAGTCCCATGACTAGAAAGACAGGGACGAGTGTATGACTCACCAATGCGCAGCGGATAATTTCATTACATGAAAGAAAGCTGAGGATATGGCAGCGTACCTCCTCTGGGATATCTTCTAGGGTAGCCCTTCCAAAACGAGAGAGCATTTGTCCGCAACAAACAGAAGCGTGTTGGTCCATCGTCGAGGAAAGACGAATATCATTATCGGATAAGTGATATGATGGTGCAGGTGAGGTAGGAGGGGGCACCTCGAACCGACGACTATGGTGATCGCCATGAACACCAGACCCGATTTTAGCCTAAACCACCAAAGAGAATGAGAAGGGAGGGTGCTGTCGCCAAACGTTTGAGGACCCACCTTTTGCAGCTCTTCTGAGCAACCCAACTTGAATAATGGGCTAACGACCTTCCTGATGAAGTTGCAGATCATATTAAAGTGATTAAGTATGGACGAAAGTGTCGAGGTTGGTTAAAATATCCGAGAATAATAGAAAAAGACATAACTGCGGGCAGGTATAGATGCTCTAATGTTCGGATGACGGATAAGCGGAAGATTCAAAAGTGTCCCGAGATGACCTCATCGGGCACAGCCACAAGTACTACGGCGGAAGTATCGGCCAATTGCAAACAACCCCCCGTGTACACATGCAAAGACAGCGCGATAGATATACGGATAGACATGCAAGATTGGTACGGTGCGTCTTGACTCTTCAGTACCGGTCACCTCGATCTAGGCGTCACAAAAGTCGGTTCTGGTTCTAGCGCTATACTCGTCCTCAAGTGGAGCGCGTTCCGCAGTGACAGTGCTGCGGGCGAGCCTACAGGGCGAATATTGCAAAGGGCTTGGTTTTGGAAGAACTCCTTCCATCATGATTGAAAAGCCGAACCATGGCTCGTCATCATGAGGACACCACTTTTTTTGCATTGCGAGCACTGACATACCAGTCAGCATGTTACAAGCAGCGATGACTTATGCCAATTTTTGCGCAGTGAGCGACATTAACGTTCCGTTGCGCAAGGCGTTCTTCATTTGGGTAATCGAAAGGCGCTGAGAACATGGCGAGAACGTACTTACCCTGCACAACACTCTCCTCAAACTTCGGAAGAGGACGAGGACCTACCACGTAAGTCTGTTCATTTTGTCGCGCGATTTCTCCGAGATAGCTACTGGTCTGATTTGTTGCACCGCAAACGTCATTTGGTGCGTTTTGCTTGAAAAGACGATTAGCGCGTTACTTATACTGCTCAGATGCATGACACAAGCAAGTAGAGAGCGTGCTGCGCAGTACCGTATTTCGTTAGACTCGTTATATCGTAAGGCTATAGAGCTCACCAGTAGTATTCATCTTCACAATATCAAATCCTTGTTCTTTACGCTCACTTTTGCTACTTCGCGGACAGCACTCAGATGGTCACCGATACCATTAATCCAACAATACACACCAACATGATCCCTTGCATTCGAGCATGTACTTGACACGCGCTCCAGGCAGTACTGAGAAGCATCCTTATACTAAGTAGTGACTAGTCCGACGTCCGTCTTTGAGACACTCTTCATCATATATGGTACGCGGTGGCTTGAGACTCCACTCTTGAATCGTTGATAACATTATTCTGGGCATCGACCAAACATGGAAAGGTGAATATGGAACTTCGGAAGCCTGAGTCACGGTGGGACGCACCTGAATCTTTGAGCCTGAGATAATGGAAGGCGGTGAGAGCGTAAATCTTAGCAGACATATTTGTATCCCAGTTGTACAACGAGGAAAGAAATATGTCCCTTATAACTTCATGCATGAGGGAGAGGAAGTAGATCACTAGCCGCTGAGCTCATGCATAGCAACTCTTGAAGCTTTGATGAAATAGAGTAATACGGTACAGACTTGCAGCTGCGTGACGAGCGGACTTCGAAAATATGAGCGAGCTACAGGATGTGTGCAATAAATTTCAATTTATGTACGGTGACACCGTTTAATTCTTGTTTCATAGAAGGATCAATATATGGTTCAACGATTTTAACAAAGTGATCTGATAACCCTAGGAAACGCTCCAACATCTTGCAAGCTCAGTTGTTGCTCGAGGGAGCGCCGCTTAAGGACTGCCACAGCATTGATCCTAGACCTCTCGAGGATAGTTGGGGGACCGGACACCCTAGCGAACACAACAATAAATTTTGATGCTCGCACAGTGCTCGACGACCACTGGTGATTCGTGAACTCAACACCTACAGCATGCTTGTCCCTATGATACGGAAAAGCAGTCAGCAATTGCCTATGGTCGCAATCACAGGTGACACGAAGATCACGCGCCTGCCGACCCAGAGTGCTTGATTGTAGACAGCGCTCCGAGATTATGTATCTGTCATTGGTGACAATGCCGGTTTCCAACGGGACAACTATGCTACAATTGCAAGGCATCTTGCATTCAAACCAAATGATAACGTGGTACACGACGAACATGCGGAATATTAGAGAATCTTAGTCTACGTGCTGACTAGGTTACCGTAGGAAGCGGCCGAGAGACCCGGAATGCGTAGTCTGCCCTTGGAACCCTACTCCAACGGCCAATGGGAACGAAGTCTGGTTTAAACATACATGTCGTCTTCATCCCGTGTGGTCGGGGCTTGTGATGTTGGCTCAGGCTCAGTTTCGGTAACTTTCTTGCGTGCGGCTGCAAAGGAGGTCAGTAAGAAATCAAGGATACATATAGATACCTACATCGTCGCGTGGCTTTCCGTTTCGCAGCTGCTTTCTTGCCTTCGACGCGCTTTTCAAAGGCTTGGTCTTCTGCGCCTTGGCGTCGGTGTTCGTCGAGTATCTGGAGGACTTTGTGAATCATGTACAGAAATCCTGGTCAGAATGGCCGTACCGATTCAAACTCGTTGAGTTCTGTGTCTGGCTTGTTCGCTGATTTATTGGAGCGTGCCTTGGTAAGTATGTCACTAAACCTGTCGAACACCCCCTCCTCGTGCAGCTTATCGCGGTAGAACTGCAAGCCTTCGATGAGCTTTTTGACTGATCGCTCCGACTTGAATGGGAGGAGAGACAAGCAGAACGCAATGTCGCGCCACTGACGGGGGTCCTCAGAGAGCCGGAAACGCTGGCAGAGCTTCTCGACGATATTTTCAGCTTGCTTTTCCTGTTTAAAATTTAATGAATTGGGAGCACGACGATGGGAAGGGATGAGCCTGACCTTCTCGATGAAGGAGAAGATGTAGCGCATTGTGCTTTTGAAAATTTCCTCCTCCACGGCGTGGTCACCTGTGGACAGGTGACTGATGACTGGGATAATGTGAGGAACGTTGATGATATTAATAATGAATCGAGACATACCATCGGGCAAGTTATTGTAAATTGCGTTGTCCTTTCGTCGACAGCTCCGTGAAAAACAGCTTCGCAAGGTCAGATATCCGTGGCTCTTCGTCTTCTAGGCACTTGGCCATCTCGCCTAGCTGACCCTTGACTTTGATCATCCCGTTGAGGATCAAGTGCGTGAGCACCATCAGCGTGTTCTTCTTAACGACAAGGTCACCGTCGGAAAGGCCCTTATATAACTCATTGCTGTTCTCGTCGATAATATTGCTGAACGAGACTGCCACGTCGCCCAGAGCAATGACGATATTACTACGGATATTGGGGTCTTTAGAGGTCTCAAGGATCTTGAAGAGAAGATGGTGGTGTTGGTCGCAAAATTGTGAACTGACGCAAAGGAACTTGCTAAACGAGAGGGTGGCAGCAGCACGGAGTGTGCGATTCTGGTGTCTCTGTCAATGGTAAGACAGAGAAAAACAACTCAGTGCTTGCCTTGAATTTATGTGGACTACCGCACACATGGACCAGCAATGGACCATACAACTTCAGCAATGACTGCTCTCCATAGAGTAGCTCAGTTTCGCGAACGGCAGCTATCCGTTCACCAATCTCGTCTTCGGCGTTGCCAGCAACTTGGTCAAGCTCTTCGGTTTCCTTGCTGGCCCTGTTGGGTGAGCCTCCAGCTGCAAGTTTTTCCCCTATGTAAAACGTCATTCGACAGTCTCAAGGTATCCGCGAGTGAACATACCCAGCTGTTTTTCATCCTTTTGCCGCTTCCACTCCCTTTCTACAAGCTCCAAAAATACGATATGCTTGATAGCTACATGACCTACAACGAAAAGCAGCTGACTGAGATGGAAGGCGTCTCCGAGATCTTTCTCCTCGCTCGAGCTGGACTGTTGGCTCGAAATCTGCAAACTGGACGGTGCATGCGAGGCTGGTTCCGGGGGTATCATCTCTTGATCTACCTCCATCGCCTCTGCATCTAGCTCGGACGGCGGCTCCTCCAGTTTCTGCCGCTTGGCAAACGCCCTCCGAGTGAGGTTCTTGATGAGGTTGTTGCAAAGCTCATCAGGGATGCTCGCCTAAGGCATAGATAGTGTTGATCGCTTGTTCGGCCATACCAAACCAATCTTTCGATCGACAGGGGTGCACTATAGCGTCTTGCAACTTGCGAAAAATTGGGTTTTCCATCTCCATGCGAAGAGTCTTGTCGAGAAGAGATCCTGCAGTGTGTAAGAAAATCATTGATGATGTACGGTACTGCTTGTACCTTTGACCTTCTTCGCGCTGCCGTTCAAGCGCCGTAGAGCAAGGCAAGTATATCGTGCAAGGGTGAGATCGGCCTGTCGTAGCGTGAGCGCTTGACATCGATGGGACGCCAGTATTTATCCGCACTCACTTTGCCAAATGGTCCAAGACCAATCTTCAGCAATGTGTCCACCTTCTCGGAAACAATGGTGCGTTTCGAAAGTGCCAGCATTCCAAGGATGATGATTGCACCGCGACGTTGAGAACAGGGCAGAGCTTGAGGAGCACCTACAAATGAACTTAAACTCGTGCTCGTGGCTGCAATGGACCATTTCCCACTGTAAACTTGCCACAACTTATTGATCACATCGTAATGGATCTGGCCATCTTCCATCATGATACGCATCATCTCTTCTAAGCTGGTGAGCTCTGCAAGCGTCGTGTCGTATGTCAATCTTTTACAAATGTCAAGCGGCTTTAAATCTGAGAAAGCGAATTGAACTCACTCAATCATGTTTTTGGCGATACGATTGACTTGCTGCTTGGGCTGCATGTCGGGTAGGGGGTCAAAGTACAACATACGGTAGCATTCGAGGAGCCTCGAGCGCACACCCTTCAGCTCCTTCCCGTCCTCCGATGTTGAGCTGTTGTCCTTGTGCCATATGATGTGTAGCATCCGTTTGAGTCCTTTCTGATAATAAGGTTAGATGGCCGTAAGAAGGAAAATCATATGTGTCACCTCAGCACCGCCAAACTTGTATTCAAATGCGACTCTGAAAAACTCCATACTCTCCAGTACTTCTGCCTTGTTCGTGCTCCCCAACAACTGCGTGATCAATTCCATACCACCTTCCAGGGTACGCACGAAGTCAAGTGCCTCTAAGCAATACCTCTTGCGCAAACCCAGGGCATGAAGTTCGTTGCTCTCCAGGGCAGCAAGTGCTTCTTGTTCCGAGGCAATCGCTGCGATGTTGATAGATTTGCGAAGAGCTTTTTTCTTCTTAGGCTTTGGGTTTTCTGCGTCTCCGTCATCGTCTGCATCGGCGCTCTCCATTTCAGCGTCTTCATCAGCATCATCACCACCAGTATTTTCCTCTTTGCCATCTCTCTCTACCTCTTCATCTTCACCCTCATCCCTCTCAACTGCCTTCCCCACGCAACCTTCCTTCTCCCTGCAACTTTTCACATGCAGTCTTATATCGCTCCTCCCACTTTTCCAAGCTCAAGTCGCCTCCATACATTTTTCCATACGGATGGGTCAAAATCAGCTTGACGAGTATCGAAACAGCAGCCTTGCGCACTGTGCTCGCCTTATCTTCCAGCGTGTCGACGGCAGCGCGCGTGATTCGGAGCCTTTGCTCTCTAAGATGCAAAGGCAGCTCAAGCATCTTCGAGAGCGTGGCGAAGACCTTGGAGCGTACATAAGAGGATTGGTCAAGCGTCCGCGAAATGAGGAACTCAAACAACCCATCAAGCTGCTTGTTGTCCCTCTGGGCGGAGCCATTCGCCTCGTCCTCGTCCCCTGACGAGGCGAGCTCGCGAATGAGTGAGCCAATAACTTCGACTATTGCCATGCGCATAGGATAGGACTACGTGGTTATCAGATAGGAAGAAGCACTGATTCTGGAGAGCGTACCTCTGAGTCGAGATGACCAATCAAGAGACTGATTTGCTTGAGCACCGATCGCGGCGACTCCTCGCTGAACCTGACCAAGAATCGGGAGAACGCCCTTGGACCCTTGGTGTCCTGCGCATTGAACGACTTGCCAGCGATTTCGCGGAGTATCTCGTCGCCAAGTTGCGCATGATCAAATTCCTTTGCGAGGATGGAAAGGCACTCCGCCATGGGTTCGGAAAGGTGCTCATAGTACTGCAGGGATTGCATGATGTTGATTTGCGCAGCGAGGGTGTGCCCATGATGTTTCACAGCAATGCAAATGACTTTGTAGACATGCATACGGATGTTCTGGACCTTCATGTATTGTTCAGACTCGGCAATGTGGTAAGCAGGGTGGGTGAGGCACCTGAAGTGAGGTCAATAGAAGTCTAGACAACTGACTTGGCACGTCCAAGCTGTGCATGCGCCGCCAAACCATGAGATAGAGTATAAGCTGTACTCACGTTATGAATGCATCTCTCTCCGGGCTAGTTACCCAGATGCGGTGCGTCTTCAGTTTTAACGCCTTGCAAATGTGTTCCAGCGTGCCAGGGATCTGGTCGATCCATGTCCATTGTTCCGCCTTCTTCGCCGCCGCCGCCCTCGAGGTACCAGCCTTACCACCCTTCCCGCGACGCACCTTCACAGGCGCTGTGGGAGTTTCCTCCTCCCCCGTTGCCTTCACTTTCTCTGCGGCATTTACGAACCAATTAACCAAGAAGGCATACATTTCCAAGGGCAGCTTATGAGCCATAACAATCTGCTGGTCTTCTTCCTTTGAGTCGCGCATGGCAGCATCAATTTGGGCTCCAAACGCAGAGAGAAGAGCGTCGAGAATCTTGCTCATATAAGCACCAGCGACTGCATCAGAATGCTTGAGAAGACTTCGGAATATATCGAATATCTCTGGATCGGTTATTTCTTCGGATGAATGAGAGATTGCTCCGACGGCCTCTAAGTTCCTGTGTCAGTGAACATCGAGCATCAACACCTAAGAACAGCGTACGCTGCAATAAGGGGCCTGGATCTATACTGTTGGGATCATGTTCATTTGGGATGTCGTAGTTCGCAATGTCCTGCTAGTGCTTGTAGCTCGTCTTGAAGCTCGAAGGATACACTCATGGCGGACACTCCCGATCTGTACGCTGCTGATATTTGTCAAGTTGATGGTCAAAGGTGAATAAAACGCGGTAACACGGTTCTCTGTGAGCACGTGCTTCGTGTTTATCACGTAAGCATTGCGAGCTGGTTTTCGAAATTTCTTAGTCTCCCAAACCACCACCATGGCAAGTGCACCCTCTATCTATCAGTGACAGATAGGCTAACTTCATGTTCGCAGATTATCCCAGTGAGATGCTTTTCGTGCGGGAAAGTCATCGGGGACAAATGGAACGCATACCTCGAGTTATTAGCCAATGATATGAGCGAAGGGTAACTCTCTGTGAACCTCCCAGCTGTGACATCCCTGACAAGATTCCAGAGACGCTCTTGATGAGCTGCAGCTGAAGCGCTACTGCTGTCGGCGAATGGTGCTCACACATGTAGACCTCATTGAAAAGCTCCTGCATTACAATCGTAAGTGGATCACTGCATACAGCAAATAACACGATGGCTCATTGTTTCTTCCAGCTATGGAGCGCTCGAAGGATAAGAATTATTGACGCCTTCTGTGCAGCGTGTCTTATACATGTACTCGCTCTTTGCTTCACTTTCATAAGTTACGAATATTTGTGTCGCCCAGCTCAGGCAGAATAGGTGGAAGTGGTTGTGAATACTGCTATTTCTTGCTGTCATCACCATCTCTCCTACATATTCTGTTCCTCGTTTCTACTCGACCAAGAGCCGCACAGTCCTCCACAAGTAAGTTATGCCGCATCCACATTCTTCACTACTGTACCTTTTGGCGGTTCTCATTGGGTAGTCACTTTGAGTGCTTTCATAGAAATACCTCGACTTTTTGTCCATACGTTTTGGATGGAACCCGGTTCTAACATATGTGACCTCCATAAGACTACGAGAGCTAAAGGGAAGGAATGCATGACATGGCACTGATGCCTACGAGCGAAAAACTTGCTTGGTATGTTTTGCAAAGATGAAAAACGACTACGGAAGCCTGACACCACTACATAGTAACAAATAAGTCCCTCATCAATGCAGGAATGCCTTGGACGTATTCACGCCGACTAGCTCTCCACCTATCCCCTATCGCCACTTCATTCGCGTTATGGATGGACGTGAGCACCTCCACATTCCTGCGACATACTATCATCGTGGGTTTGGATGATGATCCGGATATAGCTTTTAAGGATGTACCAACTCCGCTCTAAATTTCAATGACCTCAAGCTGGTCTATACCTTCCTGAATAAAAATCAGTATGATCTCGTTAGTTGAAAACGGAAGGAACCTACGCTGTACGGGTCGTCTATCTTCAGCCTAGGCAAATAAATCCTGTCCTTATCAACCCAAATTTCCATCAACTGGTCAGCATTAAAGACTCTATCCGACACGACCTCGACGTAAGGAAGGGACGTCGTTAACTTCTCTCCCGAGTCAGTGATTTCCATCGTAGATGGCTCTGTCACCACTCTTCCTAGACCCTGCCGACGCTCAACAGCTAACGGGCTGAAGTCCATCATGTGTAACCTATAATCCGTGTTATCTTCGTCATCCACTGTCGCGGTTGTTGCAGGAAATGCCTGCAAAACTCGATTCCCGCTAACGCCAACTCTGCATTGCCAGTGGTGCAAGAAAATACGAGCATGTAGAGCGCCCCAACATTCCCAAGGTATTTCTGCCAAACCATCAACAACGCCAGCTTGAAGGTCGAAGAATATCCTGGTGGAAATGACGAATGTGCATGCGCTCGGATTACTTGGAATGTGTGTGACAATGCATAGTATTCGATTTTTGGGGTCTGAGGTCCACATTGTTTTCTTGGCTTGCATCTGCAGTTGTGAGCCGTGTGCAATGTCGTCCATCGGAAGGAGGCACTGTATGCCCGTCAGTGATACAGGCATCAGGAAGCACGCCAGCAATTGTGGCGTCTGGGACGCATCCTCGATTGAATAGAGCTTCAGGTTCTTGCTGACAATCAGCAGTCTATCGTTTCCGAGGAAACAAAAATCAATTGACTCCCCACCCTCCGGGTGTATTGTTGTGTCACTGAGGACCCACTAAAACGAGTGTCAACTGTCAATTGTTGGCCAATTCTGACCAAAGCTCACACCGGGCATTGTGGAGTGTTGCCAGTCCCAAATTTGCAAACACCATATCTCCTCGCCAGATATATAATTGCCTTCATCATGAACCAGCAGGGAGCGCCGGAAAGCGATATGCCTCCCCAAACCCTCGAGCTTCCAACTCTCTATTGCATAGTGGTCCTCCGGGCAACTGGGAAGTCCCGACAGAAACAGCGTCCTTCCGGCAGCTTCGGGGTGGACACCATCTACATCCAGGGCTCCAAGGTCAATATGGAACTTTTCGTCCTCTGACTGGATGGAGTTATCAACCGCCATATACGCAATTGCAATTAGGTTCTGCGCTGGGTCCATGAATAGGTCGATGCATTCCGAGTTGGGAATTAAACACAGCGATCCTGGAGACCAATCGCGGTTGATCGTTTGTTGTGAGGGCCTTGGCAGTATTGGAAAAATCTTGGCCGACTGTTCAGTTTGGTCGAACAGGTAGAGATGCCCATCGGCGAGGGAAGTCTTCGCATCGTGGAATTGTTCTGGTACGGAGACTGTTTCAAATGAACGGATGTCAAATTTAAACCATGCGTGGGCTTTGTCCGTCAAGAGCTGTAAGGCTAGGCGCTTGGAAATAGAAGTGTGGTCGTCGAGATTCGTGTTTGAGACAGGGATCAATTGCTGGCCACCGAGCTCAGTGATGTACTGAAGATTTGATGAGGAGATGTACGTCTGTCGGAGTGCCTTGCATACCTGCAAGACGATCTTCAGGACAAACGATCAACAAACGATCAACACTCACGGATGTACAACGCAGAATATCTTTGTAAGGAAGGAAGCTTAGAATATAAGACCGGAGTTCTTCAGCAAGGAACAAGAACTCTGCTCTGGGCTGCATTTCCTTCTCGCTCGGTTCCTGTCGTGATTTGAGTCTTTGAGACGCATTATTTGAGTAACGGCGTCTAAAATTGGACAGCCCCTGGGTGCAGCCATCCCATTATGATTCATGCATTATCTTGCTTGTCCGATATAGACTGGTGGAAATACATAATGCCATACGAGCCGCATATATATGCAAAATGCTTGATATCGAGAACGACAAGTTACGAGAGCGGAAAATATGCAAAAGGCGCATATGCCTGAACAGAGAGAGCCTATGCTCTCACGAGAACTAAAGAGAACTCATAACATGGTACTGATGCCTACGAGAGCGAAAATTTGGTTGGTATGGTTATAGTGAGCAGACACAGAATCCGAACAAAGAAATGAAAAAAAGAAACAACTACGGAGGCCTAACGCCACCGACAGCAGTCTATGCAACAGTGTACACGTACATCATCACACGAATCAACGTAGCGATGCCTTGGACGTCTTCGTGCTAACCAGCCCTCCACCCATCCCCGCGTCATCATCAGTCGCAGCTTGGTTGGCGCTCGCGTTACGGATGGACGTGAGTACCTCCTTGCAGTACTTGAGTTTATCCACGAGCCGCTGGTTGAACTTGGCCTGCTCGGGATCTGCAACGGGAGGTCGTAAAGATATTGCCATGATCTCGCTGAGCGTGAATCGCGCGATCTTGTAGTTCTTATCGATGTGCGTCACTAGTAAACCATGAGAGGAGAGGATGACTTTTGAGTGATCGTAAAAGTTGAACTATAGAATACCAACGTCAGTTGTTATGTATATAACGGGAAGTAAAGATGAATGACCTGAAGGACGTCATGACTCATCTTGAACACGATAACGTGCTTCATACGCAGATACTTCTGTACGAAATCCATTCCCTTGGTACGGTCATGGTCTTCGAAGGTGTACTCGTAGTCGCCGTACAGGCGATCCATGATGTAGCGCTCAAAATGTTTGAGGAGGTACACCTTGTTCTTCAGGTCTTCAGGAAACTCGGTCACAGAATAGTTCTTCCTAACGTAGACAGTTCCCTGGCGTCGAGATGAGATGTAGTCGAAGTGACTGGGACGTTTGTCAAGACATGTAAAATCAGAGGTAAGCGCGAACTCACTGCTTATCCGCCGAGAGGATAAGGGTCGTGCTGTCATTGAAGTGTACGCCAACAGACCCATCAGTCAGGGCGTAACCCATCCCGTACTTATTGCAGTAATCCACCCAAGACACTATGAAAACGCGCTCATCGGGAACGGTAGTATCATCACGGGGATCGCGGAACAGCTTGCCCGCAGCCTTTCGCGTCAAAGGCCTGCGTCAGTGTCTGCGCAGCAGCATCAAATCCATTGAGCTTTACTTGAGGAGATTCCACGTGCACATCGTGATGTACCAGAGTTTCCTTGCGCTCTCCGCGCATCGGCTCCTTGCCCTTCGGTTCCTTGCGAGTAGGAGGCAGATTCTCTTGGTCTTCATCGGGGCGGGGTACGCCAAGTCCAGCAACCGGAGCCATCTGGGCTACAATCCTCGCCTTCTGCGATTCGAGCTCCTTCTGTCTCTGCTGATCGTGATGTTTCTCCCGAGTTCCTCGAGGTGCATCAGTCCTCTTCTTCTATGTTTTGTAACCCCTGTGCTGTGCGCACGTTCCGTAGAGGCGATTTCGCGTCCTTCACTGCCTGCAGCTTCCTGAATAGAGGTGACTCCTTGGCTCCGTTTGTGGACATAACCAACGGTTGCCGGGCAGAGCTAAGCAATGCAGAGATAGGACTGCCAGGCTGAACAGCCTTCTGGAACTCCTTCTCTTGCTGAGCGATGGTCGACGTAATCGGATTCTTCGCCTTCTCTTCTGGAGCAGACGGAACAGCTATGGTCGAAATATGGTCGTCATCCAGCCACACAGCTTTCTTGAGATTTGCGAGGATTAACCAACGACATTGGGCGCGTGAGGTATCGGAAGTCAGGGGGCGCGTCGTGTGCGGAGACGGGAATAAATGGTGGGACAATACCATAGTCGATGAAGGGTGATTTAAGGATTTCAAGTAGAGAGGGACGTTTTGACGGGTCGGGTGTTAAAATAGACGTGATGCAGTCCTGAGTGTCAGGTGCGATGCCGACGTTCGGGCGGGAACTCGTAGACGTTGTCGCGGATTCGTCTGTATGAATAGTTAGAAAAAATCAAGAAGCAGGGGCGGTATGCCTTACGTATAAATCTCCTTGACGTCCTTGGTTTGGAAGGGAGGACGTCCAATAACAAGCGTATACAAGATAACGCCGATCGACCAAGTGTCAACCTCGAAGCTGTGCCCATTCGCAGTGTCAAACAACACTTCAGGGGCGATGTAGTTTGGGGTTCCACAAATAGTTTTCTTCCGTTCGCCGGGGTTCTCAATCAAGGCAGCAAGACCAAAGTCGCCGACCTTGATGTTCATGTTTGCGTCGAGGAATAAATTCCCGAGCTTAAGGTCACGATGTATGACCTGGTGGGAGTGCATGTAGTGGCATGCACCGATGAGTTGTACGAGGAAGAATCGGGCCTCACACTCGCTGAAACGGCGACGGCGACGGAGCATGTCCATCAATGATCCGCTGGTGCAAAGCTCAAGTGTCATGTAGACGTTCTCGTCATCCTCAAAACATTCCTGGAAACGCACAATGTTAGGATGAGCGAGTGAACGATGGATCTTAATTTCTGCATAGAGCTGAGAAAATGCAAAGGTCAAGATGCAAGCGACAGTGCATGTGTTGTGTCAGACTTGCCTTGGTCTTGGCTTTCTTCGTTTTCAAAGATGATTTGGTAACGACCTTGCAAGCAAGGTGTTGTGCGGCAGCGTGACGACCGTCTGCCACCTCATAAACTCGTGCGAATCCTCCCTGTTGAAAACATGAAGCGTCAGTGGAAAAAATGGGCAATCGAGACAAATCCTACTTCTCCGAGGAACCCCACGCGGTAGTATTGAACTTGTCGATTCTGGTCGACGATTAGTCTGGGGGGCGAGGGAGGGGTAGTCTTGCTGTTCTGCCTGGGCAGAGGCGGGTCGGCTGGAGTTGCCTTGGGTTTCTCTTGTAGCTTTACGGGAGACGGTGCCGGGTGAGGCTGGTTGAGAACGTTTGCGTTCGTGAACGGATGACGACGGTGAACGGGCTGCTGAGCGGACGGGGCTGGCATACGGGCATGAGTGTAGGCAGACATTTCAATGGCCTAACACCTTGAAAGTCTGATGGATGTCTTGAGAGAGGAGAGAAGAATGCTCAGAAGATGAACAGCGCCAAAACAAGGCCAATTGAACTGCTTTTTGGCTGACAACAAATCGAGGCGTGGCCACCGCGTGTTTCGCGTGTTTATTATGTAACACGTCACGTGGAAATTCAACATCCACGTGACCACAATACAAACCCTAACCTTAGTCTGGGGTTCCACTATCCACCGCCACAGTGGACGGTCAAAGCAACGAGCATGACATGTCTAGTCTATTGTCAAAGCAGAAGGGTATGCTGCCGATAAAAGAGCTGGCGGCGGCGATGACCTTCCTCATCCCCCCAAATTATTCACTGACCAGACCTACATAACTGTGGCATTTTGCTGTGGCGAACCAGTGTGAGCTCATTTCTAGTACCCTACTGTTGACCATGGCACTGACAGCGTCCACAGGACACATAGCCCTAAGGCACCATGTTGCACTTCCTTAATCTTAAACACCTACCTTTTGTAGGAAAGGGGAAGGTCGACATTGAAGAAAATCAGGAGTTTGAATCGGTCCGCTGCTATTATCCATGGGTGACCTTCATTTTGCTGAGGATCTTCCTACAGGAAAGAAGAACAAGATCTGATGCAGGAAATTGCTGTCCACCCTCCCCGTACATACATCGACGAGTCGGACAGCGATGGACAGTCCACAGGACTCAGGACGATACATCTATGCACGCTACATCGGACTCAAGCGATTGCTCCTTCAATGACACCGCCTCAGACAGCAAATCGTTATCTCGTCATTCTTTCACTAGGTTACATGATGGCCTTGAAAAGCTACACTCTCATCAAGCGAAAGCCTGAAGCTCTTCCTAGAAATATGGAAAGACTACAATCTCGCAAGATGCAGCACCACTTTACCCAGGCTTACATCCCCACCAAGACCTCCAAACTGCTCTCAGCTGCGTCAATGACGCCCAATGATTCTACGGGGCTCGTGCGGCCTGCCAGGACCTTCTATCGATCATACGCTTTCGACAAAGATCAAGACTCAACTCAACATCACCAATGATGATCTTCCGACCGCATTATCCCCACCATCTGGTCACCCCACGAAGCACAAGGTCCATGTACCCAATGAAGCCCATGACGATCTTCACAGTCTTACATACTCTACATCCGCTTCTTCTAGCAGTGTCAAGACACCCTCACCTTCGAACGGAGAACCCAAACGCACAGAATCGACGGTTGATGTCGAGGAAGGCACCGATATTCACATGGCCTCCTGTCTCTCCCAGACCCCAGTTCGCGCTACTGCCACTGATGCCAATGTGTCACCAAACTCAACCCCATTTCCACTCCTTCCCGTAGTCGATTCCACTGGGCTGCCTGCCCTCCCAATCGAGCATGTTGAACCATCCACAGAATGCATTGCACTCGACAGCCCCTTTACCGCATGCGAGATTGATGGCAGACACGTGTCCCTGTCGTCCAGTCTGGTTCCATCGCTTCCCTTCTTGCACTCAAAACTGCTATACGATTGTCACTCAGCAACGGATGGAACCAACTTACCTGCGAACAACAGCATTTCATCTCTCACATCTATATTTCCCACTCCCTTCTTGATTTCAAATACTCCTTCTATGACCCCCCCATCGTACGGAGTCGCCCTCAATGCACATCCTTTGGCATTCCCCAGCTTACCTGAGCAGGTGCCTTGTGCTGAGCAGCCGGTCTCCACGTTCTCAGGACCATCCCTCAGTACCACTACGTACTGTGGGTTTGCCGCGGAACCATTATGGTCTGGACCTTTCAACTGGGAGCCGCTTAGCATACCATCTGACTACGCATCTTTCGTCACCAACGATGCCATCCGTGATGGCGAGGGTCACCTTCCGCAACCGCAATGGATTAGCCATTCCGATCGCATTGACGTAGAAATGGCAGATGTTGAAGCCGTGGTGGAGTTCACAATGATACCGGACCAATGCTTCGGGAATCCTTCTGCGTCTGGGCCCTTCCCTGGCTTTCCTACTCAGGTCCCTGCCACCACTGCGGCACAATATGCCTGTACCTATGAGCCTCCAGCTGCAATTTCCGCATTTAGCGGAGTTTCAACAGCTTTGCCCGCAGTTGGCCCTAGCTCTGATGGATTCTCCACGATTGCCATCGAATCTATCGATTCTCAGTCTGCATTTGACTCTACCGCATGTCATTTCCCTGGAGATGCCGGATCAGCTATCCAGTCTGTGTTTGATCCTAGCTCGCGATGGTCTTCCAGCATTTTTGAACCACATTCGGCTACGTTTTCAACGTCCATTCCAGAACAATTTACTTCTGGTTCTGGATCCACATACTCCTATTCTAATCGTTGTGAGATACCCTCAGCGGAGCAACACGTTTACGAGAATGATACTCGTGAACGAGACATACAAAGGACCTCCTGGAAGGCCAACAATCTTCACACTATCTTTGAGAACGAGGAGTACGCTCGTAAGTGAATAATTTTCTTACAAAAATATGGACCAACAGATTTCGTATTCTAAAGAAAACGCAACTGCACAACCCAAGGTCGACGTCCACGAACCCGCTGCCTCTCTGTCTGTTTCCGTCTCCAAGGAAGTGATCCACCAAGAGACCGTCGTGCAGTCAGTCGGTCACGATAACGGCGCCACTGCCCCAGTCCACCGTCAACCTCAGTACATCGCCCCGTCAGCCCGTGATAGTAAAGAAACCCAGCCAGATGACGATGCTAAAACTGAACCAGACGACGATACCAAAACTGAGCCAGACGATGACGCCAAGACCGAGCCGGACGACGGGATCGATGAGAAGGATGTGAACGCTGAAATACTTGCTCACGCTATCCTCGACATCCCACTCCCGCCAGCAGTAGTCGCAAGCGTACAACTCCTCGGTCAACGAAAACGCAGGAACTCGTGTTGCAGTGCAGGCATCACCCGCATGCGCGCAAAGAGAAGGCAGATGAATACTGACGAGAACGAGGAAGATGGGAATGGCGGCATTCGTGCACAGCGGACGCGATTTAATCATTTATCCAGACCGTCACCTTACGGTTCGATGGGGCGGCGGCGCAAAGGTCACGTAAAGACATTTGAGAAATGGGGCGACAATCCTTTGGGCGGCCCTCATTCGGAGGCCAGTGTTCCGTCTGGTGCAATAGTCCAAACATCAGGAGTTGAGCCAGCCGACAATTCCCAGTCGCGGTCTCCATTCGATCCATCGATCCGTAACTCATCCAATTTGCACGGTCTAGATAGGACCACCCCAGCTCGGGGCATCCAGCGTCACACTAGTATTCCCACATCCCCCACACCCTCACGACGTCAGTTGCGAGACAACGATTCTCATTCTAAGACCTCCAAAGAGCTTCCCGACAGGGAGAGAATCGTGAAACAGACTCGATTCAAAAGCTGTGTCGAACAGATCAGAGAGTCTGCGCAACCCTCACCACCGCCAGCAAACCCAACATCAGATAGAAGGAGACCGGCGACCCTGCGTCGGATTACTGGGTATGGGAGCGCGGGTCGTCAGCACTGGGTCCATCATCCCACTAACGGCGGTGTGCAAGTGCGTACGGGCAAGGAGGATGTAACGCGGCGTGCCCGCTATGCTACGAGCAATCCTGCTTCGAGACATGCTCATAGCGGCGAGACGACCGCGTGTTGTATCAGATACTCACAACACGGGCCCCTTACGTAGTTTCACGCTTGCAGTGGCATCTTAGAGCTGCGCAAGGACGCCGTCCGTAACCCTCGCTGGAGTGGTTGTATTCATAGACGACTTGTATTTATGTCTACATACATTTAGTTATCATATACTTAATTTTGCAATGAGCCTCGAGCGTCTCGGCGAGACGGCAATCTTGCCTAAGTATTAAAGTATTAAAGTGTCAGTGGTCCTGCAGTAATCTTGTGCTGTCGACTCCTCATTGTCGGATTGAAGAAGCGCGACAATGAATTGCTGAAAATTAAGGCTACATATTGGTAACAAGCAGTACATCTAAGCCCGACCGCATTGTGGAACATGATCGGGCGGTGGTACATGTGTAACGTCGAAGTACAACGTAAGGCATGAGTATGAATTCAAATGAAGGTTAGAAGAGATTGAACCAGCAAAACTCTGAGAGAAAAAAGTTCGACATGATCGTTCTTCGAAAAAAGGAAGGATTCAATTCTGAACGTCCAAATGTTCCCTGCACAACGGACAAGTCTGATTCCTCGCCAGCCATGGAATCAGACATCTCTTGTGGAACCTTTCGGAACAATATAAGTAGGCATTCCACTACAAGAACAAGAACAACCTACGCATGGCGACACTTTCCCCCCAACACGCCATGGTCCCCACTTTTGAATTGCGATAAGCATATAGAGCACTTCTGTACGTTCACACCCAACAGCGACAACTTCAGTTTTACACGCCCATCACTTGTCACCCTTCGCCTCTCCAATTCCACCAATCCAACAGGGCAGTTATCCAAACTGTCAGGATTGGGACGTAATATGGCAGGCCCGATGAAATCGGAGATGAGGAGAAGGGCCTGCGCATGTAGGTGATTTAAAGTAGGGGCCCGAGAACTGTGCATCCCGAATACTCACGTCATAATTTGAACCGTCACCGTGGGGAGGATCATCTCCGAGGCTGCCAACGAGGCCCGTGATGTATTCGGTTGCAGGTGGTGTGACTGTGCACGTGGAGGGCGAGAAGGGAAAGCCCGACGAAGATGTCAACGTGGTTGATGTTGGCGTGAGTGGCCCACGAGGACTGGAGCTTCCCACAGTAACGCTGTCACTGTCAATATCATCCTCGAGGTAGTCGATGGGGAGAGGCGGTGGAGTACGCGCGGGTGGAGTACGATCAGGTATCATGGGCGTGTTATCCGGGAGAGGAGGCGTGCGATTTGGCAACGGGGGTGTACGAATGGGGAGGGGAGGGGTATGACTGGGGTTGGAGGGGCTATCCAAGCTGTCGTCGTCCAAATTGATCAACAGGCCCTCGGGGACATCTAGGTGTTTGGGAATAGCCCTGGGGTGGTGCAATACTGTGGTAGTGGTGGAAGTCGTCGTGTCTGGTGCCCGGCCTACAAGCCACGTAAGAGAAGGTGATGTAGATGGTGTCTGGGGTAGCGGACGGCCTGCATAGTGACGTCGAGGCGATGCAGGAGCAGGACTATACGGAGGGGTATGTATCTCTAACTCTGGGGGTGGGGTAGGCGGTCCCGAGGGGAAGATCGCGCTATACGCAGGTGCACTTCGCGTCTCCAACTCACGCGATAAGGACCGTCCACGATGAATGAGGATCTCCTCACGGCGGGCTGTAGTCCGACGACGTGTGACTCGCTCAGTTGCAGACCTGGTGGGTAAGGAGTTGTTGTGCGCTGGGGTGGGCGTAACGGGCGTCCCACTGTAGTCAACGTAGGTCACTTCTGAAGCCGATACCGGAGAACCTCTGGCCTGTGTGCGGGTAGTCTTCGGAAGCTCAAGCTGAACAACAGCACGAGGCGTCGAATGTGAACGAACATGGTCATGCTGAGCTTGATGAGCTCCCAAGTCCATCTGCGAGAAGGAAGTGAGCGCCCTTCCTACGGAAGGTTGGGACAAGGATAGGGATGACAGGGTTGGTGAGTCCCTCAACGTTATCCCACGGGTAGGGGGGCGAGATCTCTCTGGTTCCTCGCCCTCCGATTCCTCACAGACCCCAAGATCCTGTTGAGAGAAGGATGGAAGTGTCCTTCCAACAGTGGCCAATGACAAGCTCGAAGAGCTAAAGAGGGAAGCGGAAGACGAAGAAATTGGGGATACCGGAGCGCTTGATGCGCTCATGTGATCGCTACGCAAACTAGAACTAGTGCGCCTCCGAACATGTCGGTTAACAAATGGAGGGGAAGCTGGACGTTGAGGACGCTCTTCAGCTGGTGGTACAGTCCGAACGCTAGGGCGGTATGGATGTCGATTCGCAGCTGAGATGCGCGTATCTTCTGTGAAGACATCGGGATAATGCCACGTCTCAGCGAAGCCTGAACTTGATGCAGGAGCCGGGCTTGGAGGGCTATGGTGAGCTGGAGAGTCGTCCAATGACGAATGAGAGGAGTCGGTACGATCCAAGACTTCCCAGTCCTCCAAGGGTTCACTACTTGCACGCTCTTTCTGCTTCCGGTGGAAGAGCTTTCGAGAAAAGTGGTGATCACCGTGACCACTGTGAAGTGTGGAAGGCGAAGAGAGATTGAGGAGTGAAGGTGTACTCTTGAAGAATGGACTGGGATTACGCAATAGTGAGATGACAGACGATGAGGGCTGTGGTGACTGAGATCTATGGAATATCCTCGATGGAGAAAGGGGAATGTGCGGTAGAGGCAGCTTGTGTTTGGGCGTAACTGGGGAAGATATATCAGATGCTGCCTGCACGCTGCGGTCGTCGGAATACGGATCTTGATCCTCAGGAATCCTGAGTGACAATCGAGAGTTCGCGAAACGAGACTGAGAAGTAGGGCTTCGTTTTGGAGCCTGACTAAACAATCGAGCCCGCTGCGACACGCCTGGAACATGTGATTCCACCATCCGCTGATGGTGCCTCGTCGCCCTTTCCTCGAGAGGAACCCCACGTTGTCGATCTATTTCCCATCTCTGAGATGGATCTACGTCCACAAGCTCTATACTTGACTCGTCGTCATCAAGTAGCGCCTTCTGGCGTACTGGCACCGGGAAGGTGCAAGACCCTGATGCAAGGTTCTGCGCAGGCCTAAGCGTGGGACTCGACGTTGGTAAGGGCATCGTCAAAGGTGACAACGCAAGCGCAGGTATTGACATTGATACAGGAGTCGCTGGAACTGCGGATGTCATTGAATCTGTGTGTGTAATGACGTTATCATGCGCAGCTGCAGGCTGTGTAGAGCCCGAAGAGGAGGTGCGATTTGCGACAGGCAAATGTTCTGGATGCATATGAACCCCAGCCACAAAAGTAGATGAAGCAAGCGCAGATGAAGCAAGACTGGACAGAGTAGGACTGGTCGCTACCTCGTAAGTCGGAGGCGGTGGATAATCTGAAGTATCTAGCCGATCAGTTAAGACATTTAGGTCTGTAACCTCGAGACGTTTGATTTAATCTCACCCCCATCTTCCCGCACTCTTGCTTGTCTACGACGGGCGCTGGCGCCGCTGCGGGTATCTCTAAAAGAGTAGCCAAGGTTAAAGCGAATTTCTTCGCGCTGGCGTTCGTCTCTGTCCACTTTCTTCGGCTGCTTCGCTTTACGGATCTTAGTACCAGTCGTAGCTTGTCGACTGGGCTGAGCGGTATCCAGAGGCTGATACGGGTCAACCTGAGCGGGCTCTGTGGCCCGTTTGCTTGAGGTCATTGTGAAGCACTAAGGGAGGATGGAACAGCCTGAGATGGCAGACAAGGGCGAAGATGGGCGACACGCCTTCACCTGCAGGCGAGCTGACTCGCTCTGGTATAAGTGTTTATATTTCTTTGGCAGTTTACCAAAGAGGTATAGCGCCCTGTCCTCGCGGCACGAGTGGCATGATCCTTGCGCGGACCAGGGACGGACACGAGCCATTCATATCGCCTGCAGGGAATACGATAGAATACCCAGAATCCCTGCAACGTTGCAGAGAACGTTTTTAGTAGAAATACTACACATGCCATACTTAGTAACTGACATAAGCATCACACCCAATTTATGACATAATCATCACGACGCACGTGACACTTAACGCGTGTTGTAGATCTTCGAACTTCTAACTTTGTACACCAATGCCTGGGCGCATATCTTCTGTCGAGGAGACCCTCTCCGCCAGTATCCCCAAGATTTTTGACCAAGCTCAGAACTCGACTGCAAATCACCAGAAGAATATTGTTGCGCTCCACAAGCTCCACCTAGATGCTGCTAGTTTCACCGAATCCATACACAATGGCAGAAGCATCAAGCTCACCGGTGAGCGTGTGTTCGAGGAGAAGTTCAAAGATATGCTATGCAGAGCAGCTGCTGTGAAGAAAGGAACGTCGCAGGGCGACCGGATAGTCAAGTTCGTTGGAGCGTATACAAAGTACATCAATGAGAAAGGTATGATGCCTGTTTGTTTCACTGGTATTGAATCTCATCTTATCATAGCCTCTGAGATCAAGAAGGAGGATGTCGATGAGGACGATGACGATGACGAGACCACGGCCTCTCGGTTTGTTGAGAAAGTGCTTGCCTTCCTCCTAATCGGCTTTGAAGCTAAGGACAAAATTGCACGCTACCGCAGTGTCCACTTTTTAGCGGAGATGGTCGCGCACTTGGGTGAAATTAGGTAGGAAATTCTTGTTGTGCGATAATCAAGCTGACTAGGCACAGTGAACAGCTGTATACGTTGCTCCGCACGGCTCTATTCGAGCGCGTTCATGACAAAGAAACATTTGTTCGAGTTCAGGCTGTTATCGCACTGTCGAAGCTATGTGGCTCAGAAGATCCATCCGATGTGGAAGAAGGAGAACCCACTGCTCTTGAGGTCTTGCTCGAGATTCTTAGTTGTGATCCTGCCGCGTTCGTTCATCTGCCATAGACCGTCTGACAGTGTTCTCATTACTTGTCTTATAGAGACGTCCGTAGAGCCGCGTTGCTCAACATTCCTCTGTCCAAAGTCACCCTAGATGCTGTCCTTGCTCGAACTCGCGACACTGACACAATCATGCGCAAGCTTGTTTATTCGGTTATCCTAACCCAACACTGCTTCGTTTCTGATAGCTCGGTCATGGGCCTTGTTCATCCGCGTGTGCTTACCATTGCCCAAAGAGAGTTCATCATCCGCAATGGTTTAGGTGATCGGGAGCCTGCTGTTCGCCAGGCTGCAGCTTTATTACTCGGCAAGTGGGTGGACGTTGCGCGTGGGGACGTTAAGAATGAAGAAAGCAAGAGCTTCAAAGATGACGTTCTCGCACTTTTGGGCCTCTTTGATCTCACGGAGAGCACGGTTGCAGAGGATGCACTACTGAGCATTTTGGACAAACGCCGTGATATGTCTGACCCCCTCGAGTTCAAGGGTGTGTTTGATTGCATATTTTCGGTAGGCAGAGCTAATTTGTACGACCACAGATGCCTACTGGGACAACCTGACCCCAGAGCGAGCTTTTCTCGCTCGCGTTTTCGTTGAGCATTGTATTGCCGTTAAAGAGGCGGAAAAACTCGACGCTTCTCTTCCAGTCGTCACTGCCCTTGCCTACCACATCCAAGCTGCCTACAATGCATACCAGGAAGACTTGGAGGTCGCCGAGCAGGAAAGAGTCATTCGCGGTGAACCAACTGAGGAAGAAGAAGAGGCTCGCATTGACAAGGAATTTGTCATAGGCGAGATGCTCAAGGTTGCCGTGAATTTGGACTACGCTGATGAGATTGGGCGCCGAAAAATGTTCCAGCTCGTGAGAGACATGATCTCTCAGGAGGCACTACCCGAATCGCTTGTCTCCAGATGTTTAGACGTATTGCGGATGCTTTCACCAAATGAGAGGGATCTAATCCGGGTAGTCGTGGAAGTAGTCCACGAGCTTAGGGATGTCAGTGACGAGGAAGAAGCTCTAGTAAGATGGTCGCATCTTTGTTCACATATCATTCTCATGATGATCGTCTCTTTACTAGAAGGAGCCTGCAGACGACGGAGAGACTAATTTTGGTGAAACGCCCGTGCTAACTCGTGTGGCACCTAAAGGGTCGAAGCCATCAGAGGATATGTCTCCCGAAGAACAAGCCCGTATGGACGCCATTGATCTGCGTTGTCTGTCGCTTTGTATAGGCATGCTTGAGCGTGTTAACGGAGTACGTCGTTGGCTCGTGTTCAGTTTCCTAATCACTCATGGTTCTCAGACATTCGAGGAAAATTCGACGCTCGAAGGTATCCTTGGCGAGCTGATCATTCCCGCCGTCAAGCGTAAGGAGTTGGCACTTCGTGAAAAGGGTCTTATTTGTTTGGGTCTTTGCTGTCTTATTGCTCGTGTATGCTCACGTTACCCGTCATGTAACGGAGAGGCTAATCAGTGTCACAGCGCATGGCTCTCAACTCTTTCCAGCTTTTTTTGGGTCAAATCCAAACCGCCCCAGAGGTCCTGAAGATTCGTGTGCTGCAAATCGTCTTTGACATTCTCATGGTGCATGAAAATGACTTCTTAGGCAAAGAGGGTGGAGTAGGTAAAAATAGCATGAGCCTTATTGCTATGCTCATACTTCTACAGAGTGACCGCATCGTGGAATTCTTGTTGATTGTCTTGAACAACGAGGAATCGGACAAGGTGCAAGCCCTACTATGTATCGGCCTTGCGAAGCTCGTTCTTGCCGGAATGATCTGTGATGACCAGGTCAGTGTTGATGGATTGTCGTGCAATGTCAGGATATAACACATCTTCAGGTACTGAAAAGCCTAGTTGCTGCATACCTTGCCCCTGACACGATTGACAATCAAGAAGTTCGCCAATGCCTTGCCTATTTCTTCCCCGTCTTTTGCTACTCCTCCGCAGTCAATCAGCGGCGAATGCAACGTCTGTTCATTGGATTGTTCGAGACGCTTGCCCCAGCAACCCGAGATGTCGACGAAAATCAGGAGATGGTCAGTTCCGCTCAAATAGCAGCGATGTTTGTGGATTGGACCGATCCGCAGAAAGCTATGTGAGGCATTGATGTCTATCTTGAGAGCATTAGTTGATATGGTGCAGCGAGGTGCAAGATCAGCCAACCGACGAGACAATTCATATCGATCTAGCATGCGATATCGCAAGAGCGCTGTTCGACGACAAGATGATAAGTATGTCTATAACTTTTCCGGAGTGAACCATTACCGACGTCGAATTTGCAGAGGAAGACAAGAAAGTTTTGTATCAGGTTCTTGGGCGGCTATACTTACCGGACAATGTTGATGACAACAAGATCCGCACACTCAAATTACTGCTTCACAATCTCAACTTCTGTGAGTTGCTCTGAAATTCGTAATAATTTTAAAATTATCTGCGTACAGCGTCGACCGATCCGTGACACAGCATCCAAGAATGCGCTTGCGAAGTTTGATGCTGCGATCTCGAAAAGATATGCCGAGCAACTAGAAAGCTTCAACTGAGGAAGACTACAGGCAACTGGAATACCTGAGAGATTTGTTCGAGTTTCTCGATGACATCATTCCCTTGGACGATGGTGAGGAAATCGACGTGCCTCGCACTCGTGCTCGGAAGAGGTGCGATTCCCCTGAGCTGCCATTATGCGCATTGAAACTAACCGAGCTGCGTAGGCGCTCAGAAAGCATTGCCACAGACATCACTGATAGTATCGCGCCAGATGAAAGTGTCGCTTCTGCTGCTTCATCATCACGCACAAAGGGCAAGGGCAGAGGGAAACAAACGAAGTGATAGTTATTCGTTCATTGTTGACTTTGGATTGACTGACCGTTACTTAGGCGGAGACGTGTCTCTGGTTCCGACGGCTCGGACGATGACCTGTCGGACGACCATGTTACCCCAGCACCTACACGAACATTGCCAAAGCGGGCAGCGTGCGTCATTATGTCACTTTTCCCCGTGTATTGCAATGTTAACTTTTGCTTTCAGATCGGTCAAAAAACCTCAGGTAGTGCAGGTAATAGAGGATAACGATGAAGAGGAGGAAGAGGAGGAAGCTACACCCCCTCCTACCTCCCGGCACAGGCGAAGGCCCAAGCCGTAAGTTACCTGTGTTCGCATAACAATGCACGCTCATTTGGTTGTATGCAGTGCAAGCAAAGCGAAGGATGACACTCAGCCGCCTTCTGCAGGGAATAGCACCTTCGATTCCATCATAGATAGCGAGGAAGACGAAGTGGAGGAAGACGAAGTGGCTAATGATATACTGGGTTCGGATGAGTAGAATTCCGACCATCTATGGGAGTACGGTATCTATTGTGATTTATCTTTGTGAGTATGTACTGCGTATAGTGTACTCCTACCTCCCAGGACATCAGGGGCCGAATAGGGGCATCTTGACTTAGTAACCCGACAGTGAACCAACTCAAGCTGCACAGTGAGAAGCAAATGAATTCCAACACAGAGTTCCTGTCTCTTGCTGAAGAACTGCATTCTTCGGTGCTACAAATCCATAAGGTGGTTGTAGATTTGGGACTGGCAACACTCAACGACGTCAGACATGAGTCTTGACCAGAAATAGTTGAAAGGCTTGTCAGTTGACACTCGTCTAGAGCGTTGTCTGTGACACATCAAGCTCCGGGTTTGAAGACAACAACTTCTGTTTGCTCGGAAATGATAGATCGCCGGTCCTGAGACAATTTGAAGCTGTATTCAACCGAAGATGTCCCACGCACCACAATTGCTGGCATACTTCTTGTTGCCTGTATGGATGATGAGCATAAAGTGTCTCCTTCCTAGTACAAACGATATTGCGCATAGTTCACAATCGCAGATGGAAGCTCAACAAACAGTGTAGACCTCAGACCCTGAACATCGACTACTATCCCTTGTCGCGCGCAATCTGGATCTTGCCTTTGTCGTGTCCACCAAGATTTTCTTCAATCTTGATCTATTTGAAGGTATGGCAGCGGCAATACCGTGGAAACATTGGGGCCCCTTAAATACCCGTATATTCCAACTTCCCCTGCGGTACTACAGCATCGGTGTTAGCGGGAATCTATTTTTTCATGCCGTCCCTGCAGTTGATGGATTTCAGTCCCTTAGCTGTTCAGCGCCGGCAGGGTCTAGGACGGGTGGTGAAAGAGCCTTCTACGGTAGCGTCGCAGGGCAAGTTAATAACAACGTCGCTGGCTTACGTCGAGGTGTTGTCGGACTGAAAATTCATTGCTGGTGCACATGATGTAGTCAAGATATGGGTCGATGGACAGAAATTTTACGTGCCTGTAGGTTCTTCCCATTTTCAAAGAAGTCCGATATACTTATTTTTATTCATGGAGCGCGGAGTCTATCAGCTATGAACTGACGCAGCGGCTAGTTTCGGGCAGGATCACCAACAAAAACAAAAGCCCACATGGACACGCTGCAGGGTGTTGAGGCCAGCTCAATTATATGCAACTTATCATCAGAATGTTCCAAGCCTCTCTTTCGACGGGATGTTATCACGATTTATGATAGATAGCCCCTCCTAAAATACACAATCAGTGGTGTGCTGCCACGTTCGCAGCTTGGAACAATAGATGTAGTGGGACCGCTATCAAAAACCAGACGGGATTAAGTATTATCAAGTTCACGAATCAATCGATCACGTACTGCACGCAGCCAACCAAACTGCAGTTCGCAAAAAGCCTTGTGCATTGGTCTTCTGAGTGATGTAGACCAACGTATACAGGGCTCGCAGAGTGATGCTACGCAAATTGTCCGGGTGAGATATATGGTAGCAGCTGCGAAATTGCGTGACCTACAAGGCAATAGCAGCGGTATTGACCGTATGGGTATCAACTTTCGTGATAGTTGCTGCCAACTGAGAACCATCATGACAATCAATGAAGTCAGTTAAGGCTGAAGTAGGGCGAGACACTGAACCACAGCAGCGATCCATAATGGGAACAATTCCATAGCGTTCTGATGATTAATGTTCAGCAAATACAACGGCGACACAAGAAACGGCTCACTTTGTGAGCGCCATCCATTCTGTCCACTCTTGCAGCCAACCCTGCATCGCGTATGCGTCCTATGTTTCCTCGGGGGTTGACACTGGCGGGAGCACATATAACCATCAATACAACGGCGCGAAAAGTAGATATACGATCCCTACTTATCCCAGCCTATGGACATCCCAATGGTCGCATTCTGATAAAAAGTACCTGAGTGAGCATAACACATTAGGAGACTTGTTGTACAGTAAGCGCACCTTGAGAAGAGCAGGTGCCAGGTTCAGGGCCCAAACTGTTGGGATGGAGAGCAATGAAAACCTTGGGTCAGACAGAAAAGTGTCAAGAACCATGGTCAATGTTTTACAGTGGGGGGGGTTGGAGAGCTTGGAATATGTCTAGTTTTTAAAGCATGGCCCCGAAACTTTGTGGCGCGTCTCAAGGCTTAGCCGCTGACGTGGGGATTCTACGTTGAAATTCCACGAGGTGGCATCCGAGGGATTACTTATATGGGATTATGGATAGCGTTATACGCCCTGGGCCCCTACATATGTAGCATGGCCCAGTACAGTCTTCGGAATGGGGACCGTTAGGTTGAGCAATGAGTAGGATTTAAAATTGTCGCCCAAAGTCTGAAAGATCTGAATTGAACGCGTCCTGGGCCATGTGCAAAATCTTCGGCAAAGGTCATCAGTGTCGTAGGGTCTGAATCTCAATTGATGGACAAGGCAGAGTAAAAGGCCGTAGGTGCTGAAGTGACTCGCACCCAATATGATAGATGAGATGATAGACGATCGTTTCAAATTTCAATGCAAGACTTGGGTTTGAGATGATTCACGTGACCGTCGCAGTAATCAGACCGCTCTCGAAGGTTACGGTTGAGTTTTTCGAAATTCGCCATACATGCTTTGACTCAGGACCCTTAGGCTGAAAAGGGTCGAGGAGCAAGTTTCCGCTGCCTCCCCGCGCATGCTAACTGTCTGATCCCTGGGACCTATTCCGCAGTATATTCGCCCCTCAACCCGTTCATCTGCTAGTAGCAATGGCTCTCACCTCCGCATGACCGTGTACCTCTATTATCTTGCTGTATTTTGATAGGCGTTGCCACAGTAAGCTTCCTTCACGAGCTGCGGAAGTCACCATATTTCGTCCGTGCTGCGTCCGTCCATGAGTTAATGACTCGATTTACTCCAATCGGGTTTCATCCATTCTTGCTAGGATTTACGAGCGGCCTGAAGAGTTACAAAGGTTTGGCAGCATCGATATTCAGGTGCAGCAGTCGGGTTACACATCTCTGACGAGCACCTCTGGTCTTGTTGCAGAGGGGTAAGACTACATCATAATAGCCTGGACACATGCATCTCACTGAGGAACATCCAAACCTTGGTTGTCACCGAGTATTATAGTCATCACTCCAATTGTCCGCATCGATAACCCCCATCAGTTTTGCCACGCATAGGTCTTGCCTTGGCCAGAGGGATCATTTGGGTTCCCGACGGTAAGAAGTTCCTCATACACGCGGTGGACAAGTCGTTTTGACCACAAGGACTCACACGGATGTTCTCGGAACTCCTGTCGACGTTCATTGGTTCGATTTGAGTGGCAAGTCTCAGTGACTCCCGATCCCCGGACCATTTGACATAGTTTCCAGTTTAGACTTCAAATATAGCCTCATGAACTAAGACCTACCGAGCCTTTCACGTTACTCGCAAGTATCTCGTCATATTCAAGCTCCTTTCAGCTAGCTTTAAGGCTAGCGTGCAAGAAGAACGCAAGTATAGTACGAGGTGTGTGACGTCATGTACATTTCGCCTCGGTTCTGAGCAAGGATTGTACCCGACTCAGATCATGCGAGTGACTAAAAGCAAGGCATATTTCTGATTACCTAGACCCACTGGCAACACTAACAATTTTCTTACCGGTTCGCAGGTGTTCGAACCTGTTCGAACGGATTCATAAAGATGCATACCCGCCCGCACCTCGAGAAAGTTTGGGTTCGAACCTTCGGACAGAGATTCAGAACCGAACTGCGGCACCACCATACCGTATGTCATCCAGTCAGTCTAACCGTGTTTCCAAAATAATGTTCAAAGAACCGAAATGCGGCTCCCGGATCTTCGCTCCCCAAGCATAAAAGGAGTTGGCAGAATTCTCGATCGCTCTAAACTTCGTCCCGCTCTAGAATTTGTTGCGAGTCAGGAAACCTACGCAGCACGCACACCATGCGCCTCACATTTACCTTCCAACTTCTGTTGTCATTCGTCGCATATGCTTCTGCTACATCCTCTGAATGCCCTCGCTGCCCACATGAGTTATATAACTCCATGGGCCAGGCTCAATGGGGCTTGATATTCAGGTGCTACGATGCAAAGACAGATATACATCGCTGCGAGTATGTAGTCTATTATCCTTACGCTCTGTTTGATATCTGATATTCGATTCAGGTATGACTACGATGATGAGCCCCAAGATTGTGATTACAATGTAAGTACTACAATGCTGTCACTATGACCGCCATTCAAACGTGTTCATTGTAGGAACAAGGCGTTCTCGTCGCCCACAGCGAACCCAATATCTGCCCCCTGAAAGTCACGTACGGAGAGGTATCGAGCAGTGACAAGTGTCTGCAGGCATGCTAAGCTGCGGTGATCCCTCGCGGAGGTTTAAAAGCATCCAGGCGCAGTAGTCGGGCTCGTGATCAAATTCGAGATGTGGGTGTTTAGAGACACGATATCTCGATATCCTGTACATGTCTCGATGATATACATGGGGCGCTTCTACGGTTTAATACTATGCTTACTATGCTTAAGTGTGAGACGTGGGTCAGACACAATCAAATCCGGTATTGAACCTTCTACATGAGAACTGAATTCTTAACAGTCCAACGAATTACTGGCCTAGCTAGCCCACAAGTATAGTCGTCGATTTGGCTTGTGTACTTGAATCACCCCGAAATCTCGACTGGTTTTTCTGTTTCGTGGTCCAAGCTCATGCTGAATGCAGTGCTCTCCCTTATTTTCGTGTGCCGTCAGAGATACAGCTACATGTGTTCACAGTCGGTGTGCACACCCAGCTTGCTCGCACTATTAGTACATCAATGTTAAGATGGGATGACCTTGCCTTTATACGTGCACCTCGGAAACTCGGCATTTAAGTAGGCGGATCCATATAGACGAAGCATGATCCAGGAATAGTATCTGGGGAAGTAGGAGTAGCATAAATACCAGAGAATGACGGCAGGCCCCATCGTCAGATAACCGATGTCCAGCACGACTAGTCATATATATCATACAGCGACTCCAAGTCCCCGCTCGTAGTCCGTCGCGTTCTTCTTGACTTGTGAAGTCCGATGTCATACTATTATTGGTGAATGAGACTGGGTATACCCTTTCCTGACAAGGTGAACAAAAGTACATGATTATTGTAATCGACGGGACTGATAACATTACAGCTTGACGTTTAGTTGAAAGCGTATGTACATGGAAAATAACAGAAGCACTACATTCGTTCGAGAGCGAGTCTCCTTCCGATCTGGAACGCTCAATCCTGAAACTCCTCAGTAACCTCTCTCCTGCCTCTCTGCATCTGTAAGGGGGACATACTGCCCACGAGTCAGTGACAGATTAAATCAGCTAAAAAAATGCCCACCATAACTCCCATAAGATCTTTCTTTGTGACCTCACCGTTCTCGTCCTTGTCGACTTGCATGATCTGTTGAGCAAATGTTCCAACTGGTATGAACATCCGCCCAGGGCTCTTGAGCTGATCTATCAGCTGCTGTGGGATCGTCGGCGCAGCGGCACCGACATGAATTGCGTCGTATAGGGCAAGGTCGCTATACCCTTTACGGCCATCGCCAGTGACCATGACGATCTCGCCCTTGTCAAGAGCGGAGCTCATTCCGTCTTTTCGGAGATTTTCCACTGACCAATCAACCAGTTTGGGGATGTGATCGACGCCTACAACTATGCCGCCCGGGACAAGGTGGTGGAGTACGGCACAGAGGTAGCCGGACCCACTTCCCACATCGAGAACGCGCTTGCCTGGGCCAAGAAAATCGAGAAGGTGCTCAATCGCATGGGCATGCTGTAGGAATGGATGTCAGCAAGAATATATTCGAAATTCCGAGGACTTGCCATGTGTGGTGCAGATATAGTTGCGCCGTGCCCGATGGGTCTGTGCAACTCCACTTAGTGAAGCTCAGGGAAGAGAGGCGGTTGCGCACTGAGGCGAGTCCTCATATGCATCCGATTTGCGCATGACATAGTTGGCACGGTCAACTTTCGTCATGGCCTGCAACCAATGTTATCAGGTTCGGCACAGGATCTGGTTTGTAGTTTAAACTGACCTCCTTCACTCTATCTGCTGTGATAATTCGTGCTGCATGCATGTTTGCGATGAGGTCTGCATTTGTGCGACCAGAACAACGCCAAGCCATTATGCTTTACAGTGTTAATGAGCACTGCGATGTATCCACCACAATGACGATATGACGATTGCGAACAAGGAAGCCTATATCACCGCATTTCAGGTTGCCAAGAAAGGAAGGCGGTTCAGTAGACGCACGTGGGCGCCATCATGACGGAGCCAAGCAGCAGCCAAGCATTTGTCTGAACACGCAATAGCTGCGCGTTTGGGTTGCCTTCTCTCGCCTCACGAATTACTATTTAGACTTCATCGGTTCTGTTTTTTTTTTCCAAATACCTTGTATTTGACCCACTGGTTCACTCATCCATGTCCAGCACCCCCATCTGGCCGCTTTTGTCTACTGTATTCCAGGTACATATTTGGAACGACTGAACTTCGTGGTATCATGACTGATTGTGTGGCTTAGTCGATTCTAGAGGTATTCCTGCTATGTCTTGCAGGCTATATCCTCGCATGGCGCCGTATCATCGACAAGCCCACTCAGCGTGTCAGTTTTTGTCCCTTACATTGGTTTCTAGAATGACGTTAACTTGTTTATCGGAAATGCAGGTAATAAACCACATCAACATCTCCTTGTTCACGCCTGCACTGCTGTTTTCCAAAGTCGCCTTCTTCTTAAGCCCAGGTGTGCCCCATATTTTGCCCACTTTATTGGGACGGACTCGGTGCAACAGGATGCTAATTAGCCTCGTGCGTCCCACAGCAAAACTCAAGGAATTATGGATTATTCCGATCTTCTTTGTAGTTGTCACAGCTTTCTCTGCGCTTGTCGCGGGACTCCTGTCGAAGATGTTTAGATTAAAAAAATCTCAACGGTGCGTTTCTTCGTGCTCCTTCTTAACCTATCTTTCAATCTTTTTTTGTGTACACCTTCGTAATTATGTCTTGGGATTCAACGATCTAAACCCACTTTCTTCCCAGCAACTTTGCTATGGCTGCTTCGATGTTCATGAATTCGAACTCGCTACCCATCGCTCTCATGCAAAGCCTCGTGCTTAGCGTGCATGGCCTCAAATGGACCGCTGACGACAACCAGAATGCGATGCTAGGTCGTGCACTCACGTACCTGGTATTGTATAGCACTCTCGGGATGATGGTGCGTTGCGTCAAAATCTTGTGCCTTTTGCTTTTGGATTTGGTCATCTTTGGAATTTTTTTTTTGCGTCTTCGAAACGCTTTCAGTTTTGAAACCAAGTGTTTTTTTTGTTTGTTTCTTCTTTTTTTTTTCACTTGGTTCTTCCACTTCGCCACTTCCTTGAACTTTAGTTTGTTTGCACTCACTCCGTGTCCCGTTGTCCGTAAAAGTACTCACTTATGTTGTTGTCAGCTTCGCTGGAGCTACGGCGTACGTTTGCTCTCCTCTGCAGACATGCCGCCTACGCCAACCTCTCTTCGTTCGCCCTCACTTGTGGCGGTGAATGCTGAAGGAGCACAATACACTGATGATGCATCTATATCAGATGAAGAGACGCTTAGCGAGCACCATGGTTCATCCAAGTTCCAGTCTGCGAGTCCGTCAATCCATTGGCAAACTCGGGCGCATCCCACGAGCCCCTCTCATCACTGGCAAACCCAAGCCCACACTCAATCCGTATTCGTGACTTCGCCTCGCGAGGACACAGATGACAACGACCAGGATGCAGCGTCTGAGATTCCTGCCTTCATTCCAGAGCCCGCGAGCCACATCTACGGACATTTGCGTCCCCACTCGTCATCTCACCTTCACCTCTCGCCATCTCGCGCAATCGAACACTCGTCTTCACTTTCGCATTCACGCTCACCGCATCTACCTCGGGATACAGCTATATATCACTCCTTCCCTAACTCACCTACGCGGGAAGAGGTGCCTCTGGCTTCGGACAGTGTCACGCCTGCAGACTCGGAGGACGAGATGGAAGATGAGGGAGATGATGCAAATGAGGCTTTCCGTCACCGCCGGCATCGTAAAAAATCACACGCTGTTCTCCGCCACGCCTGGAAGTCTACTAAAAAGGCATGGCGCGGTGTCAATGCGTTCATGACGATGCCCCTATGGGCCTCCCTGCTTAGTCTCCTCGTCGCATGTACCCCACCGCTCCAATCTGCACTCGAACGCATGACACCTATCAAAGGCGCGCTTGGTGCTGCAGGGAACTGCAGTATACCATTGACGCTCGTTGTGCTTGGGGCATATTTCTACTCTGCACCTCCTGAGGATGACCTGCAAGACGAAGAACTGACAGACTGTGAGACAGACGAAGCGAGGCGAGGGATCAGACACAACAAGTCTCGCACCTCACTACTCAGTACCCTTCAGGAGATGCTGGCACTTAAACGTACACCGCAGTCCCAGTCTCAGACACACGGGGAAAGCAAGACGGTGTTCGTCGCGATTCTTGCGAGGATGGTGGTCGTCCCGGCTGTGATGCTTCCTGTGATGGCGATTCTTGCGAGGTTCGACGTGCATGATATCTTCGCGGAGTGAGTGCCATTATTTCATGATCCTTTAGAGCTAACTGTTAACGCGTGGCTTTTCGATAGTCCTGTGTTCGTGGTGTCAAATGTGCTGTTGATAGCGAGTCCACCTGCACTGACGCTCGCGCAGGTGTGTTTGTTGCCCCAGATTAGCCTCGTGACCACATTAACGTTCTTTTGTCTCGGGAAGATAACACAAGCAGCCTCGAATGACTCATTCGAGAGGTTAATATCGCGGACGGTGTTCTGGTCGTATTGCGTCGTCACGCCGCCAAGCACAATCGTAGTGGTCGTTCTAGGTTTGTTGATTGCGAAGCTGTGATTTGGATGGTTGATGACTGGTGATTTTTGGTACGCTGATCACGATTCCTTGTGAGCTGAATATTGAATGATGAATCAAAGGTTTGGGGTCAAATATATCTTGTTTGCTGGGACACTTGGATCTCTTTGGCATATTTTTTGTGGTGTTGACAGGGCGCGTTTTATGTGCCTTTATCTGTGTCGAGCTCTGTGGAACGGACTGATAGGATTTCAAATCGATTAGTAGTGTTCTAGTGTCACATCCGCTAGAATAATTTGCATCAAGATTTCTGCATTAGTGAATGCGAGTCCAGATTCAACGAATCCCCTCCATATGCGTTCAGCACGCAACCAAGGTACAACAATATGTCATCTACGCCAAGTCTACGCTCTGTTCAGTGTGTTCTGGACTAGCTCCAGGAACATTACCCAGTGGTAGACTCCGCACAGGGACATCCATTAAGCTAGAAAGGGGAACAGCTTGCCGGTTTCATTTGAGTGCCAGTCTTACTGGGCTGGAGTAATTCTAAACTATTCAGAGATGGGTTGCAACTTGATCTGACAGACTCCCTACGCCAGCCGAAGGGAGATAGTCGTTCCTTCTAAGATAGTGACAGGCTAGACTCTTGAAGTCGAAGGAAGACCGTTGTACCTTAGGAAAACTTCTTAGCAAGATGTGATCTACCGGTAGAGTGCTGGGAGGCTATGACCCGGGACGTTGAGCGGATGAACAACGTGGTACTACTACCTGTTCAAAATTTAGCCGAACTTCAGCTGTGCCAGGCTCTGCAAGATCAAAAAAAGTTGCATTCAAGGATGCCGTACAGTATTGTTCAGCCGATGCCTGCATAGATCACTTGCCAGGCTGCCACATCATTCTCTTGTTATTCTGACTTTCATGGGAGAGTAAGTACTACGAAGTATCTCACACTCTTTTCAGTTTCTTCAACAGAAACATCGGAACATCTTGTCCTTGTCTATCACTGCAGGTCCGTTCGAGGCTCTAGTGGACCCGCAACCTCCAACTTTCGTCATTCGAGGGCCCGGACTTCGCAGCCATGCTTGGATTCTATGAACTCCAGCTTGTTCTCCTCGTCTCATTGTGTCTCATATTCCTCTTCCTTGAGCGCCATGTCTCACGACGGAAAGAGAAGGAGAAAGACTTGCACAACGCCGATCGCCTGGAAAACGGAGAGGCAACGGCATCACACAACTCGCTGGCCACACTGACAAGGCAGTATCTCCTTGTCTATGCAATTGTAATGGGTGCGTATCATCCCCTGCTCCTGTGAATCAAGCGTGATCATGAACTTGTGCAGGTGCTGATTGGCTCCAGGGGCCATATGTGTACTCATTGTACCGCGAACAGTATGGTCTCTCAGAAAGGATGGTCGCAGTCCTTTTTGTCACAGGGTTCATGTCTGCGGGGCTCACGGCACCACTGGTTGGCGTGTGGGCGGATCAACAGTGCGTTACATATGCCTTCTTCATCGCTCTGAAGACGTTTGACTGTGTGATACCGTAGCGGGCGCAAAAAGCTCTGCCTTGCCTTCTGCCTAACGTACACATTCACATGCTGTTGCATAACCATTCCCTACTTGCCTATCCTTCTCTTTGGACGTGTGTGCGGGGGGATCTCAACATCAATTCTCTACTCTGCATTCGAGTCCTGGCTGGTAAGTTCAGCTGGAGCGCTAGCCCTCCCCTCAACCGACCTTTCCACAATATTCGGGCGCGCCACGCTCGTGAATGGATTTGTTGCAACTGGCGCAGGTGTCGCAAGCAATCAGCTTGTCACCTTGACCAATTCGTTCACATCCCCTTTCATCGCCAGTGGAGCCTTCTTGGTATTGGCGTACCTAGTCATCCGTGCAACCTGGGGGGAGAACTTTGGCGGCAGCGGAACAACAGCGGGCAAGGATCTGTTCCAGTTGAGAAGACTAGGGCAGGCATGGCGCATTGTCAGAGATGGTGAGTCTGCCTTACTTATATTTATGATGCGCAGGTCGTGAATGTGATTTTAGATCCTATGCTACTCGCGATTGGCCTTACCCAGACTTGTTTCGAGGGCTCTATGTACCTCTTTGTCTTCCTCTGGGTACCGTCCCTTCAGGAAGCCTCGCCAACATTCCCCACTGTTGCACTGCCGCTAGGCTACATCTTCTCCTCATTCATGATATCCATGATGCTCGGGTCCCTCCTTTACAGCGTTGTCACTACTCAATCCGGCGGTCTGACGGTCCACGCAAAGCTCAGTAGCTTGGTTTGTGCATTTGCTGCCCTCGCGCTGGCGACAAGTGTAAAAAGCGAGAGCGAGCGCGTCAGGTTCTGGGCATTCTGTGCATTCGAGGCGTGTGTGGGGATGTATTATCCTGTACAGGGAATGCTGAGAGGTACTTTGATTTCAAACGAGCATCGGGCAACAGTAAGTGATTTCTCTTCTTAAGTATGAAGATATATCGCTGACTCAAATAATGTAGCTGAGCTCCCTGTTTCGTGTTCCCTTGAACGTGTTTGTTGTTGTCTCTCTGATGACAGGCGTATCAAGTGCTAGGAACGCTGTGTTAAGCGCAAGCTCCTTGATGCTTGCATTCTCTGCCGTTATGACCGCATTTATAGTCGTCGCGAGGGCAGATGATCATGTGTCCGCCGAGGCAAGTTTGAGGCCAGAGTGAAAGACGTGTTTTACGTTATAGTCAGCATTCATCCACTTAATGTTTGTGTCGTCGACTGATCCAAGTTTCCAGCGCCTGGGTATTCTGAAAAAACATAGAACTCGCTAATGGCCGCTGCTCTTACCCCCCAGCATTGCAGGACACTCTTTGAACGGAAAAAAGGATGAATTCTAGATAGATTATACATTATAGTTTACCTGATACCCAAGCCAGGTTGTGGCTCCAAGGATTTATTCAAACTCCGATTCATGTGCCGCTGTGAGTCAGCTGACCAACAACACAAAATTAGTACCTCCTCTTCGTCTCCTTTTTCACTCGTCGTTCCGTCTTTTTCCTTCTTCTTTAATCCCTTTCCTCCTTTTCTACTTGCATATTTGTTTTGTCTGACGCCGCAGAAATGGACGTGGACATGAAAAATAAGGACGAGATTGATGACAAGCGCGACCGGGACAGAGACCGCGAGTTCGACCGCGACACAAAGGACCGTGAAAGAGACAGGGAGCGCGACCGTGACCGGGAAAGGGATCGTGAAAGGAGGGACCGGGACAGAGACCGCGATCGTGACAGGAGGGATACAGGTGCGTTGCGTTATTGAGTCTGCTAGACAAAAATTCAATCCATCATTATTAGGTCGCGGCGGTAGGAGCCGGACTGACCACTGGGAACCAGATGACAGACGTAATGGAGACGTGAGCCCACTTGTCACTGTTTGTGTTTACAATCCTGAATAGGGTTTCTTGCAGCGCCGAAAGCGTTCACGCAGTAGAACACGTTCCCGGTCGCCGAGACGTCGTTCTACTTCACCTCGTGACCGCAGGCATACACGCCGTTCGCGCTCTCGCAGTCGCACTCGGACGCCCTCGCGCTCCCGCAGCCGTGACCGTGGAGACCGCAAACCCGCTGATCCGTTCCCCTCGCTCTCTCGGTGGCCCCATGAATGCGACCCACGAAGAAGCCGTCGAATTTGCCAAGATCAGCAAGAGAGAAAACCGAGTCTACGTCGGCAACCTCAGTTACGACGTCAAGTACCGTGACCTAATGGAATTCATGAGGGGAGGTGGGTTGGGGAATTTAGATTTTTCTTTGATTGGGGATAGAGGCGGGGTGTGGCCACTTTGTAAACCCGTTCTGCTGAGGCTCAGAAGGCAGCTGGTGCTGGCGAGTGTGAGCTGATGAGGGAGAGTGGTGTGGTGCCCTGGCCGATTTTTTCCTTGGCTTTTCGATTGATGGATGGTTGGATTGAGAGGATATTGATGGGAGTTTTCTTTTGGGGATTGATAGCTGGTGAGGTTCTATTCGCCGAAGTACTCGTCACGCCGACGGGAGTATCCAAAGGCTGCGGGTAAGTGAGAATGCAATATCTTCATGATCGATGCTGATCTTTTGTGCCAGCATCGTCGAGTTTGCTTCGCCTGAGGATGCGCAACGTGCCATCCGCGAGCTGTCCGAAGTAGCTATGCTCGGTCGCCCTGTATTTATTCGCGAGGTATGACTCCCTTGTCTGTTTGGTGCTATACCCACGCTGCAAAACAGGACCGGGAAAATGAATCGCGCTTCGGCGCTACGCCTGTGCCAGGCAAAATTGGAATGGCAATGGCGGGGCAAGGCCTACATGCGCAGCCACCTCCACGTCCACCCCATCACAACTATTTTGGAACTCACAACAACCCCGGCAATCAGTTGTATGTTGGAAATGTAGGTTCGCTCTTTTGTCGTTCATTGCGTGTGCTGAGTCATTTGTACAGTTGCCGTATCAGGCTGGTTGGCAGGACCTCAAGGATTTGTTCCGCTCAGCTGGTAATATCATTCGCGCTGATATTAACATTGGTGCGGATGGGCGTCCCAAGGGCTCAGGAACTGTTGTTTTTGAGACTGCATCGGATGCTAAGCAAGCCATTGGTACGTGGACACGCACCATCGTAAATATCGACTAACCTGCTACGCAGGCATGTACCATGGCTTTGACTGGTATGGCCGGACGCTTGAGGTTAGGGAGGTAAGTCCCGGGCGTGACTCTGTCTCTGACGCAATGCTGATATCACATTTAACAGGACCGCTATGCTGGTCTTTCTGGCCCAGGCTCATTCCGTGGCAGCCCTTTCCGCGGTGGTGGTGGCGGCGGAGGCGGCTATGGCGGTCGTGGTTTGCGCGGTGGCTTCAGAGGTAGCTTCCGTGGCGGTGGTGGCTACCGCGGCGGGTTCGCGCCCTCTGGTCCGGCTCGCGATTTCTCGAATCAGGACTTGTATGCAGACTACTCCGGTCCTGATCAGCCTGCTGCTCACGGGGGCTTGAGAATGGACGGCTATGGTGGTAGTGGCTATGGAAGCAGCGGCGGCGGCTATGGCGTGCAGGGTGGTGGCGGCGGCGGCGGCGGATACGATGCTGAGCCTAGCCAGCAGATCATGGTTCGCAATGTGAGTGATTTGGACATTGTTCCGTGGGATCAATAATTTACCTGCGTGTCAGCTCCCTTGGTCGACCGCGAACGAAGATCTTGTCGAGTTGTTTGAGACTACTGGCCAAGTCGAACTGGCTGAAATTCTTTTCGATGGCGCTCGGTCCAAGGGTTGCGGTGTCGTCCAGTTTGCTCAGGTTCCAGAGGCGGAGACGGCTATTGGTGAGCCATGATGTCTCGCTTGGTTTGATTGCATATTTACGCATCTTTGCAGCAAAATTCCAGCAGTACATGTATGGTGGACGCCCTCTTGACGTCCGGTTCAACGACCGATGGCATACATTTACACCTACCGCAGCCAAGGGCGGTCAGGTGATACCCATGCAGGCGGAGTGATCTGCTTGTATCCCCCTGTCATCTTTCTGTTTGTTCTGTCGACACTTAATGCTCTGACTTTGTATCGTTCTAGTCGATAAAAAATATTCTGAATCGTTGTCGAACTTTGTGTCTTTCGGGATTGATTTCGTCTTTTTTAACTAATCATAAAATTGAATGTGCGTAGGCTTGCAATGAATTGTCCCCTTGTTTAACAAGACGTGGGCGACCTCACAACCTTTACTGCCCCTTGCGCATGATGCGTCGCAATGTACGGTTCGAAATGGTATGGCCGTTCCAGTCAGTGAACCGCTGAGTTCTTGCTGGCGATTATATAGATTGCGGTGGTTTTACACTGATCATATATTGCTTTATATTCCAATGTGACGAAACGATAGACTATATATGACGATATCTGCGGATCACCGGTTCTCTGATGCTCTATTTTGGATTGAATATACGGTCGTGGCAATTAAATATGTGCCTGCTTGCCTTTGACTTTTTGGACCTTCTTGCCTTTGGTTTTCTCAGTTCTGAATCGCATTGCCTGGGACCCGTGTGGAAGACCGTTACAGTGATTGAATGCGTAACCCCCGAGTCCGCCTGCCTTACGTCACCCGCGTGGAAAGTGAGGAACCACATGTGGAACGTACCAGCTGGGTGTCCTTCGACTCGAACATCAGAAGGTGTTGCCAAACAGGTATCAACACCCACTCAGGACACCCCCTGACGAAGGAACAGGCTTCTCGTGCAAATACCAAGCTTCCGAAAGGACGTCCATTTAAATTCATGGTAAAGACTGTCTCAGACACGCAAAGGTCGAATGTAATACTTACATGGCTCTAGTCATCTCTGAAAACTTTTGCGAGTTATCGAATAAGGACTCGGATAGCATCATTATCTCAGGCTGAGAAGGTTTACATCCAATCCTCCTTGTTATCCGATCCGCCGTTACGCGCAGATGGTCAGATTTTTGAACCATTGGACGAAAGGAGGGATATGAGCAGGGATGGTACTGTATAGGGTTTGAGGTCCACATTGTTTGTTGGATTTGCCGTGAGCAATGTGCAATATCATTTGTCCTTCGAAGGGAAGCACCGTATATTCGTCACAGGCGCAGGACGCAAGAAGCATGCCAGCAATTGTGGCGCCTGGGACGTATCCTCAATTAAATAGACCCCCAAATTATCACTGATAATCATTAACGGTCTATTATTTTCGCGGAAACAAAAAATCGATTGCTTCTTCAAGCCCTTTGATGAATGCGGTGTCATTGATGACGCTCTAAATCGAATGTCGAGTGTCAGGTTTTTCAACTACTTCTGACGAGGCGCACTCGCATTGGACGTTGTGGAGTCTTGCCAGTCCCAAATCTGCAACCACCACAGGATCCTGTCTGGATCCTTGAGTAGCAGGTAGTGCCAGAGAGCGATATTCCTTCCTAGGCCCTCGAGCTTCGAACTCAAATTCCATGTCCTTGTGTTCGGACAGCCCAGATGACATAAACAGCGTCAGTCCAGTAGCTTTGAGATAGATCCAAAGCTAACAGGTTGATATAGACACCCAACCAATTGTCAATAACGTCATACACGGCAACGAGCAGGTTTTGCTCAGGGTCCATGAGCACATCAATATAGATTGCATCGGGATCTGAAAACAGCTTTTCTGGGAACAACTCGTGCTCGATTGCTTTGTGCGAGGGTTTTTGGTAGGATTGGAAAGATCTTGACGAAGCCTAGATCTCGGGCGTCGTAGAGGCAGAGATCCCTACCGGAGACAGATGCAAATGTTTTCACAGTGTAGGACTTCTGATTCGACGGGTTGAGCGTCAAATTTGAACCATACGTGGATTTTGTCCCTCAGCAGTTGTAGGCGCTCTGAAATAGGAGTATTGTGGGTGTCGAAATCGACAGGGAGCAGTTGTTGACCACTGAGTTCGACGATGTACTGAAGCTCAGAATACGACAAGTATGTCTGGTGAAGGTCTTTACATACCTGCAAGACGATCGTCAGTACAAGCCCACATAGGACAGCAATGCTGCTCATGGATGTACACCGAAGAATATCTTGGTAAGGAAGGAATATCAGAATATAAGCATTAATGGGAGATCTTCAGCGAGAGACAGGAACTCGGGCTTCATTTCCCTTTCATCCTGGTTCATGACTTGAAAGAGACGGCACGCTGAACGAAACATCATCAAGTCAAGAAACCCCTGTATGGTGTTCAAGTCAGCATCTTCTTTCAGGTCGTACGGAACCGTAGTACAGTACACCATTGCTAATCAAGAAGCGTTCTATAAGCTCCCTCTATCGACGAGAGCAAAACAGTAATCATTGTCTAAAAATCTAAGCATGTACAAGCACATCAATGTTCTCACCACCTATTCATCATCTCGTAAAACTCTATGAAATCTATCCACGCACGCAGACGACTCCTCACGCAGACGAACGCACGCACGCACGCAAAACAACAACTCACAAATACCCCCTCAACTCTTCACTCCCCTGAGGCGTCTCCCCAATCAAATGCAACATATGCCCCACCACCTCCTCAGGCGTCGTCACATGCCAACTCGCCAACGTCCGCTTGCTGCTATGTCCAACAGCAGTCGTGAACACCGCTTCGGGGGACACAGCGAGCTCGACGTCGGTGTGCTCTTTGGTGTTGTCCACGAGTACTACTGAGAGCGGGGGTTCCATTGTGACTTTGTCTGTTGAGGAGGGTGGGAAGAGGAGGAGGGCGCGGAACATGTCTTCGTCGGTCTTTTGGGGGTGAGTAAGATAGAGGGAGGGAGGGAGGAATGGAGGACGAACCTTGTCGTCACCAGCGCAGAAGATGAACTCGACTCCAGGGTTCTGGTATAATATACGCTTGACGATCTCACCCTTGAGCAGACAATCAGTCCAGCACGCATACTTATCAACAATGTCCACCAACCTTGTTCACGGCAATAGGCCTTACTTCCAAATTCTTTTTACCTACGAGCACCTCGATAGGCCTCTTGGGCACCACGTTATTCTCCAATAGATCCTGGCATTGCCTGCACTGGAACTGTCTGCAACCTCACATTATCAGCCCAACCCCCCAAAACCCAAACCCAAACGAAAAACACTCACCCCCACTCCGGATCAGTCGACCGATAATGCCACGTAATCGAGCTCTTCTTCATCTCAATATGACTCCCAGTAGTCCTCTCCGTATAATACCTAAAAATCTCCGCCACCTCCTCCATCCATCCCATATCCAAACTAGCGGTGAAATTCATCCAAGTGGCACTATCAGGCGAACGGATGAATCCTCCGTGTTCGGCGCTCATTCCAAGGCGTTTGAAGTGCCCGAGGTGTTCTTCGAGGAAGGCTTGGTCGCGGCCTGAGACAATGTAGACGAGGTTGGCGGGGTCGGATGTGAGCTTTGAGAGGGCGGTTAGGGCGTCGGGAGAGGGGAGGGCCATGGAGGGCATCTTGACGATTGGGGTGAGTGTGCCCTAATCATTAAATGTTAACGACAGCATCGCATCCCTCACACGACACTCACGTCGTAGTCGAACAAGAACAAACGCTTCCCGGCTTTGTCGTACAGATCCTTGAGTGTGTCTCGCGGGAGATATGGAGTCTGGCGCGCAGTGTTCTGTCCGTTGATCTGCGAGAGCAGCATCTTGGCCAGTACCGCAGCCCACGTGTGCGACGTATGAGTCGTCACGACTTTATGCAACGCCGCATGCCTCGCAACTTTCTCCTCCTCGGACATAACCAGCCCTTTATTCATAGCAGCCGCTACATCCTACGCTCACAACACATCACATTAATCACCCAAACAAACAAGTCATCAAGCAGCAGACAACGCACCCCGAGATCCCAAGGGTTCACTTGCAGCGCGTCAGCCATATGCTGGCTGATTCCCATGAACTCGCTCAGAACGAGCGGCGAGCGCTTGGTGCGCTCTTGTGCGATCACGAACTCCATTGAGGTCGTGTTCATTCCGTCTCTGAGGGGCGTGATCACTCCAAGGTCTGCAGCGCTTAGAAGAGCGTAGAATTCGTCTTTTCTGAGGGTTTGGTGGCTATGGGCACGTCAGAGCAGGGTTGGGCGTGTCAATGCAGTCATTAGGTAGCATCAGTGCAAGTTTAAATACGAAGACGAGATAAAAGAACGCACTAGTGATGTACAGGTATGAAATCAAGACTTCCATACTCCCCATTGATATGCGCGACGAGTTCTGATACTTGGCGTTCGAGCTTCGGGGAGTCTGTTAGAGCGGGGGAGGTCACCTGTGAATTGGGGTTTGTCAGTTTGTTTGCTCGCGAATTGGGTTTACGATCGCAATTTGGGTCATCCATCGCAACTAGTTTACCCATTGCAATCGGGAATGGAAGGACAAACCTGGATAAGCACGACTTTACGCTGCCACTCTGGGTAATCATGCAAAAGCTTTTCAAACGCGCGGAGCTGGGGTTATAGCGTCAGTTCGAACAGCGTAGATGACGTCGGTCCGTGACGTAGGTGACGTCGCAGGAGATGATTCGTCGACGACGTAGAGAATAACGGCGCAGGGAATGGTGAATAGACAGTACAGGAATTAGTGAACGAACGGCGCAGAAAATAATGAGTCAACTTCACAAACAGCAAGAGATAGAGAGAAAAGCACCTTTTGCAAAACCCCTTTGACGACGTCCAATTTATCCCTTCCCACAATAATCTTCTTGTCTGCATAAAGCACACGGAGAGCTTCGAGTTTAGGTTGGACACCTGTGCGGAGGCTGCGTTTGTGCACGGGTGGTGTGTTAGCGTTTTCATGCGAAGATGAAGGGAATTGGAGGAGACGAGGGAAGTTGTGAGAAACGAGGAGATGCAGGAAATTGTGAAGAGACGAGGGGAAACACTCACGTATCCCTCGCAACCCTCTCAGCATCCACCCCAACCGGACAATGCGTAACAGCAGCCACATGTCCCTGAACATCAATACCTACGTATTTCTCTACACCCTCCTTTCCTCCCTTTGCACTCTTCGAACGCGTGAGACTCACACCGCGGACACGCGAACCACCACCAGCAGCGACGCTCACACCGCGGGATGCACTAGCGGATGGAGGAGCCATAGAAGCACGGCTGGTGGTTTCGTACCCGCATACGCGTACGCAGGTAGATGTGAAGTGGCGGGTATAGCTGTAGGTTTGGAAGCAAATTAGGTTGGCGCCTAGCATTCCGTCTAGGATTTCTTTGCGGCCTTTGGGTGTGGTTAGTATTTTTTCGTTGGGGGGGAGGGAGGAAAGGACGCACGAGGTAAACACCTAAACACCTCCGAACTCGGGAAAGGCGTATGCACGAAAAGACCGATGATCCTATTCGTAGCAATAATAATAACATCAGCAACTCCTCCCCATCCGATATCCATAAAAGAAAACACTCACACATCACCGCCACTCTCTCCTCCTACACCGCTAATAGCACCAGCATGCATGGCGTTCCTGAGCATGCGAGGGACGAGGAGGAGGTGGTAGTCGTGTACCCAGACGAGGTCGCCGGGTTGGAGGACTGATGCGAGGCGGGTTGTGAATGCTTGGTTGGCCTTTGTGGGTTTGGTGGGGGAAGTGGATTGGATGCGCGAGATGGGTGCGCGTAGATTGGGTTAGATGCACGAGATTAGATACGAAATACTTGAGACAAGCTAAACGCACCTGCTCATAATACTCATAATTAGCATCAGCACTGGCATGCTCGGTGGCGACGTCCTGCCAGAGGAGGTAGTGGAAGAGAGGCCAGAGAGCTGTTTACGCGTTAGTATTGCGCAAGTTTAGTTTGAAATGCAAGGGAAGAACGGAAGGAAGGAGGTAAAAGGACCGCGGGACGGAAGCAATAGAAAGAAGAAAAGAAGGTTACAAGTCAAAGGAGGAAATCAGGGATAGTAGATGATTAGATTGGTCGAATACGGAAAGGTCGATGAAAAGTTGAAGTCGAAATCAAATAAGAGGGATCGATGAAGACACGGCATGGAGACCCGATAGTCCGATGAAGTTGAAAAGAGAAAAGAGAGGGGAAAGATGAGGAAGAGGGACGCGATGAGATTGTGACGTGACTGTTCGGAAATGAGGGCGGGAGATAACCGTAAAGCAGATATACACCAAAGAAGGAAATAAACAAGAAAAGTGAGTAGGAAGGACCTGAAGTGGGAGATAGGTGTAGATCAAGAAGAGGAGTGCCTGATATGGTAAGTGGGAACCGATGAACTCACTCTGTTTGCAATAACCATCGTAATGACCATGTGCGACGTTGTCCTCCATCCAGAGCGGGAGATAGGTGATGGGTTTACCGATTTCGTCACGTTTATCGGCAGAAGAAGGGATAAAACCGTTCTTGTCGGTGTAATTAGCAAGCTCGACGTTGAGGGCGTCTTTGTCCTCTTGAGAGATACGGGAAGCGGGGATACGGTCACGAACTGAAGGGACGCGTTCGCCTGTAGAAGGGTTGACGTCACCTGTGTATATTGATTAGTGGAGCGTGGAGTCGAAAAGTGGAGAGGATGACCATCAGCACCATCAGAAGGAGTAGCAGGGGAGAGAATGTCGCCTGTCCAGCCTAGAATAAGTTGTTCATGTGTGACGCTGAGACTGCGAATTCCGCTTGTCATTGCGCTATGGCCATAACGTGGAGCAAGTTTCCAACGTTCAGGCTGTGAAGGTGGAGCAGGTGGAGCATCGAGAGTCGGAGGGAGGTCGTCGACTGGACTAGGAGGAACGTCGGTTAAGATATGAGGAGGTGTCGGTGGTGGACTGAGTACGCCATCCCGGGTAGAAGAAGAGGTAAGGGTGCATGTTACTGGAAGATAATGGCACACGTGAATGATTCGACCGGACAATTGAACTCCGTTGGCTTTGTGTCTAGCCTCGAGTGCACGGACGTGGTCTCGTACTGCAGACAAAGACATATTATCCCCTGCGCGGGTGTATGGTTCTGCAAAAGTATCCATGGGTGATTTGAGATTCAATGGAAGAAACCAATCGGTTTATAAGGCTTTGATTATCAGACGGTCTTCTAGTTTTTAAGTGGTGTATGCTGAATTAGGTCGATCTAGCCTCTGTCGGTTCCTATTCCGCTGATCCTTGCCAGCGTCTCTTTAACTTGGAAATTATCACTACCTTGTCCTCGATCTTCGCAGATCGCCACGTACGCTACACCCAGGGCCAGTATCTAGCCTAACCGCCCTATTCTTATCACAGTGATGTCACGCTAGGAAGAGTGTTCACCCATCGTGCTCTAGATACAGTGTCAGATGCAGCGTCATCCGTGTCTAGGCGCCATGCACATGGCTGACTGACCCAAGTACAGCGAGCAACTCTGGCATTGATACGGTGTACGACTCGGAGCTGCTCCTACTCAGACCTCTTATACATCTCCGACGATTCTCCGTACTATTTCCATGACGCCACATGATTAGCATGCAACGCCACCACGCAATGGCACGCATCTTCTTTTCCTCCATCGTACCTCTTCGCTACCATCTAGTTGCTCATCAAGTACTCTCAGGACCATCTCTTTGTATAAGCACGTCGGCCTTCTTCTCAGAGCAACAGACCCATTGTACTGGTCTCGTGAAGCTGGCACATCGTTCCAAACGACTTTGCAAACTCTCCGAGTCCAGCATAGCATGGTGCTTGCCAATGATTCACCTTTCGACCAAAGCTTCTTATCAACCATCCACCTCTTCTTTATAGCTTCCCAATATCTACCCGTGGAAACCTCACACTGATCCCTCCACAGAACTTCATGACCATCCCACCTAATATACTGGCTCCTCTGTCACATTCTTTCTACAAGTACGTATGTAGGACGTCTTCTCAGCGCAGCAGACCCACAGGGTTGGTCTCGCGTGTATGCTGCAATATTCCCTATGTACAAGTCCAGCAGGACGGGATCATCATCATCAGTGCCCACCATTGATTTACCAAAACGCTTCTAGATAGCCCAAGCTCCGAAGTTCTTATCCACTACTTATCTCGAGCCTCATGTTCACTAGCCACCCGCTGAAACCTCCCACTGGTGCAACTTAGGCAATTAATAAATATATCCCTACGGATCGCCAAAGTCTATCAAAGAATGGTCGGACACCACCAATATCAACACCGCAGTCGAAGAGCGGTGGTTCCGATGGAACAAAATTCTACCACACGTGATTTCAGGCTATGCTGGACTGTTGTGGCGTTGTTTGTTTGCTCGACGTTCACTATATAAGTCGCCGAGCCTTCTACTTACCTCTATCTTTACCATTACCTCGCCGCTATCCTGGCCATTTTTTCTGCCTGACCGCTGTTAGCGTTTCGTCCTCTTTCCTCTGCGGACGGTTTCTTCTCAAAGTCAGTCTTTCGTCAGATCTTTGACTACACTCGCTTACTCCAGTTCAGTCTTCAACGCTGGCGACGATACAATGGCTATATACCTACCTGCCATGCAATCGTCTACTACTCTCTTCTCGGCCTCTATATGTCTCCCTTGCATCAAACATAGAATAGCTCGTGATGCGTACGATGAGAAGTATATTGAACATTGCGCGTTCCACCACGAGCTATCCCCCGTCCCCATCAAATTCACTTCGAACGCTTACCCCAGCTCGCCGTTCACGATAATGCAATACAATACAAGTTATATACCTCCCATGCTATCGTCTGCTATTATCTACTTTCTGATCTATATTTCTCCCTTGCATCCAATGCAGTATATCTCGTGGCCAGTGTTTGATTCGATCCGAAACAACTTCATCTACCACGGAATATACTTCATCCGCACCACTCCGTTCTCTGTGATCCTCTCCTGCTTCTAACATCTTCATTCTAGCTTCGCAGATCCGCCAGGTACGCTATCATGATCACATGGAAATCAACTACGTACGTATCCGTAATCTCATCGCGGGTCTGCTATAGCTACTTGTATCCTTGTCACTGACTACTTTGGAACGTTCAGGGAAACCTCATCTCTCTTTATCGATGAGCTCTCTGAGTAATCCCTTTTCGCCGTTTTTGCCACGGTGGTAGGGATATTACTCTGCGAGGTCACTCACATACATTAGTCGTTTATCTTGCTGCACGCACGCTTCTCTTATCTCGCAATCACACGATTATGGGAGGTGAAGCGCTCGCTGTTTATCTTGAGTTTCAAACCATACTGACATTCTTCAACAGCCACGAACCGAGCGAGATTCATCCAATCTTGGCGATACAGCCGTGTGCGATGATTCAGTCCTCCACAACCTTTGAGTGTAGACAGACTACGATGCGATTGATTATGTGTTTCGCCGCGCAAGGGTTTTGCATGATTCGGATCACCGTCCGAGTGCTTGCGCAGGTCTGTTACGTGTAACTCTATTATCATCATCGTCACCGACTACTTAGGAATGTTTCAGGGAACCTGAACCTCGTTGGTGACTTCTCTGAGTGGTCTTGCATGACTCTGTATGGAGCTATAGGAAGATCACTCTGGGAGGTCACTCAAATGCGGTGGTCATCGGTCACCGGCCCTGTTGTATGCACGTTCCCTGGGTCTTGCAACCGCACGATTGTGGAGGTGAGCTGCTCACTATGTTGAGTTAAAAGCCATACTGACATTCTTCAACAGCCACCCGGCTGTGCAAGATTCACTCGTTCTTGGCGATGATACAGCCACCCGCGATGATCTAGTCCTCTAACTTTTGAGTGCATCCACAGAATTCAACGAAGACACTCGTCGGGTCTGTCACTGCACTCGACGGTTCTGTATGACCGCCCGAGTTCTTGGCATAACTCGATGGTTATCTTCGTCAGACTATTTGCGAACGCTTCAGGGAACCTCGTCTCTCACTGTTGACTTCTCTGAGTGATCATCTTGCCACTGCGTTGTACATGGAGCTGTAGGAAGATCACCCTGCGAGGTCACTCGAATACATTGGTCGTGCACGCTCCTCGGGTCTCTCAAATACACGATTATGGAGGTGAGCCTCTTGCTGTTTATGTTGCAATCTTACATTCTATTCCTCAACAGCCACTCGACCGCGAGATTCACCCATTCTTGACGACGGTACAGCCTTGCGCGATGATCCAGTCTTCCTAACCTTGGAAGGCAGAGGCGGTTTGCATCTCTTGCCGCACTCCAAGGTTCTGCATCATTCACTTGGCGCACTGACCACCGTCCTGAATTATTATTATCTACATTTCTCCCTTGTATCCAATGCAGTATATCTCGTGGCAAACGTTTGATTCGATGCGAAGCTGCTTCATCTACCACGGGGTATACTTCCCTCATCTACTACATCGCATATTTACTGTCGCCCTCTCGTACTTCCAACATCTTCATTCCAGCTTCGTGGATCCGCCAAGTACGCTACCGTGATCACAGACGGAAATCAGCTACGTACGTATCTGCAATCTCGCTGCAAGTCTATTACTTATATCTGTGTCACTGACTACTTTGGAACATTTCATGGGAACCTCGTCTCATGATTGATGACTTCTCTGAGTAATCCCCATTTTTGTCGTGGTCAGCTACGGCAGTATGGAGATTACTCTGCGAGGTCACTCGAATACATTGGTCGTACACGTTTCTCGGGCTCTGGAACTGCATGGTTGTGAGAGGTGAGCCGCTCGCTGTTTATCTTACAAGCCACACCTACATTCTACTTCTTAGCAACCACTCGACCGCAAGATTCACCCATTCTTGACTTCGACGGCGATACAGTCGTTCGCAATGATCCAGTCTTTCATAATCTGAGTGAAGCGGATGTCGGTGGAGTGGGGCTTGCCCATAGAGTGTCCGGGGTCCCAGCGGTGTTCCGAGGTCGTAGCCACCGTACATGTAGTAGCTTGGTCATCACCTTGCCTTGCCATCACACCCCATTGTGAGGCTTGAGGTCACTTCTCTCGAGTGGGCCCTTAGGCCCACTCCATCGGCAAATATCTCGCTGCACTCTATGGTTCTGCATCATTCGGTTATCACGCTGACCAGGGCCATCCTGAATTATTATATTTCCAGGACTTCAAGCATTCATTGAGCAGGGGTAATTTTTTGTGAGATATGAGCCCAGGCAATTGCCCATCGAGGCGAGCTCGAGGTCGGCTGTGAAGGGTTTGCTGCAGATCTCAGAGTTGCCTTGGTGGCACAGCCATAGACCGAAGTCATAGTCTCATTGCATGCGCCCTCCCTTCTGTGGGTCAGGCTATCCAGATCAGGAGCTTTCGGCGACAGATCACGGTATGTCTACGCTTTACCACCTGATAGCTTCTACTGAACGTTATCTCTAGGGCATTACTTTCTTCATGGCTGGAGCGCTTCCGGAGGAGATGCTATTCCTGGACAAGCCCAGAGGTTCAGCCCGCAGAAAATCAACACTGCGTACGTTATGACTTATTCTTGTTCTATGCGGTCATAAATGCGGTCTGAAGCGCCAGCTGAGGCATCACGGTGCAGCAACAGATCTCAGATCAATTTACTGCACGCTGGCCGGATCTCTTGCTGATTAGTGAATTGTATAGTTCAGTGATCACGGAGAGATTCGACTAGGACGATCCCACTGTTTGGATGAAGCTGACCCTCTGCTGTATCTTTTCGCTGCTGCGTCTCGATGGAAGTACTACTTGGAAGCTTTTAACATTCCAAAGGATCTGCACGGATCCAGGAATGCACAGGAAGCGGATATTTGTCATCGACGCAATGGGGCTACTCGGAGGAGCCGAAGTATGTATATACCGTACAACTGAGAATGGGTTCAAGTGGCATTGATCGCTTATGCTCAGCCGTACGGTATCTATAGTAGTGGTCGACACGCTTTAAATTCTAGAAGCTAAATAGCAGGGATATTATTGGATTCTGATCATGCTATCAAGACAGTGGTAAGTCAGTAGAGCATGGAGCTGTACGTTGAAGTGAGTCTTATGTAAATCTGAATTCAAAGTCAACAGCAAGTGTTGCACCAACGTTCAACGTTTTCAACATCTAACTATGCCGTCCTTAGTCTTCCATAGTCACTTGATCGAATGAAGACAGTCGTTCCTTCCCTCAAGTCCTCCATTATGCCGTGAGGGCTGTCACAGCCACTCGGAGGTTCCCGGCAAAACTGTATCGCGGAGTGTTGGCAAGATACATCAATCATTTTGTGATCTAAACGTGTATGATTGTCAATTGTCATTGCGTAGGGTTCAGTTCCACCATTTCAGCTGCACCAGGCCATGCACCCGCCGACTGGTTTGGAATTTGCCGCAATGGATGACGTGCAGCATAAACTTTCACCACTCGTTGTTAGTAAGTAACGCGGATGCGCATCGATGCGTACCACAACAAGATGACTATCAAGTACTAACGTAAATGGACTCATGTATTAACTCGCCTGCAGGTGAAGGCGTGTCGCCCATCTTCGCCCTGCAATTTAAGGCTGTTGAATCCTTCTTAAGCACTTCACAATGACCTCAAGCAAATGGGCTATTGAGCCCGCTCGGGTTGGCCCATATCAAGCTCTGGATACCGGTCAGCCCAGTCGACAAGCTACGACTGCCAGTAAGATCCATAAAGCGTCGAAGAAAGCGGACAGAGACGAACGCCAACGCGAAGAAATCCTCTTTAACCTTGGCTACTCTTTTAGAGATACCCGCACCGGCGCCAGCGCCCGTCGCAAACAAGCAAGAGTGCGTGAAGATGGGGGTGAGATTAAATCAAATGTCTCGAAGTCCCAGACCTCAATGTCTTAACTGATCGGCTAGATACAGTGACTTCCGCAGTTCTAGCGATTCCTGTATCAATGTCAATACCTGCGCCTGCATTGTCACCTTTGGTGATGCCCTTACCAACGCCGAGTCCCATGCTTGGGCGTGCGCAGAACCTTGCATCAGGGTCTTGCACCTTCCCGGTGCCTGTACGCCAGAAGGCGCTACTTGATGGCGACGAGTCAAGTATAGCGCTTGTGGACGTAGATCCATCTCAGAGATGGGAAATAGATCGACAACGTGCGATTTCTCTCGAGGAAAGGGTGACGAGGCACCATCAGCGGACGCTGGAATCGCATGTTCCAGCCGTGTCACAGCGGGCTCGATTGTTTAGTCAGGCTCCAAAACGAAGCCCTACTTCTCAGTCTCGTTTCGCGAACTCTCGATTGTCACTCAGGATTCCCGAGGATCAAGATCCGTATTCCGACGACCGCGGCGTGCAGGGAGTATCTGATACTTCCCCAGTTACGCCCAAACACAAGCTGCCTCGACCGCACATTCCCCTTCCGCCATCGAGGATATTCCATAAATCTCAGTCACCACAGCCTTTATCATCTGTCAATCCACTGTTGCGTAATCCTAGTCCATTCTTCAAGAGTACACCTTCACTCCTCAATCTCTCTTCACCTCCTGCACTTCACAGTGGTCACGGAGTTCACCACTTTTCTCGAAAGCTCTTCCATCGGAAGCAGAAAGAGCGTGCAAGTACTGAACCCTTAGAGGACTGGGAAGTTTTGGTTCGCACCGACTCCTCTCATTCGTCTTTGGACAACTCCTCTTGTTCATCTTTGGATGATTCCTCTCATTCGTCTTTGGACGTCTCTCCTGCTCACCATAGCCCTCCAAGCCCGATTCCTACATCCAGCTCAGGCCTCGCAGAGACATGCCGTTATCTCGATGTCTTCACAGAAGATACTCGCATCTCAACTGTGAATCGACATCCATACCGCCCTAGCGTTCGGACTGTACCGCCGGCTGAAGAGCGCCCTCAACATCCAGCTCCCCCTCCATTTGTTAACCGACATGTTCGGTGGCGCACGAGTTCCAACTTGCGTGGCGGTCACATAAGTGCATCAAGTGCCACTGTCAGAGGGATACTTCCATCCCTTTCTCAACAAGATGTTGGCGTTTGCGAGGAACCGGAGGGTGAGGAACCAGAGAGATCTAGCCTCCCTACCCGTCGGATAACGTTGAAGGACTCTACCCCGCCCCCAGAGTTACATACCCCTTCGTATAGTCCTGCTTCTGCGTCGCCTCGGCGTCACTATGTGGGCCGTCCGCTACCACAGACCCCGTCTATATCACCCTCTCTTACGTGGCTTGTAGGCCGGGCACCAGACCCGACGACTTCCACCACTACCACAGTCTTGCACCACCCCAAGGCCATTCCAAAAAACCTGCATGTGCCTGAGGCCCTGTCGATCAATTTGGATGACGACAGTTCGGATAGCCCCTCCAACCCCAGTCATACCCCTCTCCTCCCCATTCGTACACCCCCATTACCAAATCGCACGCCTCCTCTCCCGGATAATATGCCCATGATACTTTATCGTACTCCACCCGCGCGTGCTCCACCGCCTCTCCCCATCGACTACTTTGAGGACGATATCGACAGTGACAGCATTACTGCGGGAAGTCCTAGTCCTCGTGGGCCACTCACGCCAACATCAACCACGTTGATATCTTCGTCGGGCTTTCCCTTCTCGCCCTCCACGTGCACAGTCACACCACCTGAAACCGAATACATCACTGGTCTCGTTGGCAGCCTCGGAGATGATCCTCCCCACGGTGACGGTTCAAATTATGACGTGGGTATTTGGGGTGCACAGTCCTCGGGCCGCTACTTTAAATCACCCACATGCGCAGGCCCTTCTCCTCATCTCCGATTTCATCGGGCCTGCTATATTACATCGCAAGGGCCAGTCACATCTACCCATGGGATAACGTTGAGGGACTCACCAACCCTGTCATCTCCATCCTTATCCCAACCTTTAGTGGAAAGGTCACTTACTTCCTCCTCGCAGATGGGCTTAGGACCACACTTCGTCGAGAACAAGACCGGTGAGCCAAGAGACTTGTTACCGCATGTTAGGAAGGCGTTCGATGCGAAGAAGACATGTGCGTCCCATATCTCCTACCCACTCATGGAAGTACTGAACATCATGAATTTCGTGCACTCCGAAAAGCGAGCATGATGGCGATGACGACACCCGTGTCGCCAGAGGCGCAGAAGCTTGGCTACCAGTTCAAGCAAGAGTTCGAAAAGGAAGTGCTGGAGGACATGCATCTGCCAAGACTTTCTTCTACAATGGACCCTCAGCAACCCGCTTTCAAGAGCTACACCCACCAATTCCCTCCCTCTTCTTCCCACACGGACACCCTGCTTCCTGTTCGTAATGATGAGGCTGGCGATGCCCCCCCTGAAGCGATGCTCCAAGACATCTCAAGATACATCACCAAGGACGAAGAATATGCTGTTGCTCGTGGCGGGTTCGGGGATATCTGGAAATGTACCTATCACAAAGATCAAGCACCGATCAAAGTTCGTTTGCAGTGTTTTGTCTGACCATCTCTCTAAAATTGATAAATTTGCAGGTCGCAGTGAAAGCATTACATGCGTATGCTGCCGATCATCATGATGCAGCGAAGAAGAAGAAGAAAGTCAAGGTGAGTGGCTCGACGAAGGACTGCATCTATTACTTATGCCAGAGGTTGCCACTTCGCAGAGGATGCAGCATGAACTCAAAATATGCGCCAGCCTCGAGCATACAAACATTCTGCCAGTTTTTGGTTATACAACTGGCTTCGGCCTATTTATAGCAATAGTCAGTCCTTGGGCTGAGAATGGAAACCTGTCAACCTATTTGGCACGTGAGGGTGAGGCTCTTACTCTCGTTAGACGATTCCAGATAGTAAGTCCTCTATTGTATTTCATGTAGATGGTGAACTAATGCCAATCTCAGCTCAGAGATATCATAGCTGGTCTACAATATCGTGCGTGCCAGTCACTCTCAATGCCAGATCTGGAGTTTTAACTATTTACAGTTCATGTCAACAGTGTCATCCATGGTGACCTCAATGGGGTAAATTAAAGTTCACCCTTCTCGAGAGTTTCAATTTCATTGAGACGTGCGTTCTAGCCTAATGTGCTCATCAATGGTGATGGTACTGCTTGTGTTGCCGACTTCGGTCTTTCCTTGATGTATTCGGAGGTTATAAGAGCCTCTCAAGCTTCCTGGACTTCCACATTCAAAGGCAACTTGAGATGGATGGCTCCTGAGCTCCTTGCGGAGCGAGAGGATGGATCTCCAGTACGACCAAGCAAGCAGAGTGACATCTATTCGTTCGGCGGTATTATGCTACAGGTACGTCTAGGTAATTTCAACGTCTCGGTGATATCATCAGCTCTGCTCTTAGGTGCTCACCAACAAAATTCCCTACTATTACTCAAATGACATAGCTATCATGCTATGCATGGTCAAGTTAGAAAAGCCTTCCCGATCTCGTTATCCCGAGCAGCCTGACAAGTACTGGGATCTTATCGAGCAATGTTGGTCTACTGATCCTCTGAAGCGTCCATCAACGGAGGGAATTGATGAAGTGATCAAGAACGAATTTCTCTCGCTATCCGGATCTCATTGATTCTTCAACTGCTTTGCATACAACCACCTATTTATAACACAAACGGACGCGCTTGGACTGTTTTGCATACGACAACCTGTTTATTTTACTTTATAACCCAAATGGACAGATAGACAGTATGTGGTATTAGCCCCACTCAATTATGGCGCTGGATCTGTTCAACTATTCTTCACATACAAAACTCACACACGCACAGACGCCACACACACACAAACGAGACGTACACACATAATCACTCCGTCGCATACACACTCTCGTACCGTAGAAAAATTAGTACTGCACTATTAGATCTGACATGATTCGATAATCAATTTATATTGCAGACAAGGCTGCTGATGAAGGGTTCTATAAACGAATCTTTTAAGGCCCGGCTGGTAGACGAGATGGAGCGATGAGAAGTGAGTAGGTCTCGGAGTGAAACGCACTGAGAGTCGCCAGCATTGGCAGCAAAGCCTCGAATCTTTTTAAGGCCTGGCCGGTGGACGAGACGGAGTGATGAGAAGTGAGTAGGTCTCGGAGTGATGATCAATTTATATTGCAGACAAGGCTGCTAATGAAGGGTTCTATAAGCCCCAATCAAGTAGAGTCCAAGGGCAAAAAAAACGCACCGAAGCCGCCAGCATTGGCAGCAAAGCCTCGGCTGGTGGACGAGAGCGAGAAAAGAAGACGGAAAGCTGCCATTATTGGTGTCAAAAAGATGTTCGCGCTGGGTGGATCCTTGATGTCAGTGTCGATGAGAAGGGCCATCAGCAAAAGTGCCCAAATCTAACAAGGTCCGGCAAGGTCCGGAGAGTCTCCCACGGCCACATGATGCCTTCCGAGGCTTGAATGTATTTGTTCGTCATTACGCAGGGTGCGCATACTCGTCTCGTAAGGCCTCACTACTAGACTCTTTCAACCTCACGGCAGCCTTGCGAGGCGTTTCAAGATCGGCTCAGCAGTTGTCGGCAGCTCTGATCACAGAGCCTGGCCCAATGTTGACACGTGCAGAGTTGGATATCTTGGGGCATCAATGAATTTTATGAATGATCATAGTGCAGCACTAATTTTCCTACAATACAAGAATGTGTATGCGAAGGAGTGATTATGTGTGCGTCTCGTTTGTGTGTGTGTGGCGTCTGTGCGTGTGTGAGTTTTGCATGTGAAGAATAGTTGAACAGATCCAGCGCCATAGGAACCAGCAGCTGATAAAACACTAAGATAATGTATTGGAACCTGCTGGATAAATCATTAAACTCGTGTCGCGAACTCTCAATAATGCAAGCGCGACGACACAACGACATACTCGAAATCTCAATTGCAAGACTGCATACGTCATGGCACGTCTACGACGTCTCAGACGCCTGGGAGGCCCACGGGACGCGTTTTTCGAGGAGACCGGCGACGAAGAGTATTTGGAAACTGCGTAGAAAATTTTCTAGATAGCGCAGAGTTGACAGACGAAAATGGCAGTGCTGATCCATACAGATGTGGTGTGCTGTGTAGAATGATGCCGCCGAAGATTTGAATGAATCTCTGCACGTCCATTGCCATCGACGAGGTATATTTGAATTCTAAATGGCCCTATTGTTGTGCGTGAGCACTTTATCTGACACCCAGTAACCTTTGCTCACCTTCGGCCACTGGGCAATGAGTGGAAGGGCGGCAGCTGCGCCGCTGAGGGCGTTGATAAGGCCAAGCAACTCGATCCAGAAGAGCAGTCGCTCGTGGTCAAAGAACAATTTTACTTCCTTCGTGAACTCAGTGTCGAAGATTGTCGTTTGTACGTGTGCAGCCCAAAATCGTGAGGAATAGGACAGGTGTGAAGGAATGCATCTTTCAACTCTTTCGCGAAGCCCAGTATCTTCGGAATTAGGGAGATCTCTCGTCCAGTGCATCGATCACGATCACGACAGGGCCCGCGGTGGAGTCAGAGCTTCCCTAGCGGTTCCATAATAGTAAGTTTCTGCCACTGCTGGACGATATCCACCGTAGTCTTGAACGCACTTGCATTTTGAACAGTATCCACCAAGGCTCGTCTCATCTCCGGGTGACGGTCAGCGAGGTCGCGCGCGATAGTGGAAAAGACCTTTCCATAGCGACGGTCCGCTTGACTTGTTGAAGACTCACAAAAATTCTTCTTCTCCGAATAATCCCTGATAAAATGGGCACATTTAAGGGTCTGCTGAAAGATCTGTCCAAGGATACTGCGCATCGACGAAATCTGGCCAAGCGTCTCGTCTTGGATCGTGAAGCCGTAGACTTGATCAAACTTGAAGACAACTTGAAGACGATGTATCGCTTCATCGCGATCCACGTGAGCGAGAATAATCTACGCGTATGGTTGCTGAGCAGGAGATAGAATTGAGAGCCATACAACGTACTTTGAATGCACAAGACAACACGCCCAGTGCCATCTTTTCATATGGATGTACCTATGGAACGGGATTAGTTCGGTTCCGAACGAGAGGAGAAGCCCACACATCCGCGATCTTCTCGATAACAATGTCAAATATCCTAAGGGGTTTGAGATATTTGTCCTGGAAATTGTCTACACTATCGAGATTCGCCTGTGCACTTCGGGCGGCAGACATCCCAGACTTCACATGTGCCCCAGCCCTTTCAGTCACTCATTCACCTGCATATCTAATGCGAGAATCTGAGCCTGTTCAAATCCTTCCTGCGTGCCTTCGGGATGGATTCCTCACCTGGCACGAAGCTAAAAAAACATCATTCTCACTGAGAGGTGTGTAAAACCATGCCTCGCGCCCTCATCCTTTGAGCTCCACCCCTCCTCGTGCGCCCTACCGCTCTCGCAGACCTCAGAACTCGCTGTCCGAGATCACACTGTGCGTAGACGTGCAACTCGAATCACTCGGCGCAGCACCTCTGAAAGACAACGACAATGTAGATCTGCAACTCAACTCGCGTCTGATGAAGCTGGACATCGGGGAGTCTCCCATCACGTTCGCGGGCCCATTGGACCCGCCGACTGCACCGTACCTGATGAGGTCGATCCCACAGTTCCTGTACATGATTGCCCCGCGGCTTGCGATGGATCACGGTGTCCGTAGTACTAGGCGAGCGGCACTTCAAGTGGACGCGTGAGCGGTATTTATTGGACGAGGCGGAAGAAGGTGTCGGAAGCTTTGTCGGAGATGGCGAAAGGTGAAGGTGAGGATGGTGACTGATATTTTTTTGGGAGATGTTTTAAATGAATTGTCGTCCATGTGGTGTTTCCAATTGGCCTTGCAGGATAGGTTGTATGGCCATAGAGACATGATGTATCAGCGCATGGATAACTAGACCGTACGAAGAGTGGAACATACGACAGCTGCAACCCAGCTACTGTTGCAGCTTGTGAGCAATTGAGATACTTTCAAACCGGAGGCCTGAGGGTAAAAAATGACAGAAAGGCGGTGGATTCATGATCGTCGAAAGCATTACGAGAGAGGTGGGCGAATGGGGTCAGGACCTGTCGGAACCGGAACATACGTAAAGCATCATTGACACGAGTTTGGCGGCAATGGATTATGCCTCTCCGGACCTTGGTGAAAGGCATATAGAATTTCCGCGAGCCGTTTGTAATATATATATGCAAGTTTGGAAAGGACTTCTCCTGGCAGGGGGAAATTTTTTGTCCAAGGCAAGTTAGCTCCAGCCGCCACGAAGCAACAGGTATCAAAGAAATCCTGTTTGACAGTTAAGATCAGCAACGTGGAACGAGAAACCAGCGGTCTACGCGGGCGCGTTGAAGATAAACCAATTTGCCAGTACGTAGTGGTACAAGTTCTTGTATTCCTTTGAGTTGATAGCACTGACGTGGCAGCACCTGGCCAGTGCACGTAGCAAGACGCAAAACGATTCAAGCACAGGGCGACTTAATTTGGGTGTCCATCATTCGCGTGAACCTCATGATCAGCTGCATATAAATTGAACGTGGTAAGTCTCAAAATCCTCAGAGACAATCGCCTTGTTTACAGTGAGTAATCCCGAGACTTGAAGCTTGAAGACTTGGGCAACCTGAAAATCCATTTCACATTCAGCACTTCCTGGACGTGCCATAGCACCTTCGCGTACACCTACACAATCAAAAATTTGACGGGTGGGTAGTTTCCCAACCTAACGATCATTACTAATTTGTATACTAGATACCATGAAGATTCGGTTCACTTACCTCGCCATCCTTGCCGCTGCCGCTGGGGTGAAGGCGACTCCTAGTAATACCGCTGGAATAGAGTGCTTACCGGGATGCCACCCTACTACGTATTCCTGCAAGGAAGGCTGGACACTCTTCTACGACGATCACGACAGATGTTATGAGTGCTGCACTTTGCTATAGCCATCGGGTTCGTACAGATGATGTATTTTAGGTTCTGAAGGTCAGACATGTGTGGATTTGTGTGATAAGACGACGAGCGGGGCGTACGCGAACTATTAAAACAAGTACAGTGTGTTGCATAAAGAACTGCGTAGTCGCATTTCCACAGAGCTTGTTTGTACCTATTTGCTCAGGCCAAATCATACCGATGAATTTTTCCAATGTGAGTTGAGCATGATGTTGAAGTGTTATTGGGGATGGGCAACGCCTCTAAGAAAAGCGTGACATTATGTAATCAAAATTGTAGTAGTACGAGCGGCAAACTGTGGCAAACTGTGTACGGACAAGCCTTTTGACACTATCAAGATCGTAAGTACCTATAAAAATGCTGTATCGTTGAATTATAATCAATTCTAAAACATTATGCATTAATAGCCATGGTCAACAAAACATAAGGGTCACTCAATCATCATACTCATCCTCGCATCCAGGCATCCCTGAGCATTGTTACTACCGTCTGGCTGCTCCATCGAGTGCTGCGTATCGTTTTTAGGGTGCGTTTCACCTCGTACGTAGCGCCCAACTGCATCCATCAATACCTCAACCTTTTTTGCTTTTCCTGATGGCGTGTTTTTTGCAGCAGGCACATCCTTGTCAAATCGACGATGCCACCGGATCTGCAGGTTAATTTCGTCGACGCGGAGCTTTTCGACTTCTGCAAGGGTCAAACGAGGCACAACTGCAGTGAGCTTAGCCTCTGCAGCATCCCGCCGTTCCTTCCTCCGCACATCCAGCTGCTTGTTCTTCCTCACCCGCTCCTTATCATAGTTAGCCTGCGCAACCCGCCGTTTTCGCTCATCACCTCGTGTATCAACAGCGCGAGCCTTCTTGAGCAACCTCTTTTGAGCCCCAGGCCGAAGGAAATTCTGTATGTAGGTTCCTGTCATGTTCTTCTTGTACATGAACCGAGAGTTGAGGTGTGACAAGGACATGTGCGGTGCTCGCCCAAAGACGTACGGACTGTCCCTAGGGCGCCTTCGTTGTCGTCGTTTGTTGTTTTCATGTAAGCCATCTCTCTTTGAGCAGCGGATGACTTATCTATCACTCCACCAGCAGTGAACTCGCCACAAAAGCGGACCCAAGTGTCAAGAGCACCTTCCAAAAATGTGACAAGAAGACGACGAAGGTGAGGGTATTTTTTTGGTCTTGGGCGATTCGCTGGATTGCGTAAAATGCCTCTGGACGCTCAAATGGCCTACCATCCAGGGTTGCTGTTTCGTGAGAGGCGCTCGGACCCAAAACAAGGTCAACATCCGCAATGAGACACTGTAGGTGAGCAATGACCTTGGCATGAATGGGCCCCAGGTCCAGTATGTTGGTGGATGAATCTCGCTCGGGTTGACCCATATCAAGTTCTGGATACCGGTCAGCCCAGTCGACGAGCTACGAGTCGTACGACTGCCAGTATGATCCATAAAGCGAAGCAGTCGAAGAAAGCGGACAGAGACGAACGCCAACGCGAAGAAATCCTCTTTAACCTTGGCTACTCTTTTAGAGATACCCGCACCGGCGCCAGCGCCGTCGCAAACAAGCAAAAGTACGTGAAGATGGGGGTGAGATTAAATCAAATGTCTCGAAGTCCCAGACCTCAATGTCTGACGATGGCTAGATACAGCGACTTCCGCAGTTCTAGCGATTCCTGTATCAATGTCAATACCTGCGCCTGCATTGTCACCTTTGGTGATGCCCTTACCAACGCCGAGTCCCATGCTTGGGCTGCGCAGAACCTTGCATCAGGGTCTTGCACCTTCCCGGTGCCTGTACGCCAGAAGGCGCTACTTGATGACGACGAGTCAAGTATAGCGCTTGTGGACGTAGATCCATCTCAGAGATGGGAAATGGATCGACAACGTGGGGTTCCTCTCGGGAAAGGGTGGCGAGGCACCATCAACGGACCGTAGAATCACATCCAGCGTGTGCAGCGGTTTAGTCAGGCTCCAAAACGAAGTCCTTTCTCAGTCTCGTTTCGCGAACTCTCGATTGTCGCTCAGGATTCCTGAGGATCAAGATCCGTATTCCGACGACCGCAGCGTGCAGGGATCATCTGATACTTCTCCAGTTACGCCCAAACACAAGCTGCCTCTACCGCACATTCCCCTTTCGCCATCGAGATATTCCATAGATCTCAGTCACCACAGCCCTCATCGTCTGTCATCTCATTATTGCGCAACCCAGTCCATTCTTCAAGAGTACACCTTCCCCTCAATCTCTCTTACCTTCCCCACTTCACAGTGGTCACGGTGATCACCACTTCTCTCGAAAGCTCTTCCACCGGAAGCGGAAAGAGCGTGCAAGTAGTGAACCCTTGGAGGACTGGGAAGTCTTGGATCGTACCGATTCATTCGTCGTTGGACGACTCTCCAGCTCACCATAGCCCTCCAAGCCCGGCTCCTGCACCAAGTTCAGGCTTCGCTGAGACGTGGCCTTATCCCGATGTCTTCACAGAAGATACGCGCGTCTCAGTTGCGAATCGACATCCATACCGCCCTAGCGTTCGGACTGTACCACCAGCTGAAGAGCGTCCTCAACGTCCAGCTTCCCCTCCATTTGTTAACCGACATATTCGGAGGCGCACTAGTTCTAGTTTGCGTAGCGATCACGTGAGCGCATCGAGAGCGCTCCAGTATCCCCAATTCTTCGTCTTCTGCTTCCTCTTTAGCTCTTCGAGCTTGTCGTTGGCCACTGTTGGAAGGACACTTCCACAGATTCTCATTCATATGCATCTGCCAAGACCTTCCTCTACGATGGACCCTGAGCAACCCACTTTCCCGAGCAACCCCCACAAATCCCCTCCCTCCTCTTCCCAGACGGACGGACGCACTGCTTCCTGTTCGTAATGATGAGGCTGGCGATGTCCCCCCTGAAGCTATGCTCCAAGACATCTCAATATACATCACCAAGGACGAAGAATATGCTGTTGCTCGCGGCGGATTCGGGGATATCTGGAAATGTACCTATCACAAAGATCAAGCACCGATCCAAGTTCGTTTGCAGTGTTTTGTCTGACCATCTCTCTAAAATTGATAAATTTGCAGGTCGCAGTGAAAGCATTACATGCGTATGCTGCCGATCATCATGATGCAGCGAAGAAGAAGAAGAAAGTCAAGGTGAGTGGCTCGACGAAGGACTGCATCTATTACTTATGCCAGAGGTTGCCACTTCGCAGAGGATGCAGCATGAACTCAAAATATGCGCCAGCCTCGAGCATACAAACATTCTGCCAGTTTTTGGTTATACAACTGGCTTCGGCCTATTTATAGCATAGTCAGTCCTTGGGCTGAGAATGGAAACCTGTCAACCTATTTGGCACGTGAGGGTGAGGCTCTTACTCTCGTTAGACGATTCCAGATAGTAAGTCCTCTATTGTATTCATGTAGATGGTGACTAATGCCAATCTCAGCTCAGAGATATCATAGCTGGTCTACAATATCGTGCGTGCCAGTCACTCTCAATGCCAGATCTGGAGTTTTAACTATTTACAGTTCATGTCAACAGTGTCATCCATGGTGACCTCAATGGGGTAAATTAAAGTTCACCCTTCTCGAGAGTTTCAATTTCATTGAGACGTGCGTTCTAGCCTAATGTGCTCATCAATGGTGATGGTACTGCTTGTGTTGCCGACTTCGGTCTTTCCTTGATGTATTCGGAGGTTATAAGAGCCTCTCAAGCTTCCTGGACTTCCACATTCAAAGGCAACTTGAGATGGATGGCTCCTGAGCTCCTTGCGGAGCGAGAGGATGGATCTCCAGTACGACCAAGCAAGCAGAGTGACATCTATTCGTTCGGCGGTATTATGCTACAGGTACGTCTAGGTAATTTCAACGTCTCGGTGATATCATCAGCTCGCTCTTAGGTGCTCACCAACAAAATTCCCTACTATTACTCAAATGACATAGCTATCATGCTATCATGGTCAAGTTAGAAAAGCCTTCCCGATCTCGTTATCCCGAGCAGCCTGACAAGTACTGGGATCTATCGAGCAATGTTGGTCTACTGATCCTCTGAAGCGTCCATCAACGGAGGGAATTGATGAAGTGATCAAGAACGAATTTCTCTCGCTATCCGGATCTCATTGATTCTTCAACTGCTTTGCATACAACCACCTATTTATAACACAAACGGACGCGCTTGGACTGTTTTGCATACGACAACCTGTTTATTTTACTTTATAACCCAAATGGACAGATAGACAGTATGTGGTATTAGCCCCACTCAATTATGGCGCTGGATCTGTTCAACTATTCTTCACATACAAAACTCACACACGCACAGACGCCACACACACACAAACGAGACGACACACATAATCACTCCGTCGCATACACACTCTCGTACCGTAGAAAAATTAGTACTGCACTATTAGATCTGACATGATTCGATAATCAATTTAATTGCAGACAAGGCTGCTGATGAAGGGTTCTATAAACGAATCTTTTAAGGCCCGGCTGGTAGACGAGATGGAGCGATGAGAAGTGAGTAGGTCTCGGAGTGAAACGCACTGAGAGTCGCCAGCATTGGCAGCAAAGCCTCGAATCTTTTTAAGGCCTGGCCGGTGGACGAGACGGAGTGATGAGAAGTGAGTAGGTCTCGGAGTGATGATCAATTTATATTGCAGACAAGGCTGCTAATGAAGGGTTCTATAAGCGCCAATCAAGTAGTCCAAGGGCAAAAAAAACGCACCGAAGCCGCCAGCATTGGCAGCAAAGCCTCGGCTGGTGGACGAGAGCGAGAAAAGAAGACGGAAAGCTGCCATATTGGTGTCAAAAAGATGTTCGCGCTGGGTGGATCCTTGATGTCAGTGTCGATGAGAAGGGCCATCAGCAAAAGTGCCCAAATCTAACAAGGTCCGGCAAGGTCCGGAGAGTCTCCCACGGCCACATGATGCCTTCCGAGGCTTGAATGTATTTGTTCGTCATTACGCAGGGTGCGCATACTCGTCTCGTAAGGCCTCACTACTAGACTCTTTCAACCTCACGGCAGCCTTGCGAGGCGTTTCAAGATCGGCTCAGCAGTTGTCGGCAGCTCTGATCACAGAGCCTGGCCCAATGTTGACACGTGCAGAGTTGGATATCTTGGGGCATCAATGAATTTTATGAATGATCATAGTGCAGCACTAATTTTCCTACAATACAAGAATGTGTATGCGAAGGAGTGATTATGTGTGCGTCTCGTTTGTGTGTGTGTGGCGTCTGTGCGTGTGTGAGTTTTGCATGTGAAGAATAGTTGAACAGATCCAGCGCCATAGGAACCAGCAGCTGATAAAACACTAAGATAATGTATTGGAACCTGCTGGATAAATCATTAAACTCGTGTCGCGAACTCTCAATAATGCAAGCGCGACGACACAACGACATACTCGAAATCTCAATTGCAAGACTGCATACGTCATGGCACGTCTACGACGTCTCAGACGCCTGGGAGGCCCACGGGACGCGTTTTTCGAGGAGACCGGCGACGAAGAGTATTTGGAAACTGCGTAGAAAATTTTCTAGATAGCGCAGAGTTGACAGACGAAAATGGCAGTGCTGATCCATACAGATGTGGTGTGCTGTGTAGAATGATGCCGCCGAAGATTTGAATGAATCTCTGCACGTCCATTGCCATCGACGAGGTATATTTGAATTCTAAATGGCCCTATTGTTGTGCGTGAGCACTTTATCTGACACCCAGTAACCTTTGCTCACCTTCGGCCACTGGGCAATGAGTGGAAGGGCGGCAGCTGCGCCGCTGAGGGCGTTGATAAGGCCAAGCAACTCGATCCAGAAGAGCAGTCGCTCGTGGTCAAAGAACAATTTTACTTCCTTCGTGAACTCAGTGTCGAAGATTGTCGTTTGTACGTGTGCAGCCCAAAATCGTGAGGAATAGGACAGGTGTGAAGGAATGCATCTTTCAACTCTTTCGCGAAGCCCAGTATCTTCGGAATTAGGGAGATCTCTCGTCCAGTGCATCGATCACGATCACGACAGGGCCCGCGGTGGAGTCAGAGCTTCCCTAGCGGTTCCATAATAGTAAGTTCTGCCACTGCTGGACGATATCCACCGTAGTCTTGAACGCACTTGCATTTTGAACAGTATCCACCAAGGCTCGTCTCATCTCCGGGTGACGGTCAGCGAGGTCGCGCGCGATAGTGGAAAAGACCTTTCCATAGCGACGGTCCCGCTTGACTTGTTGAAGACTCACAAAAATTCTTCTTCTCCGAATAATCCCTGATAAAATGGGCACATTTAAGGGTCTGCTGAAAGATCTGTCCAAGGATACTGCGCATCGACGAAATCTGGCCAAGCGTCTCGTCTTGGATCGTGAAGCCGTAGACTTGATCAAACTTGAAGACAACTTGAAGACGATGTATCGCTTCATCGCGATCCACGTGAGCGAGAATAATCTACGCGTATGGTTGCTGAGCAGGAGATAGAATTGAGAGCCATACAACGTACTTTGAATGCACAAGACAACACGCCCAGTGCCATCTTTTCATATGGATGTACCTATGGAACGGGATTAGTTCGGTTCCGAACGAGAGGAGAAGCCCACACATCCGCGATCTTCTCGATAACAATGTCAAATATCCTAAGGGGTTTGAGATATTTGTCCTGGAAATTGTCTACACTATCGAGATTCGCCTGTGCACTTCGGGCGGCAGACATCCCAGACTTCACATGTGCCCCAGCCCTTTCAGTCACTCATTCACCTGCATATCTAATGCGAGAATCTGAGCCTGTTCAAATCCTTCCTGCGTGCCTTCGGGATGGATTCCTCACCTGGCACGAAGCTAAAAAAACATCATTCTCACTGAGAGGTGTGTAAAACCATGCCTCGCGCCCTCATCCTTTGAGCTCCACCCCTCCTCGTGCGCCCTACCGCTCTCGCAGACCTCAGAACTCGCTGTCCGAGATCACACTGTGCGTAGACGTGCAACTCGAATCACTCGGCGCAGCACCTCTGAAAGACAACGACAATGTAGATCTGCAACTCAACTCGCGTCTGATGAAGCTGGACATCGGGGAGTCTCCCATCACGTTCGCGGGCCCATTGGACCCGCCGACTGCACCGTACCTGATGAGGTCGATCCCACAGTTCCTGTACATGATTGCCCCGCGGCTTGCGATGGATCACGGTGTCCGTAGTACTAGGCGAGCGGCACTTCAAGTGGACGCGTGAGCGGTATTTATTGGACGAGGCGGAAGAAGGTGTCGGAAGCTTTGTCGGAGATGGCGAAAGGTGAAGGTGAGGATGGTGACTGATATTTTTTTGGGAGATGTTTTAAATGAATTGTCGTCCATGTGGTGTTTCCAATTGGCCTTGCAGGATAGGTTGTATGGCCATAGAGACATGATGTATCAGCGCATGGATAACTAGACCGTACGAAGAGTGGAACATACGACAGCTGCAACCCAGCTACTGTTGCAGCTTGTGAGCAATTGAGATACTTTCAAACCGGAGGCCTGAGGGTAAAAAATGACAGAAAGGCGGTGGATTCATGATCGTCGAAAGCATTACGAGAGAGGTGGGCGAATGGGGTCAGGACCTGTCGGAACCGGAACATACGTAAAGCATCATTGACACGAGTTTGGCGGCAATGGATTATGCCTCTCCGGACCTTGGTGAAAGGCATATAGAATTTCCGCGAGCCGTTTGTAATATATATATGCAAGTTTGGAAAGGACTTCTCCTGGCAGGGGGAAATTTTTTGTCCAAGGCAAGTTAGCTCCAGCCGCCACGAAGCAACAGGTATCAAAGAAATCCTGTTTGACAGTTAAGATCAGCAACGTGGAACGAGAAACCAGCGGTCTACGCGGGCGCGTTGAAGATAAACCAATTTGCCAGTACGTAGTGGTACAAGTTCTTGTATTCCTTTGAGTTGATAGCACTGACGTGGCAGCACCTGGCCAGTGCACGTAGCAAGACGCAAAACGATTCAAGCACAGGGCGACTTAATTTGGGTGTCCATCATTCGCGTGAACCTCATGATCAGCTGCATATAAATTGAACGTGGTAAGTCTCAAAATCCTCAGAGACAATCGCCTTGTTTACAGTGAGTAATCCCGAGACTTGAAGCTTGAAGACTTGGGCAACCTGAAAATCCATTTCACATTCAGCACTTCCTGGACGTGCCATAGCACCTTCGCGTACACCTACACAATCAAAAATTTGACGGGTGGGTAGTTTCCCAACCTAACGATCATTACTAATTTGTATACTAGATACCATGAAGATTCGGTTCACTTACCTCGCCATCCTTGCCGCTGCCGCTGGGGTGAAGGCGACTCCTAGTAATACCGCTGGAATAGAGTGCTTACCGGGATGCCACCCTACTACGTATTCCTGCAAGGAAGGCTGGACACTCTTCTACGACGATCACGACAGATGTTATGAGTGCTGCACTTTGCTATAGCCATCGGGTTCGTACAGATGATGTATTTTAGGTTCTGAAGGTCAGACATGTGTGGATTTGTGTGATAAGACGACGAGCGGGGCGTACGCGAACTATTAAAACAAGTACAGTGTGTTGCATAAAGAACTGCGTAGTCGCATTTCCACAGAGCTTGTTTGTACCTATTTGCTCAGGCCAAATCATACCGATGAATTTTTCCAATGTGAGTTGAGCATGATGTTGAAGTGTTATTGGGGATGGGCAACGCCTCTAAGAAAAGCGTGACATTATGTAATCAAAATTGTAGTAGTACGAGCGGCAAACTGTGGCAAACTGTGTACGGACAAGCCTTTTGACACTATCAAGATCGTAAGTACCTATAAAAATGCTGTATCGTTGAATTATAATCAATTCTAAACATTATGCATTAATAGCCATGGTCAACAAACATAAGGGTCACTCATCATCATACTCATCCTCGCATCCAGGCATCCCCTGAGCATTGTTACTACCGTCTGGCTGCTCCATCGAGTGCTGCGTATCGTTTTTAGGGTGCGTTTCACCTCGTACGTAGCGCCCAACTGCATCCATCAATACCTCAACCTTTTTTGCTTTTCCTGATGGCGTGTTTTTTGCAGCAGGCACATCCTTGTCAAATCGACGATGCCACCGGATCTGCAGGTTAATTTCGTCGACGCGGAGCTTTTCGACTTCTGCAAGGGTCAAACGAGGCACAACTGCAGTGAGCTTAGCCTCTGCAGCATCCCGCCGTTCCTTCCTCCGCACATCCAGCTGCTTGTTCTTCCTCACCCGCTCCTTATCATAGTTAGCCTGCGCAACCCGCCGTTTTCGCTCATCACCTCGTGTATCAACAGCGCGAGCCTTCTTGAGCAACCTCTTTTGAGCCCCAGGCCGAAGGAAGTTCTGTATGTAGGTTCCTGTCATGTTCTTCTTGTACATGAACCGAGAGTTGAGGTGTGACAAGGACATGTGCGGTGCTCGCCACAAAGACGTACGGACTGTCCCTAGGGCGCCTTCGTTGTCGTCGTTTGTTGTTTTCATGTAAGCCATCTCTCTTTGAGCAGCGGATGACTTATCTATCACTCCACCAGCAGTGAACTCGCCACAAAAGCGGACCCAAGTGTCAAGAGCACCTTCCAAAAATGTGACAAGAAGACGACGAAGGTGAGGGTATTTTTTTTGGTCTTGGGCGATTCGCTGGATTGCGTAAAATGCCTCTGGACGCTCAAATGGCCTACCATCCAGGGTTGCTGTTTCGTGAGAGGCGCTCGGACCCAAACAAGGTCAACATCCGCAATGAGACACTGTAGGTGAGCAATGACCTTGGCATGAATGGGCCCCAGGTCCAGTATGTTGGTGGATGAATCTCGCTCGGGTTGACCCATATCAAGTTCTGGATACCGGTCAGCCCAGTCGACGAGCTACGAGTCGTACGACTGCCAGTATGATCCATAAAGCGAAGCAGTCGAAGAAAGCGGACAGAGACGAACGCCAACGCGAAGAAATCCTCTTTAACCTTGGCTACTCTTTTAGAGATACCCGCACCGGCGCCAGCGCCTGTCGCAAACAAGCAAAAGTACGTGAAGATGGGGGTGAGATTAAATCAAATATCTCGAAATCCCAGACCTCAATGTCCTGACCGATTGGCTAGATACAGCGACTTCCGCAGTTCTAGCGATTCCTGTATCAATGTCAATACCTGCGCCTGCATTGCCACCTTTGATGATGCCCTTACCAACGCCGAGTCCCATGCTTGGGCGTGCGCAGAACCTTGCATCAGGGTCTTGCACCTTCCCGGTGCCTGTACGCCAGAAGGCGCTACTTGATGACGACGAGTCAAGTATAGCGCTTGTGGACGTAGATCCATCTCAGAGATGGGAAATGGATCGACAACGTGGGGTTCCTCTCGGGGAAAGGGTGGCGAGGCACCATCAACGGACCGTAGAATCACATATTCCAGCCGTGTTGCAGCGGTTTAGTCAGGCTCCAAAACGAAGTCCTATTTCTCAGTCTCGTTTCGCGAACTCTCGATTGTCGCTCAGGATTCCTGAGGATCAAGATCCGTATTCCGACGACCGCAGCGTGCAGGGATCGTCTGATACTTCTCCAGTTACGCCCAAACACAAGCTACCTCTACCGCACATTCCCCTTTCGCCATCGAGAATATTCCATAGATCTCAGTCACCACAGCCCTCATCGTCTGTCATCTCATTATTGCGCAACCCCAGTCCATTCTTCAAGAGTACACCTTCACCCCTCAATCTCTCTTTACCTTCCCCACTTCACAGTGGTCACGGTGATCACCACTTCTCTCGAAAGCTCTTCCACCGGAAGCGGAAAGAGCGTGCAAATAGTGAACCCTTGGAGGACTGGGAAGTCTTGGATCGTACCGATTCATCTCATTCGTCGTTGGACGACTCTCCAGCTCACCATAGCCCTCCAAGCCCGGCTCCTGCACCAAGTTCAGGCTTCGCTGAGACGTGGCCTTATCCCGATGTCTTCACAGAAGATACGCGCGTCTCAGTTGCGAATCGACATCCATACCGCCCTAGCGTTCGGACTGTACCACCAGCTGAAGAGCGTCCTCAACGTCCAGCTTCCCCTCCATTTGTTAACCGACATATTCGGAGGCGCACTAGTTCTAGTTTGCGTAGCGATCACGTGAGCGCATCGAGCGCTCCAGTATCCCCAATTTCTTCGTCTTCTGCTTCCCTCTTTAGCTCTTCGAGCTTGTCGTTGGCCACTGTTGGAAGGACACTTCCACAGATTCTCATTCATATGCATCTGCCAAGACCTTCCTCTACGATGGACCCTGAGCAACCCACTTTCCCGAGCAACCCCCACAAATCCCCTCCCTCCTCTTCCCAGACGGACGGACGCACTGCTTCCTGTTCGTAATGATGAGGCTGGCGATGTCCCCCCTGAAGCTATGCTCCAAGACATCTCAATATACATCACCAAGGACGAAGAATATGCTGTTGCTCGCGGCGGATTCGGGGATATCTGGAAATGTACCTATCACAAAGATCAAGCACCGATCCAAGTTCGTTTGCAGTGTTTTGTCTGACCATCTCTCTAAAATTGATAAATTTGCAGGTCGCAGTGAAAGCATTACATGCGTATGCTGCTGATCATCATGATGCAGCGAAGAAGAAGAAGAAAGTCAAGGTGAGTGGCTCGACGAAGGACTGCATGTATTACTTACGCCAGATGTTGCCACTTCGCAGAGGATGCAGCATGAACTCAAAATATGCGCCAGCCTCGAGCATACAAATATTCTGCCAGTTTTTGGTTATACAACTGGCTTCGGCCTATTTATAGCGATAGTCAGTCCTTGGGCTGAGAATGGAAACTTGTCAACCTATTTGGCACGTGAGGGTGAGGCTCTTACTCTCGTCAGACGATTCCAGATAGTAAGTCCTCTATGTATTTCATGTAGATGGTGGACTCATGCCAATCTCAGCTCAGAGATATCACAGCTGGTCTACAATATCGTGCGTGCCAGTCACTCTTAATGCCAGATCTAGAGTTATAACTATATACAGTTCATGTCAACAGTGTCATCCATGGTGACCTCAATGGAGTAAATTAAAGTTCACCCTTCTCGAGAGTTTCAATTTCATTGAGACGTGCGTTCTAGCCTAATGTGCTCATCAATGGTGATGGTACTGCTTGTGTTGCCGACTTCGGTCTTTCCTTGATGTATTCGGAGGTTATAAGAGCCTCTCAAGCTTCCTGGACTTCCACATTCAAAGGCAACTTGAGATGGATGGCTCCTGAGCTCCTTGCGGAGCGAGAGGATGGATCTCCAGTACGACCAAGCAAGCAGAGTGATATCTATTCGTTCGGCGGTATTATGCTACAGGTACGTCTAGGTAATTTCAACGTCTCGATGATATCATCAGCTCTGCTCTTAGGTGCTCACCAACAAAATTCCTTACTATTACTCAAATAACATAACCATTATGCTATGCATGGATCAAGTTGGAAAAGCCTTCCCGATCTCGTTATCCCGAGCAGCCCGACAAGTACTGGGATCTTATTGAGCAATGTTGGTCTACTGATCCTCTGAAGCGTCCATCAACGGAGGGAATTGATGAAGTGATCAAGAACGAATTTCTCTCGCTATCCGGATCTCACTGATTCTTCGAACTGTTTTGCATACGACAACCTGTTTACATTACTTTATAACCCAAATGGACAGATAGACAGTATGTGGTATTAGCCCCACTCAATTACATTTTATTTCGCTCATTTTATTTTTATTCGCAAATGAGCATATATTGGCGTGTGGAACCAGCAGCTGATAAAATACTAAGATAATGTATTGGAACCTGCTGGATAAACCATTAAACTCGTGTCGCGAACTCTCAATAATGCAAGCGCGACGACACAACGACATACTCGAAATCTCAATTGCAAGACTGAATATGTCATGGCACGATCTACGACGTCTCGGACGCCTGGGAGGCCCACGGGACGCGTTTTTCGAGGAGACCGGCGATGAAGAGTATTTGGAAACTGCGCAGAAAATCTTCTAGATAGCGCAGAGTTGACAGGCGAAATGGCAGTGCTGATACATACAGATGTGGTGTGCTGTTGTAGAATGATGCCGCCAAGATTTGAATGAATCTCTGCACGTCCATTGCCATCGACGAGGTATCTTTGAATTCGAAATGGCCCTATTGTTGCGCGTGAGCACTTTATCTGACACCCAGTAACTTTTGCTCACCTTCGGCCACTGGGCAATGAGTGGAAGGGCGGCAGCTGCGCCGCTGAGGGCGTTGATAAGGCCAAGCAACTCGATCCAGAAGAGCAGTCGCTCGTGGTCAAAGAACAATTTTACTTCCTTCGTGAACTCAGTGTCGAAGATTGTCGTTTGTACGTGCGCAGCCCAAAATCGTGAGGAATAGGACAGGTGTGAAGGAATGCATCTTTCGACTCTTTCAGGTTGTATTGCAGGATAGGTTGTATGGCCATAAAGACATGATGTATCACAGCACGGATAACTAGACCGTACGAAGAGTGGAACATACGACAGCTGCAACCCAGCTACTGTTGCAGCTTGTGAGCAATTGAGACACTTTCAAACCGGAGGCCCGAGGATGAAAAATAACAGAAAAGCGGTAGATTCATGATCGTCGAAAGCATTACAAGAGAGGTGCACGAGTGGGGTCAGGACCTGTCGGAACCGGAACATATGTAAAGCATCATTGACACGAGTCTGGCGGCAATGGATTATGCCTCTCCGGACCTTGGTGAAAGGCATATAGAATTTCCGCGAGCCGTTTGTAATATATATGTGCAAGTTTAGAAAGGACTTCTCCTGACAGGGGGAATTTTTTTGTCTAAGGCAAGTTAGCTCCACGCTGCAGCAGAAGCCGCCACAAGGAAACACGTGTCAAAAAAATTGGTAAAACCAGCTAAGATTAGCAACATGGAACGAGAAACTAGCGGTCTACGCGGGCGCGTTGAAGATAAACCAATTTGCCAGTACGTAGTAGTACAAGTTCTTGTATTCCTTTGAATTGATAGCATTGACGTGGCAGCACCTGGCAAGTGCACGTAGCAAGACGCAAAATGATTCAAGCACAGGGCGACTTGATTATTCATTTGGGTGTCCGTCATTCGCGTGAACCTCATGATCAGCTGCATATAAATTGAACGTGGTAAGTCTCAACATCCTCAGAGACAATCGCCTTGTTTACAGTAAGTAATCCCGAGACTTGAAGCTTGAAGACTTGGGCAACCTGAAAATCCATTTCACATTCAGCACTTCCTGGACGTGTCATAGCACCTTCGCGTACATCTACACAATCAAAAAATTTGACGGGTGGGTAGTTTCCCAACCTAACGATCATTACTAATTTGTATACTAGATACCATGAAGATTCAGTTCACTTACCTCGCCGTCCTTGCCGCTGCCGCTGGGGTGAAGGCGGCTCCTAGTAATACCGAGGCTGGAGTAGCGTGCTTACCTGGATGCAACCCTACTGCGAAGTCCTGCAACGGAGGCTGGAAACCCTTCTACGACCATCACAACAGATGCTATGAGTGCTGCAGTGCTTCGCTGTAGCCGTCGGGTTTGTACAGATGATGTATTTTAGGTTCTGAAGATCAGAGATGTGTGGAATCCGGATGCTAAGGTAGACGACATACATTTACTGTAAACGTCACGTGATACTGTGCCTAAATAGGAAACGGGTCACTTAGCCTTAATTTGTGATTTCCAGTACGAGCATGGAGTATTGTAGCGGAAAAAGTACATGGAATGATAGAAAACAATTCTGGCTATAACAATTGCATGTTGTTAGAATTTTAGAGAAGTGTTGTGAAGGTCTATGAATATTTTGCCAGAGGGTTTCAGTTTCGGTCAAAACCAATGTAACGGGTCAGCCGCCAGCAACCTCCGGTACCCGAAATGGCAACCGGTGCATCATGTCGGAAATTTCCTATTCGGGTTTCATGGCCTTGCAACACGTTGCAATGATCCAATGACAAGCCCAGGTCCCAATGTGTTGCAATAAAAGAGTCTTACGTTACAATTATGTTACAATTCGGTTAGAATCGTGCCTTTCAACCAAGGTTTCAACTGAGTTGGCAATATCAGGGGTCACTTCCAACTGGCTACCTATTTTTGTCTCAATGACGTTGGAATGAACACATTTAGGTTTCAAGTCAATTCAGACATCCTTGAGACTGACCAAATCTGATTATAACGAGTGCAACCATTAACAATGCATATCTATCTACGTATAATACTCTGCTGCTGTACTATTACTACTTCTGTTTGCGACTCCTTGTTGCCCATCGGCCATGTTGCTGCCCTTCTGTCAATGCATCTGGATCCACTGATGATGATATAGGTGTGAGTACCCCAGCCTTCTTTCCTCGGCCTCGTCGACCAGAGGATGATTGAGAAGCTATGGCTTGTGGCAGAGCCTCCCCGTTGCTGGGTATGCTGGGAACTGCAGTGATGCCTAGATGAGAGGCGGGGATGGCAACAGCGGCAGGCACAATGGGTGGGAATTCGGTGGCCATGGTGACAGTGACTGCAGGCGTGACAGCAGGTAGGAGTCTGAGTGTTGTAGAAGTCACAGCAGAAACCAGGGTGATGATGGTTTCAGCTGGTGCGGCAGGAAGGGGTGCTGGTGCAGCGGGAAGGGGTACTGGTGAGGTGGGAAGGGGTGCTGGTGCGGTGGGAAGGGGTGCTCGTACAGTGGGAGGGACAGCTGGTCCAGCCAGAAACATTGTTGGTGAACTGTGGGTTATGGGAGGTGCAAAATCGTCATTGGTAGTCAGAACATCTGAATCTTTGCGGCCTGCATTGGCGAGGGCCAAGCACATTAAATCAGATGTAAAATCTTCGCCTTCAGCATCAGAAGTCGCGACATTGGTGGTCGATGACGATTGCCAGACGTGGCTATCGATTTTTTGCCGGATTGAGATAATACGAGGTTCGTCCCAAAGTGTCACCCACAGTTGCTTGTAGGCTGTGAACATGGCCGCATACGGTAGTTGAGATTTCACGCCAACTCCATCTTTGGTGAATGAGGTATCTGTGGACAGAATGAAGATCAACTTAACAGCTGTTAGACACCGAGAATTGATCATAATAAAAGAGGGACAACTTACGGCGACCCAACCCCAGGCAAGAAGACCAGGAGTACATGACGTTGTGCCCCATTTTCGAGCGTTACACTTGGCGCGTGGCCACCCAATAATGTCGAGTGAATTTTTTCCGAACATCACAATTCTAATCGCCTATATAAAGCATAGCTTAAGCACAGATTCTTCAGACAGCTGTAATAAAAAATAAATACCTTTGCGAGCGGTTCCCAGTTACCAAAAACTGTGGACATCGTGGGGTCCATTTCTTGTCTCATAAAAAGGATAGATGGAAACTTTGATGACGGAGAGTGACCAAGCATCTTCTGTATTTCTAGAATTGTGTCTCATTTCATAAAACTGGTATCAAAGTAGGATGGATTGAGGCCAAAGATACGCCCTGCCATCACTCGCAACTTGCCAATCTCACTGGAGCGACCGCCTTGAAGATGGTGTTCCAGCTGTGGTATTATATATCAATAATCAATCTGCTAGATCACAACAACCTAAGACATACCAAAGACTGGAAATGAGTAGTTGGTACAAAGCGATGGAGATGACCTGGGAGAAGCGAGTATAGTTCTGTTATGAGACAGAGTTCTTCTGCACTCTTGCTTGCATAGCGGCTCCCAGATAGGATGGTGGGTGGAGGATTTGGCACAGGTAGTTTGAGAACATGGTGCATGGGTGGAAACATCTCCACAACAATGCCATACTTGCGGGAAAAAGTGGCAAGCTCAGCATCAAAAGCCTTTAGCTCATCCGGAACATGGGTGTTTGAACATCGACGTTGATTGGATGATAATGTCTTATTCTTCTCGCCCAAAGTACAATTATCGTTCTTTAGCATTTGGTTTTCGAGTTGTAAGCGCCGAATGATCTTGAATACAATTAGGAGAGTAGATAGTTGCAGGCATGAATCATACCTCCATATCCCCATGCTGTTGTGGCCTTTGTCGCGTGTTGGAGACTGATGACTGACGGCTGGTCAATGAGATCCGTGGACCTCCTGCTGCAGACCCAGAGTCCGATTCACCATAATCCAACGAGTCATATTCATTGTCAGATGTGCGATGGGGAGCCCGCTGGGGCATAATAAGAAATATGCGTGCAGTAGATTGAGACGGTGAAGCACAACAGGAGAGGGAGAGAACTTATAGTCAAAATTCATTGTGCATTGACAACCGAGCAGCGTCGGCACAAAGGGAAACCCGTGCAACAGATTACATGCATGGACTTGGCATGTACATCAGAATGTATCAGGTAAAAGGTAGTACATGAGGCAACTTACCTGTGTGGCACCAAATCCAGCATTGCAAAAGCTCTAATGGCTCACAAAAGTTAAGTAAAAATGCAGCAAGACGCCAAAGGTAAAAGAACTTGCCGAAAACAAGTGATGACGTGTTATCAGAGGCAGAGAAAATGGTGCAACTTATTACCTGTATCCATGAGGCAGCAATGCTTCAGCATGAGTCATTTGTCTGTGCAGCAGGGTATTAATCAGAATATCATCATTTAATCAGTGGTCAGCACACCAACAAATGATACTCAAGGCGGCAAATTTAAAAACCACTGCATCCGACAACACCTGGACCTCCCAAAGGCTTTAATCCAAGACCAGTGGATTGAAAAGCAGCAGAATGTGTGGATGAGGCGAAATAATAATCAGTACTTGCCTAGAATGATACAAAGGGTCGAAATGCAGTTGAATCTTCAACTCAATCAACTTGCAATTGATGTGAAAGCATTAATAGAACCAATTGGAACCTGATTGGAACCAATGGACTTCGCAAAAATCCTTCAAGTTGCTTACATAATCATTATCATTACAGTTTGCACATTGTATCATATTAATGCACTTGGCTGCCGTCGTAAATATCATTCGTACATGCGTAGGTCAAGAGATCATGGATCATTCTGCGAGCTTGAGAAAATGAAAAGAAATGTATTACTATCATATGAAATGCATCTTTTTCGCCAGGTTCCATGCCGGTCTTTGAAATTCTTCCTCCAGCATTTGAGGTTGAAAGTCCTCATTAGGAATTGTGGCAGCGTTGATGCAACTCATTGGCATAGTGTGATCAAAAAAGTGTGAAGGTGAGGTCAGTGATAGGCTAGAACAAAGTGAGGGGGGAGGGGGGAGGGGGGAGGGAAGGGGTGAGGGTTACAGTAGTCAGACGAACCATAAAAAGAGGGCTTGGCACACGAACAAGGGCCAGATACCAGTGCACATTCCATGCTGGACGATGTGTAAGTTAGCTACGACGTGCGTAGCTAGAGGCGATGCGAGTGCGAAGGGGGTAGATAGACCGCTGAAGGAATGATAATGATTAGTGTTAGCTTCAAATGAGGGATGACAGATGTGAGAGATATCGTGAATCGGTAAATGAGAGTGAAACTGACCTGTTGCTTGAGATGTTGGCGGCGTCAAAACCCATGGTGGGGTTGAAGTAAAACGCGCCACGCGCACAGACAATCTATTGAAATGTTAGCACAAACACTGGGCGCGACAGTGTGGGATACTTGCATTGGCATCTTTGGGCGAGGGAAGGGGCGTGTCAGAATTATTTGCTGTGGATAGTGGAGTAGGGCTCACAGTATTATACAGGAGCTGGAATCGAGACGGAATGTGTCGCACAAGCATATGCATGACACAGCGTGAACGCGAGTTCCTGCAGGCTGAGACGAGGTGAGAAGGGTATGTAACAAAATGACGAAAACTGTGGGCTTACTTGTCCGTGTTGTATGTAATCTCTCAGCGTGATATAGTGGCTTGGTCTGCTAGCGGCACAGAGTGAACGCAAGTTCCTGCAGGCTAAAACGAGGTGAGAGTCTAAGGCTTGGGGATGGTGGATGTTTCGGACACAAACGAGCCAGAGAAGAAGATGCTTTCGACTGCAGCGGATGAGAACGAACGATCAATACTAGTCAATCTAACCTAATAACCAGCCTCCGTACGAATTTCCTTCATCCAAAGGAACATGTCTGTGTCAATCGTGTCGACAACCAAAAACTCGTTTGGTCTGGTGCTATCCTCTGCTAATACACAACCACGGACTATTGATTGAACCGAGAAGCATTCAGCAGAAGCCCTGGGCTTTGCCTTGACCCACCAAAATTTGAAGTGTTTATCCTTCCGCGGACGAGCACCAACCGGTTGATCATACGGGAGAGTGAGTGCGATGGGATATTGGACGTCCCCAACTGTGCAGGTGAAGATTAACAAGAGCTTGGTGAAGATGGCACCAGCTTCCGTCTGCAGGATAACACAATCATACCGAGGCAATCCATGAAACATTGGATTGCATCGGAGATAGTCCATGGAGACTCGCCAGTCAACGAGTGACTCATAGTTGACTTTAATGAATCTAAACTCGGTAATCTGAGCAAGAGTGCAATATTATTAGTGATGTTGTTTGAGGGCTGTAGATGCTCAATGCACCATATCACCAGCAGCAAGTTGGACACGTCTTCCACTGGGAAATGGTATGTTGTTGGCAGTGAATGTGCGGTTCAAAAATTCATTCAATTTGATCCGGAATCGATCAAAGGCTGGATTGCCCGCGTGACCTGCTTCAATGTCTGCGAATGATATAGTCGCCTGCCGTGAACCAAGAGTAAAATGCTGTGCATCAGTTGGTTTGGTCTGTTCGACCTCATTGGCCTCCGACAGATCAGGTAGATCTGACGAGCCGATATTCTGTGTGTTGAGGGAGTCCATCTTGCTGCGAATGTATTCTGCAACCAGGCTGTCGTGGTTGTATCGAAGAATCTTTAAATTTGTTTGTCAGCACTTGGTTCAGGAAGTACAGAATTATCTTCGAAGAAAGGTCGGAATTCACAAAGGATGAAGTCAATTTGCTTGAGGTCAGGAGGAATAATGATAGCGGTCTCTGATGAGTCGTCGACGTCCATGCTAGGGTATGCGTCGTCGTCAAGTCTAAGAAGCCACTTACCTGTTCAGCGAAATTCTTGAAGTTCGTACGATCCTGATAGGCATTCTTCAGCGGGCCGTGCATCTTTTCGTTCGGCTTCGTGTTGTAGTTTCGCATGACACCTTTTGCCTTGATGTCGTCGAAGACATGAGCAGAAAGGTGTTTCTTGGGAAAATTCCATGACTTCTCTGAGAGGTCTGCTGTATCTTCGATGTATGTCTGACTCGTAATTGAATCAATGGTGTTAATTGATAATATACACAATAAAACTTACATCCATCAATTCAGTGAGCTCCGACAATGCATTTCGGCCATCCTTGATTGTGTCTTTGGTATGAACCTCTAACGAGGCACATGTATTGAATTCCACATAGCTCTGAAGACAGCGAAGCAGGAGATAGGCCTGTGGATCCAGATCGTGCTTAAATACATTATGCACTGCGAAAACGATGAGCTATTGAATGACGTGAATAATTGATCTAAAGCTTGATAATATCATGACATACCTTTGATATATCTTTGTATTTAGTTCCGTCAGAAAAGGATACTGATACCACCTGGTCAAAATGGTTCAGATTTTGCCAACGTGGAAACGACTCAAAACTGGAAATCTAAATTAATGTTTACCTACTACAGACAGAAAAATACTTGCAAACTGTCGATCAGCACAGCCGCTTGTCGACCAGAACTAGCAATCCATTTTTGCAGTTCCATCCACAGGTGATCGAACATTCCCTCGTCATTAAAGTGAAGTTTGTCGAATGATAGAGTGCGGTGCACGTCAGTGTGGTCGATGGTGTCAAATGAATTCTGGTTTCAGTGATAGACAAACTAAAAATAAAAATTGAGGCGAGAGACTTACATCGACGTCACGGAGGCTCTCAGAGCTTAATATCTGCTCTCTTGCTTCCATTGTTGTAGACTGTCAGGCTCGAGCATGCAACGCCTTTGCGTCTATGGATGTGCAAAGCCGGTACACGTTGTATGTCTTGGAGAGCTCCTCACGAGGCATGAGGCAGATAGGGCAGGGAAACTTTCCCATCAGACCCCGAATCAATGCCATCACAACCCTGTAATAGTGTACAAGCTTTCAGGCTCATGTATTACCTAGCAATGTTTGAGTCACTCACTGTTCTTCGTAGTCAGCAGATAGTATCAGTATGATTGGGTAGAACAGACGGACAATATCATCCCAACATTTGATGGGAGAACTGAGCTTCGACAGCGGTGCAAGACAGGCGAGCAGCTTCAAAAATGATGTATGCCATACTGTGTTTTTGAAGTTAATGAAGGCTGGCTTTCCAGAATGTTTCTTGTCCTCCTTTACCTGTGGTAGTTAGTAATGACACAATCATTGAGCGAAGCATGAAGCTAACAATGGGCAGCCAACCAACAACACGCCCGCCACCCAAACCTTCGCCATTACGAATTATGGCAGGAAGATTAGTGCACCGAGTGACTACGGGATACCCTTTCACGCGACCAAATGACGATAATTTGGCCTTGTCTGCGTACAGGATAAAGGCAAGTGGTTTGGCATCTGGTGGTATTTTCGACTGTTATTATGCTCAATCAGTGCACACCACATTAGACACATATCACAAATGATATACTTGATATTCCCAGAATGTGCTGGCAGTCCAAGGCTCATGAATGAATCGAACAAATTTCTCACCATTGAACTTCGAAAGCTGTTGGGCATCAAAGACAAAGTGCAGACCAACTTCACGATCTTGAAGTAGGTCCACAGCCCAGTCCCATAGTGAGTGGTGAAAAAACAGAAATGTCTGATCAACACCTTGGAAGGGCGCAATCACCTCTTCCTTGGTGAACTATGGTATTCACATAAGAATATATTCTACACTCAAAGCAATTGGATACAAACGGGAGTCAATTTGAACGAGGCTGCACAACTCGTATTTGCTGTGATGTATAAGTCCAATGAGCCGGTCTGTTTGTTTGTGAGTGAGTGCAGCTTCATGGGCAAGTTCTGCCACTTCAAAGTCAATACAAGTGCGAAAAGGGCGCCAGGGCTCAGGATCTGCTTCCGGAGGTACTGTTGAGGCACCAGGGCCACACTTGTAGTCTTCGAAATGGTATACTCATGTGGGGCGCCCGCTGTTGGGGTGATACCAGACTTCTATATCATCGGTATTGAATTGGGACACAGGGGAGAGCGGTGGATGGTCTAAAATATTAATGGAAGTTGCAAACTCAGATGCACGAAAACAACGTTGAGACACACCAGATGTCTGTCCCATCTCAGTATCGTCTGTGAAATCGAAGTCATGGTCCTGCGAATGATTGACGACAGCTTGTGTCAATGGTTGAATGAGTCAGGATCAGTTATCAAGGTCACGAGAAAGTCATCACTTACCGCGAGCAGATGGTTGTTCACCAACAAAAACGGCACCTTGCTGCGCGTGTTCTCTCTCTGCAGTGTGTCAACATTTAATTAGTGGTGAGCCATTACAGTAATATCACCTAGACTAATATATGGACACACCTTGTCGAATACGCCTCGCAAGCTCGACATCCTCTCTATTTTGCTCGGATCGCTTCTGGCAAGCATTTTCGTGCGTTTTGAATCCCTGTCGATGGTAGGATTTGTCACAATACAAACACGTCCGATGCTTAGGATCGGAAGGCATCGAGGAAATTCGCCTCTTTCTTCTGGTAGAGGGATGGACGTTGATGGATTCGAAGGGCTGGAGAGGTGGAGCCGAGTATTAGTATGGTTTGGGTTTGTCTCTGAATCGCGGGTTTGGGATTGGCAGGCTAGTCTAAGGTAATAATAAGAATATTAGCTTGACTCGTTATGGATAATGGGGGTAAACTTACCTTTTTCTTTGCAGAGAGGTGGAGAAGCGCTGGACGGTGGTCCAGGAGGTGATTCAGAGTATAAGCTCACAGGTCAGATCTGAAACAGATTCAGCTGCTGTCAGCTGCGACGTCTGAATCAGAAAATGACGCACCTCTAATTGTGCAATGTCAATGGTCAAATCAGGCGTTGTCGTGTCGAGCTGGGGGCTGTGGGTGATGGCTGAACGAAAGCAGGAAGGAGCGTTGACAGTCCAACACCACAGTGCATGATGGAAGCATCATTGAAATATTGTGACTCACCTTCAATGACATAACTTCGGTGTGAATATTCCAACTGGGTACCAATAATAAAACATAGGTACCAACAACTTCGACTCGGTATCAATACAGTTGGAAGCGAGTCTCAAAGGCACGCGGTTGTAACCGACTTAGGAAATTTCCGACACAAGGCTTTGCTCGTACCCCCTGGGTAACACCATATATAGTACATATTAGTAACAATTATGGGATGACATACCTGTTACTAAGTAGGGGCAAAAACATACACTGCAGCACTTCAGCAATAGCCGCAGCACTCAGCAGTGACTTTGTAGAACTACAGAGGGACTGGTACTATAGATAATAGGTAGATATGATAAGATCTATCAAAGACTTATATAATCTGTTTAGACTCCGCGCAATCAACACCGCTGCAGTCAGGTAATTATGCTTGCACTATTTCACACACCTCTCTTAATAGAAGTATAACTTTGGCCGTGTGTGACTATATGAAGATAGTATACTCAGTCACGCACTCGAGAGAGAGACAGCACCTTGAACATTACCTATACAAAGATAGTATACTGTAGGTAATAGGCATAAGTAAGAAACACTAAGAACATAAGGAATGAAAAGAGTACTAACCTCAGTTGTGCACTCGAGAGAGAGACAATGCCTGAGGTATGAATCACATATCATAGAAGACTAAATATGAAACAGTGTAAATTTGTGTTCAACCAAATATGCACTACTGCGCGAGGTATATCTGACGGCTGACATTGACAGTGGGCACTAAAATGAAGATATATGAGCCAACATATAAGAGTGAAACATATGTAGTAAGGGCAACATTTTTGGTCCAAACAACACAAATGACTTGCTAATTCCAACACTCCCCCTCAAGTCGGACATAGCCTAAGTTTGACAGCGAAATGTTTGACCTTCGGCAATGGCAACACCTTCAGTGAGGGTATCTGCAACCATGTCTGCAGTGGGGCAATAGACAAGACAAAGTTTTCCTTCCTCAATGATCCAGCGGATGAAATGAAACTGAATATCAATATGTTTGGTTCTGGCTGGTACTGATGGTCCTTGGTCAGCACGATGGCAGATTGATTGTCAGAGAAGAGTGTGACAGGTTCAGTGAGTGGGTTGAAAAGTTGGCCAATGAAAGAGTGAAGCCAGAGTACTTCTTTTGCCGCATGCATCACAGCCACATACTCACTCTCAGTCATTGAGAGCAAGACAATTTCCTGACATTTAGAGGACCATGAGACAGTGCCACCATTGATCAGGAAGGCATACCCAGAGACGGCTCATCTCTCCTCGCCTATACTCCCATCAGTGTCTGCATAGCCCATCAACACCTTTTCAACTCCTCCAAAGGTCAACCTCAAGCCCTTTGTTCCCAGGAGATAATGATAGATGCAGCATATGGCATCCCAGTGTGCAGGTCCGGGGTTGCTTGAGAAATGTGATACCATGGTAATGGTGTAGGAGATATCGGGGTGAGTGCTGAGAGAGGCATGCATGAGTGATCCAACTGCTTCATGGTATGGAATGTGGCGCATAGTGGCAAATTCAGTGCCCATGGTAGGTGACTGTCACAAATTCCCAATATGAACCATTTTTCATTTCTCGGTTTTCCTTCGGTTACTTCTTGTTCCTGAACCGGTCATGTGACTTCGCTTCCTGTCACAGTTTCACCTCTTAACATATCACCCATTGTATCTCTGATTGGCTCCCCTACTCCACTGGGCTAGAACGATCTCTCTTCCTATTGTTTAATCTCCTGTCTATGATCTCATTGCTTATATATCACAACATCATACTATGTCATCCGCAGTTATCGTATGACTCTTTTCTCATTGGCTGATTTTTTTAATACTCAGATATCTCCTATTCAATGTTATGTATATAAGTAGGTTAGTTAGCATAAGTACTCCTTAGACTTAACCTCTTTGTTCTCTACACTTGTAGTAGACTTAGATGTTCACGCTCAATCCTATCCTTGCCTTTATCATCAACTGTGACCAAGTCCTAGTGGTTGTGTTCTTGCCTTTATCATTTGGTGAATGCTGGTCATAACAGTGACTGACCAGAGTGCAACCAAGTGCTGGGCTCCATGGGGTTGGAGACTGGTTTTAAATCCTCAAAGTTGAAACAGTGGATAATGGAGTCGACGTATGAGCGCTGTGACATGGAGATGGTACGTGCATCATAGTTTCTGGTGATTTTGACTCTGAGCAGCCAATGTAACTCTCCCAAGTCAGTGATTTCCACGTACTTGTGGATCATGGCTTTCAACTTGTCGATCTGACTCATCACCTTGGCAGTGATGGTGCAGTCATTGACATGCACAACAACAATTGTATGCTCATCTGGATCCTGGTGCCAAAAGAAAACAGCTTGATCAGTGGCACATTGCAGTGAAACCAAGCTCATCTATGAGGATTTCAACTAGCCTCTGGTACCAGCACCAGGCCGCTCTGTTTCAGGCCATACAATGTCTTGTGAAGATGGCAGACCTTGTTTGGAGGGTCTCGGGATTCAAAACACAGGGGCTGGCACATGTAGATGACCTCATTGTTGGTGAGTTTGCTGTTTAAATAGGCTCCCTTGATGTCAATCTGACATAGCTCCAGGTCTAAGCACACTGCTAGGGCAAGGACAGTCCTGATGGACAGGAGGGTTGCAACTTGGGTGTAAGTGTCAAAAAAGTCGATACCAGGGACCTGGGAGAAGCCTTGGGTGACAAGGTGGGCTTTGTAGTGTATGATATGGCCGGCGGTGTCCTTCTTCGCCTGGAAGACCCATTTCGAACCTATGAGGTTAGTGCCAGGGGGTAAGTCAGCCAGTTCCCATGTCCCAGCTGCTTGCAGTGTTGCTAACTCCTCTTGTATGCCCTCTTCCCACTGCGGCCAGTCTGGACAGTGTCTGGCTTCTGCCAAGGTACTCGGGTTGAGAGCCTCTGATTCCATGGTTGCTTTGCCAATTGCCATGGCAAGGTCAAGACTGCTCAGTTCATCGTCAGGGTCATCAAGGAAGGACAGAAGCTGCTCCACTGCTTCCTCCTCCTTGGCATTAGACAGCTCCTTGTCTTCAGTGGTAGGTGGCAATTGGACATCGCAAGGTACAGTACCGCTTGCATTTATGATGTCGAGGAGACACTGACTTGGCTTCCTGGCACATTTTGCAGGATGGTTTGAGGTTGACTGGAGGATTTGGGGGTGCATGGGAGTGGTTTTCGATTGGTTGGCATTGGCATTGGCAGATTGGTTGGCATTGGCATTGGCATTGGGGGGGCATGTGCTGAGGGCATTATCATCGAGTCAGGTTTGTTCTCTTCACCCACCCCCTCGCAAGAAGATGGCTCAGCGCAGGAGGAGTCCCAATACACATTGCGCTCAACAGTCACAGACTGCTTTGCTGGCCAGTACACTCTGCAGCCATTCTGGCTGGCATCATCAATACCAACCCACCAACCTTCAGCCATGCGGCCATCCAGTTTGCTTCCTGCCTCCATGCGTACCCAAACAGGTGATCCCCAGACACACACACAGCGCAGGTCTGGCCTCACACCAGTAGCAGCCTCGAGGGCGGTCCCACCATCAAGAGCCCTGGTAGGGGTGTGGTTCTTTAGCCAAACAGCATGATGCACTGCCTCACCCCAGAAGAAATGAGGCAGCCCACTCATGTGCAACATAGCACGGACCTTTTCCAACAGGGTACGGTTGAGCCACTCCGTGACACCATTGTGTTGCAGAGTGTTGTGAATGGTAAGCTTCTGCTCGGTACCTGCAGCCTTCAGATGCAACATGAACTCCTTGCACAGGTACTCGCCACCATGATCGGAGTGGAGAACCTTAATGTGAGTGCTGTGCTGGGTATGGCACCAGGCCTCAAAGTCACAGTAGGCTGTGAAGGCTTTGCTCTTCTGGCAGAGGAGGTGAAGGTAAGTGAGGCAGGTCTTGTCATCGGTGAAACTGATATAGTAGTGTATAGCCAAGCGTCGCAACAGGAGCTGGGCCCCAGAGGTCAGTGTGCACCTCACCCGCAAAGTCTTTTGCACACTCTCCTTCACATTCCTTCACGATCGGCTTGTGTGTTGCGTTGGCATACACACACGACTCACAGAATACCTTGTCCCCAGAAGATAAGTCCGCCTTCACACCTGACACTAGTGAAGAGGAACCAAGAAGGGTGTGGAGCAAGACATTCACTGGTCTGCTGATTTCAATGGGTGTCAGAAATATAGATGATATAGAGATTGTCTCACCGGAAAGCCTTGTCATCCTCCATAAACTTTGCCCTCTCATGGTGATGGACTTCTTTGTCTTCATCATCAATCACCTTAATGCCATCCATGCAGCTGCTGTAAGGTCAGATACAGGTGAGAAATTTTGAGACTGTGAGACTCTTGTGCAGACCAAACAAGATCCCTAGCTCCATCTCTTGCCATATGGTTGAGCACCTGATGGGTTAGCATGACTGCTGGTAGATGTTCAGGGGAAGGAGAAACAAGAAGGGAAACAGTGTATACTATATGTAGTGGCCACAGTACACTGTGAGAGCACCAATCAATCTTTTGCCCATGTTTGCCTTGAACAAATCGGAATCTGGGGGTGGAAGAAGCTTGAGAGTGCTTCTCATATTATGACTGATGCCAAGGTTGCATGGCTCAATAAGTCACACTCCACATAACTCATGAGATGGTGCCAAGCAACAGTAATACTATCTTAGTAGTGCCTGCACATGTGTCCATGAATATCACCTAGTAATAGTATTCCAAGATGGTTCTTACTGAGCATGTTCTTGAGCCTCATTCCTGAACTGCCCACACGGTCTGAATATCAATGACTTCTTCTGCTGTTAAGGTCATGCTTAAGGGGGAGGTTACTCAAAGGGCTTCAGCTTCAGCTTGTGTGCTGCACCCCTTACCCAAGTACATGCCCTTAATTTCCAAGGGGCAGAAGGGAAGTCCGACGGAAGTCCGGGAAGTCCAGAGGTCAGACGTTGGGGGGAGTTTGGTGGAACTCCGGAAGACTATGAGGGAACGGAGTAAGGCTACTGCGGACAAGTCCGGAGTAGAAACAGAACAGAGGTTAGACTACCCTAAGGTAGAGCCGGAGATCTAGTCCTAAGGTTTAACCCCTAAGACTCGGAGGTAGACAAGAGATGAGACTCAAGTCTGGAGAAGCAGGAATGAGCAGAACTAAGATGATATTCGAACTGAGGAGTTCCGGAGTATTACAGGAGTTTATATACTGTAGGTAGCAGTCAGCAAAGTAAGGGCTATGTACGAAGCATGTGGAAAGTCTATTAGTAAGTGTATATGGATCAAAGCAGTGAGGTCAGAAATGAAGTATGAACAGATGGATCAGTAAGCATAGTGGAAAGGACATAACCGGTAGCCAGAGCAATAGCTATTCTAAAAGGAGATAGGGGTGAGTCTGGAGACAAGAGCAGAGCACTGGGCGAAATAACAGGATGGAGGACCGGACTTTTAGTGGTGGTGTTCCGGAACTCCAGATCCAGAGGTATGGGATATGACACCTGTGCAATGTCTAGATCTTAGAGGACTGCGAGATCAGACATGCTAATGATCTGCGCAAATCAAATGTTCAAATCCAGAAAATCCTTGAAAAATACATGCAGACATACCACTTGGATGTTGTCCACTTGAATATGATCTTGCAAACACAGTTAAACAGACAAGTCAGCTATCTGTTTCAATGTCTCTGAAAGATCGTTGCAGAGTCCATCCAGCACCTTGATAGCATTGTTGACTGTCGGTATCATGGCTACACCAAACTATATAGTAGGTGAGAGGTGGCATAGACAAGACAACTACATACCTATGAAATGAGATGACCATTAATCATGCTGAGGAACCTTGACCACAGGGGAAAGCACCAGTGTAATCTCAGGCTCTACAATCAAAAAAATTGAATGGGTGCCCAAACCAAACATCAACCAACTTACCAGTGAATTCACTAGCAGTTCCCAGGCACTCCATGATGGCCTTGAGGAGCAACCATTCTTGGCACCTCAAATTCAGATCAAATTAAGTAGTTGATCAATGACCAGATGCAAAGATGCTAGCTCACAAAATATCTGTGTCCATCTGAGATTTTAATGCTTTATTCCAGTTTCTGTTCCCCAAGCACTGCACTGCAAGGCCTAACACAGCACCATGAATACCACCAAACCTGGAATTTGTCAACTTCTAGAACATCAATCATCAGTGGGCAAGTAGTGCAAAGTGTATGTATGAAGTGTATGTATGAATGGTAACTTACCAATTCAGATTTTAGAACAAGTGTCAGGACACTTTTGCTCAGAGACACCACAAGGTGGATTTTTTGAACGATCAACAAACCAATCTCTTCAGAATCAGCTTTGAGAAGAATGACAATTGTTTCAAGTGGCTGATGACAAGTCAAAGTCAAAGTCCATCCACCAGACAAACATCAGAAACCAGTCATACCTGACTACTCAACATAGCGCGCTGAGCTCCCAACATCATCAGCATGCAGCAATGAGCTGAAGTGCCGAGATGAAACAGCTGGTGGTATTGCTGAATAGCCAAAGGCAAGAAAAAGTCCTGTTCTTCATACAACAGATTAGTACACAAAAAGCCCTCGAGGAAAAAAACCGACATACCCATAAATGATGTACAAGGTCATAGTATTCAATCTGTCAGTGTGTGGGCTATTGGTGAATCGGCCTTGGGTGTGGAGGGAACATTGAGTGAGCATCAACAAGGATAATAGTGCAGATCTATCAACAACTTAGTACATGGTGCCATCTATATGAATGCAGGGTTGGGGGTTCAACTGACCAAGGAGCTCCAGGTCGACAGGATGAACGGTTAAACTGTCTGACCAATCAAAGCTGAGTGACTGCATGGACTTGATGATCCAGAGATGTGATTGGCCCATCTCCTGGAATGGCTGAAACACATCCACATCTCATTTGAGCGCATCCTCACCAGTCATTGCCTCTGAGTCAAATATTATTTGTGAAACCTCCAAAAATCCCTGGGATGGCCTTTGTGGGTCAGAATATGGAGATCTGAGAGATTAAGTGATACTAAATCCAGGATGTGAGAGTGTATGTTCAAGAATGACTGCAGGGCTGATATGCTACTGATAACATGAGAACCATCATGATACAGGACCTCAATGATAGGCTCCTCATGCGTTTCTGGGGCTTTGAAAGGATAGCAGGCAAATAAGCTTTCCGGTCACATGTAGAGGTACTGTCATGTGGACTCTGGTGTCTATGGATTCAGAACTGATGGATGACCTGATAGCAGCAGTTTGTCAGAGCAGGGATATAAATGAAAAATGGATCCGACATACAAGTCGACATTCAAGTTCATGTTCTTTGCCTTTGTTATGCACTCTGGGAACACCAGTATTGACAAGTTCAAAGATGACGTGGGCACACATTCTGGGCACACCTAATATATGTGAATCTTGGATTTGATGCCCGTTTTCTGGGCTACTGAAAACAGGAATTGGCTAATTTGTTGTGTATTCTGGATGAGCAACTCAAGGATGGCAAGTTGTATTGCTTGGATGATCAAGTGGTTCTTACACTTCTCTATCAGGAGCACCAGTTTGCATTTCACTTCACTAACATCACATCATCAAATGACTCAACACTGAGTAGTTTGAAGCCACGGAGGATACAATCCGACACATGAGTACTAGTGCCATGATACTATGGAAGAGCAGTAAGTGTCAAACTCACATGTAGGCTTCTGTGATTGTTGCTCGCATTTTTTTTTCTGATAACCACATTCACCTGATTTGTAACTCTAACTTCACTAGTTCTTAGTCTATGGGCTGGATCATTGTGGGTCATACTGTGACCGCACCACTCTTGAGACTTGCATCCACATACCCAATCAACAATGTCGCCCAAACCATCCAACATGTCAGAAGTATCAAATCATTTTCTCAAATTACTTTAGGACCTAACCTCCAATGTGAGAGCTGGTCGCAAAAGAAAAATCATGTAAGAGATAACTGTACCTTTAATAGTAATGTGCGACTTACTATATGTCATCTCACTATAACAGCAGTCCAATTGGACTATATTTACGAGCAGCATGGTGGTTCCCTCTCGTGATTGACCTGTTTGCCATGCTGGAGGATGTCTTATACGAGGGTATAGAAGCTGAGTTTGCTGAATTGCAGGAGAATCACAGGTCAAGTCAATCTGAAAAAGATGTGAACAGGTGAGTCTACGGCAGCCTGAGCTACTCAACACCCCAACATTTTTCTGGGCAGTTGTCAGAAAAAGTTGTATATCAAGCAGTATAACGAACTGGTGAAACTGGTGCCAATGTTCAGTAGCATCATATCCAAATTTGAGAAAGCTCCATCTGCTATGGACAACTTTATTCACGCAGTAACATAATAAATGCACATCATTCTTTAAATTTAGTTCGTCTAACAGCTAGGTAGCTTTCCTGTCGTAAATGATGCCCGATCTGGTGATACTGGGAGTCTGACAAGAGAAGGGCTGACGTACATTCTCAAGAACCTTGAATCTGATCAGTTCAATCCCACTCTCCTCAAGCATCATGGCAAGATTGCTCAGGGATGGAACCATCCTGAAACTGCACAACTGTTGTGCCCAATGCGGATGTTGAGTACTTTTGATGCAGATCCCCAGTTTGTTGTGCTCGGTTTATTTAATCTGACCACCTGTAACTGGAAGCTACAGGTCCTTCATGGAAAAGGTGAAGGAAGGCCAAATTAAGATCACAGCTGTGAAACTTCCTACTTTCCTATATGACGAGTCTATGTTTGATCCCACCAAGAAAAGTCAAGGTTGTCTTTGGGGATACTATCTCAAACGTGTACATTTTTTCTTATTCTTGTCAGTCTAATGCTATCTTGCAGCTTGAGCAGGTTTTCCGCCACATCTTTACAGGATCATTCAGTGCCCTTAACCTGAATGCTTGCCAAGGTACTAAGACTCCAAAAGGCAGAATTCATGGAATGACATCACCCCTGCCTAGAGCAATTGTATATGCAGCTGTACAGGTAAGTCTTTGCATCAAATTCACACTGATGCCAAGCATTGATTGGCACCTTTTTAAGGCATACTTCCAGCTTAGTTCTGTCAATATATGGTGTCCAGAAATTGAAGATCTCACCTTGTTGATCTCTATGATCGAGTTGTCAACATGTTTGAAGGAAATACTAACACAAAATGGGTGGAAGAAACGCTCCAGCATTGGAAATTAGTAAGTTATTTGATTCTCTTTCATTATCATCTGCAACATGCTAATCTATACATATTAATAGCAAGGCTCCTGGACTTCAGCAATATAGGCACTCTAGAGCCAGGACAGATACAGGATCTCATGTACAGTGGCTCAAAAAACTGTCCACATGTTTTCACATTTTTCACTATCTATGATATTGTGTGAGAATATACAAACACCTCAAGGACATGCTGGTACCATATTGTAGTACTACTGCAGGGCTTTCAATTGAGCACTATGGCGTGGGAATTGGTAGAGATATGGTGGAGATATGAGGCCTACACAATGATGACTCATGTGGACAGTTTTTTGACTCAAGTATTTTACAGTGATAATCAGGTATTCTAGTACTTTGTGTGACCTCCCCTGGCTTTAATTACTCCCTCTATCCTTCTAGGCATACTCTCAATCAATTTCTGGCAATATTCTGCTGTAATATTTCCCCATTCTACTGCTACTCTCTCCCATAGCTCCCATACTCCTTTAGAGGGGGTTTCATAGGCTTGAAGCTTCTTCTTGAGTGTTCCCCAGAGATGTTCAATAACATTGACATCAGGGGACTATGCTGGCCAGTAAATAACATTGATATTATTTTCTGGCTCTCCTAGATGTGTGCTTGGGATCATTATCCTATTGGAAAATGATGTCTTCTCCATCAATCCCTGATTCAGCTATGCTAGGCAGCAAGTGGTCATTTAGAATGTCCACATACTGCTCAGCATGCATCCTCCCCTCAACTTCAGCAAGCATACAAACACCATTCCATCCCATACAGCCCCATACCATTAGAGAACCTCCTCCAAATTTAACAGTCCCACTAACCTCTCTGTCTGTTAGAGAATCCCCCTTCTTTTTCCATACATATACATTCCCATCTGACCCAATGCTATTGATTTTGGTCTTATCTGAACATATAACATGCTTCCAGTCCTCTACAGTCCAGTTTTGATGGGCCAAGCCAAAGGCTAGTCTTCTCTGCCCATGTTTAATAGAGAGAAGAGGCATTTCTGCATTGTTACTGCCTTGAGATGAGCCGCCTTTAGAACATTCCTCACAGTTTGTGAAGAGACAAAGGTGGTAATGGTGGGATTGATATAATGGGTGGCTTGGACAGCATTATCAGTCTTTCCTGTAGTGATATGTTGGATGATAGCCCTCTTATTAGTAGAGGTAGATGTCCTCCACAAGAGTTTTCCTTGTCCAGGTGGCTTTCTTTGATAAAATTGGCCACAGTAGACTTGCATACTTCAGTTTGAGAGGAAATTTGATGAGCAGAGATGTCAGCATAGGACATAGAAAGGATATATCTCTTTGAGCAGAGGAGATGGCATTTATGGTGATTATGACTATGACACAGGAGACATTTTGGTTTATATAGTTAGACATAGTTTCAAGAGTATGCCTAGAAGGATAGAGGGAGTAATTAAAGCCAGGGGAGGTCACACAAAGTACTAGAATACCTGATTATCACTGTAAAATACTTGAGTCAAAAAACTGTCCACATGAGTCATCATTTGTAGGCCTCATATCTCCACCATATCTCCACCAATTCCCACGCATAGTGCTCAATTGAAAGCCCTGAAGTAGTACTACAATATGGTACCAGCATGTCCTTGAGGTGTTTGTATATTCTCACACAATATCATAGATAGTGAAAAATGTGAAAACATGTGGACAGTTTTTTGAGCCACTGTAGATGATGACGACAGTGAAGATGATATGGATGGGTTTTTTTTGACTCTGAAGAGCATCCTCCCAATGCAGAGAATGGAAGCAATGATGACAGCACTGGGGATGGTGTTCCAACTCGGACTGACAGCAATGGAGACAATGTGAATGGTATCAATTTTCTCTTGCATTCTTATTTTGCTTATAGCTAATTCCTATTCTGGTTCAGTACCAGCTAATGACAAGTCAGTACATGAAGTGACATCCCTAACGTGAGTCAAGCCAACACGTGCATCATGAAGGAGGTGCTGACTCTTGTGTAATTTTGCCTTTCTTGCAGAAACCTCATGTTCAGATCCACCTCACACCATGTATTTTATCCCCACAGTCCTTGCACTTGAACTTATATTCATGCTTTACTTTTGATTTGTGATCATAACCCAGTGTAATCTGATGTGCTCATTACTAGAACAGATCACCAGGAGAGCTCACCACAGATCCTGCAAACACGTCCAAAGATTTCCTTGCTCATACTTGGCTACTTCAGGGTTTTGCTGATGGAGATTAGTAGCCATGGCTTCTACATCGAGGAAGGCAGCTGTCATGAAAGGGATTCTGATGCCATCAGTGACTTTAAAGGGTCATGGAGACAGGATTCAATCCAGGACCTGAGTCGGCTGTTGTCGCTGGGTGTTCTAACCATAGTGAGTGTGTAGTTCAAAGCCTAACCTAGCAGGAACACCCTGGGCCAGCAATTTTGTATGTGCACCGTCACTGTCAACTTGAAACGGTGTTGACACACATAAACTTGAACCAAACTTCAAACATGGTGTGTCCTTTAAACTTCACCACCCACAGTGTACATCTCAGACTGATTTTTACTTAACTCTTAGTGTGGCTCATCCCTACAAACGGTCTGAATTCATTGCCTATTAGGCTATGACTCAATCACTTGCGGAACCAGATATTACTGATTGAAAATTTTACAATGCAGGGTGAATTTAGGGCTACATCAACTTTTTTCATTAGTGTTGAACCATACACAAATTCTAGATCCAGGACCGTACATATCCATCTGCCTGATGACTGTGGCAACATGTTAATGGCCTCATACAGCTAGCCTTCATTTTTCTGCACTCCATAAGCAACATAACACGTATATTTCTCCACATGATGTCAGACTAGATGGATCAAGTTAGGTGCAGGCTAACTCTACATTCTTATTAATGAGCACAAAGTGTTAATAACCGCTAGTCATTTGCCAAGTCTATGGAACTGGTACTGAACGAACACCAGCCTTCTTCCATTCTCAACTCAAAATTTTAACTCAATCCAAACCCAAATGAATGGTTGTTGTATGGTGTTGGGTTGAATATCAAGATTTCTGCCAACAGAACAAGCATAGTATCTGTCTGAAGGGTTATATGTTAGCTGCTCAGTTGCAGTAGACTTTCCTCATCTCATCCATCCCATGTCACTATCTCCTCTGTCCAGTAGCTCCCATGGCAAAACCCTTTTGTCCTTGAAGAGGCACATCGCTGTACTGGAGGAGCTAAACGCTGAACTTCGCACACCTCCTAAAAGGAAGGAGTATGTCCTATATCTGTGAACCCACTATAAACCACTGATTTTCAATAGCAATAGCCAATTTCTTGAAGGCCACATAATATGAAGACTTGTGTGTCTTACAGAATGTGTCAAAATTTTGGTTTCTAAATTCGATAGATGCACCACCCTTGGCACTACTGACTGTTCTGATGCTGAAGCCTTTGAGTCCTCAAATGCGATGTAGGTGTATGTTCTGCATAAGAATAGTGAATGATACTGATGTGGCTTTTTGTTGTTAGAGAAAATCGATGGTATTGGTCCTACACGAAACTGGTGATGTGGTGCCCTTTGGTGAAAATGCTTATGCAGTCCTCAGCTGAAAGTTCTGAACTGGCTGCCATGTGCAACAAGGTGAGAGACCACACCACCATCACACATCAATTAACTTGCATGTTGTATATAGCTTAATTGGAGTGCTGATGCAGCCAGAGGGGATGACACCACCAGTCTCAAGTTTGCTGTTGCCTCTTGGTTAATGCAGACCAGCCCAACTCTGAACCCCATCATTTCCAACTGAGACAAATCTTGTCATTGATTCTACCACGACACCACAGGGAAACTTCTAAGTCCTGTCAATTACAACTGGGATGATGCTATATAAGTACTCATAATCAGGTGCCCCCATCACTGATCAATATGTCAGTGTTCAAGAGGCCATTCGGAACTACCATCTCATGTGACTTCCCTAAACACCGGAGGACCACAAGGGAGAGGTGTACACAATGTGACATTGCAGGACTGCTACAAATGAAATATATTCAACCTAGGGCTATCACATACACTGCTGTTCAGGTATGATTTTAGCATAACCAGGCGCTTGTTACAGTAACATGAACGTTGCGCATCATTTCATTCTTCAGACTCGTCTAGACCTGGACCATGGTTACAATTCTATTTCTATCTCTTTTCTTGTTGTTCTGAAATGCGAGAAGCTCTTGCTTCTACCCCTAGATCACAGAAGCCACGGCTTCTTCCAAACCCTATGCCCTACCCACTGTATCGGTTCTCTCATTGATAGGGATTCCCCATGCCCTTTGCCCTTACCATTCAACTGGTACTTCTTACCCTTTCTGACCTATGACTCATACACACCCTCAACCCTTACCACTGCTTCGGTAATACCTCCGCTTACCCTGTACCCTTACCGCTCAACTGGTATCTCACTTTACATATATATATCACTTCTCCTGTAGACAGATTCTCTAACTTGAATCTACTCAGTTCTCATCTGATACTTGTCTTTGGGTCTGAACTTCTCTTGCCTAAGAGAACTCCCTCTGGACAAAGAACCATCTTCTCTTGAGATGTTACTCTTGAGTTGAACTCCGTCTCTTGGATCACATCCTTGAGAAACTCCAATTGACTCTACGCAAGTAAGGGTTTCAACCCTTACTCAGACTTAGCGTAGGCAAGCTCCTTGCTGGGCTAGCGTCAAAGGCCACGTTTTGAACACCCCTTGTGGGTTTGGCACTGCCGAATCTCATCCGAGAAGTTTCGCGTAACAGCACTCGCTACTGACTGAGAGAACTTAGTTACAGTTTGCATTATCTAGCAGTGGATCATGGTGCATTGTGGACAATGACTTTGACCAAGAAGAATTTTATCACAATATTGTTGATTACTTCGAGCTTTGTCCCTTGCAAGAAGCAGCAAAGGAGGTTGAAAACCTCCTATTTTGGTGGAATCAGTGAGTAGTGCTACAGGTCTCTATTTCATTGGTTCGACATCACCACTTTACAGACAGGTGTTTGGGCACAGGAATATGTCAGAATACCAACCACAGAAGACTGAATGGCTGTCAGTTGCCATGACTTTAACCGCCCAATGAGTGCTTTCCTGATGAGCTTAAATCTTGGACTAGTCCACACTCATAATGTATGATGCCAGATCTATCTGACCAATCATGTTGATGTAGTAGTACTACAAATGAAATCAATTTTATGGTCTATAAATTAAACTGCATTTGCAGTGCATTGGGTCAATCTGATCATCAAGCCTATCTGAATACAAAATGTATCTGAAATTTAAACAAAAATCCATTCTGTCTATTGGACGGTATAGTCCAGCAAGATTGTATACATTGTCCAGCAAGATCCATGATAACCAACTGACCATACACACTATATTTGTGTCATATCAGCCAACATTCACAAGATGTTGAAGCTCAAAAATATGAGGCTGCATTATACCTGTGAAGACCAACTGCATTTTCCAAACGAGGCTAGTGCAAGGGCTCTGTGCTGTAAAAACCTACACAAAGATCCTTTTGTTCACTTGGTGGTGTTTTGTGGCTCAATGTCAACCCTTGTCCAGCGAGATCAAGGTGAAACCACTTATGATACTAATTACATTTGGGACATGTTAGCCAATGTTCACAGGACGTTGAAAGATGGATATTTAAAGCTACATTATATCTAAGAAGACTTCACTCACTGTAGGTGGCAAAGTTGCAAAACTATGTCTTCTGAAATTGTGTGCCACAAGACTTGCTACAGTGAGGATGCATACAAAGATCACTTCTTTCACTTCACAGCATTTTGCCCCATGCATATTGCAAACTTTATAAGACTATATTATGCAAACTTGTGTGGTACAAGACGCTGTCCCATGAAAATGCCAAATAACAAACCATTTTGCACCATGACTCAAGATTCAGGTAATCATGCTTTGAATTGGTCAAGGGCAACGACATTATAATCATAATATATGACGATATACAACAACTGTCATATTCTAGCTGATCACACTTATTGTGCTGGTAGGAGTATGCATCGGACTTCATGACCCATGCAAGGGTCTACCTGGGGTACAAATGTAACAACACTTGTGGATGTATACAAATGCAAACACGATTTGTAGAAGTATGCAAAGGCAAACAAGATGTGTGGAGTATGCATTAAGAATGGTCGCATGCACAGATTTGTATCGCTACTCACAAGTCTGTCAGTACCTTGTAGGAAATGCAGTAATTGTACACCTTGTATTGGTTGCTAGAGGGTTTGTATACTTTGGGATGTTTTGCCGATGGTGCAGCCTCCGACGAACGCAGCTCCCACGTGTTGTTCTGACCCAATTTGTTTTATCGATTACTTCACTTCACCTCTTATCATCACTGCAACCTAGGTCATGAAGGCAATGAGTACAATATTAATGGGCGATTGCAGTGAGCCAATCATGCACAATGGCAGCGAGGCCCATCAAACGTTCGTATCATAATTGTATACTCCCCCACGGAGGTTAATACAGGCGTCAAGCGGAGCTGCGAGCATCCATTGAAAAAAAAAAAAACGGAAAACATTCTTGACAAAGGCTATATGTGACGGTCCTCCAAAACATCACAAACGTTCCTCCCAGATCTCCCCAATAATCCTCTCAAACCTCCTCGACGACCCTCTCAAACCTCCCTGACGACCCTCTCAAACCTCCCTGACGACTCCCTCAAACCTCCCCAACTAGGGCCTGACATGGGTCGACCCGGGTCGTGCCCGGGTATTACCCGCGGGTCAGTTGAGTTTTTGGGCCATACCCGTACCCGTCCCGGGTCAAGTGGAATGGGTACGGGTCACCCGTGGGTGTTACCTGCGGGTGTGCGGGTCACCCGCGGGTACATTGTACGTCTACTCATTATCATGTAGCATCCGAGTCAATGAAATTCGCTAGTACAAGTGAACTAAAACATGCCGGAGTTAGTCACTATCGAGTTCTACGACATTATCTCGATCATGATCACTGCCAGCATCCTGTCGAGCTTTACCTTTTCCCTTCTTGCCTCTTTTCATGCTCTCGCTGAGGATTCGAGTAGCGATTTTGTCGTCCAAGAACGGGGTCTTGTACCACGAACCGATGGCCATCTGGGCCTTAAAGGCCTGTGAGTTGATGCCGTGTTGAAGGTGATTGACCTGCAGACGACCGCAGGAAAATGCTCGTTCTGCATCCACAGAAGACGCTGATTTACGCCACAGTCAAAATGCATTGTTACAGTCATCCACATCACATACCTGGAGCAGACAGGAAGTCCAACGCCATTTGAGCTAGGCGGGGTCTCGTAGCGCGAGCATTCTCCCAATATTTAAAAACTCCGCCGATACCAATAATTTCAGGTCTCGAGACACGCGGAGAATTGATGTAGGATTCGAGTGAGTCCAATGATGGTGCATTGTGCAAAGACTCGTCATCGGAGTCGTTGATGTCATATTTTGATCGTTTTCTCTGCAAATTAGTAAGATCGATGAGCAAGCAAAATTTTCTCTGCTGCTGTACATACCGCTGGTGGACGACTCGATGACTGAGTTGATAAAAGGTCGGCAGCAGTTGGTGCATAAGTTTCCAACCAGCGTTGAGTTGCGATGTGCCGTGCTTCAATTTTATCTTCTTCATGCCAATCTCGGTTCTTGGTGAACCACTCCATTTTTTTATCAGGGCACGTTACTAGTACACGCCGAGTTGTAGTAAGCCTTTACCAGAAAGGAACTAAATGACGTACTAATTGCAATGCGATAGACCTCGTTGTCATCTGTGAGTGTGTAGTATTTCCCAATGACTTGCAGTGCTGCAAGTGCGGCGACTCGAACTATAGCAGATAGTTCAGTATCACGTGAAACTTTTACCATCATATGTTCGAGACGTTCGAGCATAGGAATGACCTCGTGCACAAGAGGCACCTCAGCCTGCGAGAAACGATTGGTCAAGTCATCAAAAATCTAAGCAACGAGTGCATTGGTGACGGGCAAAACTTCGGACATGACAAAGTAGTACCTCGAGCACAGGAATAAGCTGCTTTGTAAGCTTCCACTGCGTCACAGTGAGAGCATATATCTGCAAGCCATTGGCTTCCTGGCTAGTAAATAGCTTGATTTCCTTCTCAAATGACATATGAGTCTTCAGGCAAGCGAAATCCGAGTTCCAACGTGTTGGGACTCGTCGATCCAAAGTCTTTTTCTGGGACGGACCACCACCTTTGATTGTCACGATCCGTTCGAATGCAGCTTGAAGATTGGCACTGTCATGCAGTCTTTTGGCAAGACCCGCAACCTGTTGCATAAGGTTAGAACAATTTATTATGAAAAAAAGTATTCCCGCCTTTGGAAATAGCCTGAGTGCTTCACGTTGCTCGGCTGAAGTTATCAACAGTCCCATTTCCTTGCCAGTGTTGAGAGCATCCCGATGAACGGCTGAGACAACTTCCTTGTCATGGGCATCCTTGTCTGCGTCAATCTCACCATCACCACTTTGCGGCTCCAACACGTCTGCAGCACACGTCTGCAGCAAGATGTTCCTCATCAGCTGTTAGCTGCTCGACTTCGACTTCAGTGGTATCAGTCGTGGTTGCCGTCACACTTGATGCACCAGCAACAGCTGCTGGTCCATGCTTACGTGTGTGTTGACCCGTTGCAATTATTTTCTTGCGTTTCGGCTGCCGGAAGAAGAAGGAGATAAATGCCTGCATTGGATGTTCAGCCTGCCAATGAGCAAAAAGGAGAAGAAACATGTACTTTCGCTATGAGGTTCACTGTGTGTGGAAAGCAACGAGACCTGGACAACTTGCCATGGAACCCATCAATTAAGGTCACGAGGTGCTCTGCCGTCGCATCACAATTACTCGCATTGTCCATAGTAAGAGTATGTAGCTTTTTCTCTAATCCAAAGCGTTTCAGACAATCCGCTGTGACTCGTGCGAGGTATGAGCCAGTGTGACTCTGTGTAAGCCTAACCACAACATATGAGAATCACGGTGCTACCAGTTTGATTGAAAAACTCACCGGATGAACTCGAGTATAGTACGGTAGATAATTCCCTGCGCCAACCAAACTACAACCAATCCCAAGTAAGCTGCAGCGAAAGGGGAAGTCCATCCATCGATCACAAGGTGGATGGAACCAACGTGTTTCTATACAGCATCGAAGAAATTCAGGACAGATCTTATTCAAAAAGGAAAGACGTACGGAAAAATACACTTTGACTTGCTTCGATCCCTCGAGATAGATAGCGGACACGTCATGCGCAACAGTACGGGGGTTGGGGATAATAACTCCTGGTCGAAGGAGCTGGACTTCAGCAATGTAGTGTGGATCAGCGACAAAGTTGAATGGGCGCTTTGAAACTGCACAGCGCAAAGCAATTAGCGCACGGTGTGCAGCTTGTGTGTAAGATGACACTGAATTTTCGAGAGTTTGTTGTGCACCAACAGAATCCAGGGTACCAGCCTGAACACCACGCCGTGTCTCGCACTCGTCTACCCCACGCTGAAGGTTTTTCGTCCCCTGTCCATTTTGCATGCGTTTTCGCTTGTGGCGATGGCTAGTTGGATCGACACGGCACGTAAATATGTAGAGAATGTAGTCGGGATTGCCATCCCCACGACGTTGGCGCTCCAACGAGACATCGTAATGATTGTAAACTTTTGACTTCCATCGTGTGCGAATAATTTCGGCATCCGGTAGGTCCCAAACATCAATGTCTGTCTTCTCTTTGGAATCCGATTCACGAGGTTTGGTAGGGGAGAGTATAACTGGTGCTGGCGAATCTGTATTGCTTCGAGTTCGTGATCTGGTCCGTTTGGAAGGAGTTCGAGGTTCGGAGGGAGACATACCGCACACGAATTCACGAACTCTCGAGTCTCAGGGTTTTGCTCTCTCATAGGTCGAAAGGTATTGAACTCGGGCGATTAGCCCGAAAATCTAGCCTATCACTGTTAGCAAATTTTCGGTAGACCCACATAGTTAGTACGAGGCTGAACTTCTGAAGATGCAGCCTGCAAGCTTCGGCAAGTACTTGTCAAAGTTGTCAAAGTTGCTATGTCATTTGATGTCGGCTACAACAGCACTTGATGTCAATGTACAGTGAGGCGACCAGGTACAAAGCTCAACACTGCCATACTACTAGTGACCCGCGGGCACCTGTGGGTAGCTTCGAAAGTTGGATGTCGATGACCGTACCCGCCCGGGTGCAGCACCCAAGCCAACCCGTAACCCGTAGCACCCGATCCGCACCCCACCCGTGGGTTCCACCCAGGCGGGTACCCGGGCAACCTCTACCCATGTCAGGCCCTATCCCCAACGACCCTCCCAAGCCTCGCAGACACTCCTCTCAGACCTCCTTAGAGGAGTAGTATTTGTCAGTTTACAAAGGAGAGGGTCACGTACCTCGAGAGGGAACTTTGGTAGAATCTCGAGGAAATGGGGCTCTGAGTAGGGACGTCTTCGAGATAGGTTATTGTATACCAGGAAACCCAGTCTGAAAGACCGTGGGAAGCACTAAAAAGTGCTACCAAGGGTGGTGAACCGTTTGTATTTGTAATATGCATATGCAAGTTTGGAAAGGGCTTCTCCTGGCAGGGGGAAAGAATTTGCCCAAGGCAAGTTGACTCCACGTTGCAGCAGAAGCCGCCACGAAGCAACAGGTGTCAAAACATTAATTGGTAAAATTCTGTTTGACAGCTAAGATTAGCAACATGGAACGAGAAACCAGCGGTCTACGCGGGCGCGTTGAAGATAAACCAATTTGCCAGTACGTAGTAGTACAAGTTCTTGTGTTGATAGCACTGACGTGGCAGCACCTGGCCAGTGCACGTAGCAAGATGGAAAATGATTGCACAGGGCGACTTGATTATTCATTTGGGTGTCCGTCATTCGCGTGAACATCATGATCAGCTGCATATAAATTGAACATGGTAAGTCTCAAAATCCTGAGAGACAATCGCCTTCTTAACAGTGAGTAATCTCGAGACTTGAAGACTTGGGCACCCTGAATATCTATTTCACATTCAGCACTTCCTGGACGTGCCATAGCACCTTCGCGTACACCTACACAATCAAAAATTTTGACGGGTGGGTAGTTTCCCAACCTAACGATCATTACTAATTTGTATACTAGATACCATGAAGATTCAATTCACTTACCTCGCCATCCTTGCCGCTGCCGCTGGGGTGAAGGCGGCTCCTAGTAATACCGATTCAATAAAGTGCAAACCGACATGCTACCCTACTGAGGCTTCCTGCACGGGAGACTGGACGCCCTTCTACATCGATGAAGACAGATGCTATGAGTGCTGCATTTTGGTGTAGCCATCGGGTTTGTACAGATGATGTATTTTATCTACTTACAGGTTCTGAAGATCATACATGTGTGGATGCTAAGTAGGTAGCGATTCCAATGGAAATCATTGGAAAATACCGGGCCGAGCTGTGCTTTGTTCACCAGTCTGAGGATTTCTGAGGTTCACGATTCACGACACGTCACCTTGGGTGTAGTTAAAGGCTAAATAGCCGTCAATATGTCATCCTGAAGAGCCTCGAAGCGGAAGACGCCCTGTTCACGCAAAAATCTCCCGTCTACCAAACATGCAGATTTGGGCGCCATTGGTTTGGCTGTCATTGGTAGGAGCCTTTACCCGAACGGTCGTCGTGAGCTACACTGCAGATGCATCTCGGGCACACATCGGAGGAGGATCTGATTGCTATGGTGCGGTGAATAAGCATATCACTATTTTCCACATTCTTCCACATTTTTTTGCTGCTTATAATCTAGGCTACACTTATTACTTTGTAACACTGACCGGCACAACTACGGACAGCTCGTGCGCTGAACGCACATTAGTATTAACGGTGTGGTGCGTGCGGTAACTGACAAAACCATACGTTTTTCTGTCGCGTTGACCCGTCGAACATTTGCACATGCCGAAGGCGAGGGACCATCACTAGAAGCCCCTGGAAGACACTTAGAACGCAAAGCATGAAAGAATTCAAGACGTACCTGTTAAATCATTCTTCCTCCCCAACGTCTGACTAAACTTTGTCAATATACTCGCTCTCGCGTCCGCGATCTTCCTCGAAACCCTCTTTACCCTCACCCCTATTCAGCATCGTTCTCCACATGTCTCACTCTCTTCCCCTGCTCACGGAGAATGGATAACGACTTGAAAAAACCCTCAATAAGAACCCACATTGCGGAATGTTCGCAGAAGTCATCCAAGTCATGGAAATAAAATTACATGCCTTAATTGATTTGACGTTGGGTGCGATAGCTGAGATGAAAGCAGCAATCCTTATCGGATGCGCAACCATCGAACCACCGAAGAATACCCCGGATAGTGCATTGTGTGATAAAATCCTTGGTGATGAACGTCAGGAGGATGTCGTAGTTGTCTACCGCGACCAAGTCGACGGTAACGGCAACCGAGACTAGACATGGGCAATGTTGCAACAGCGAGACGAAGGCATGTAGAGTGACTTTATAGCTTGAATAGATGAATCTAGTGATGTATAACTCTTCGAGGAGGGGCCAGGCCTTGGCCATCTGAAAAAGGACAGCATCATCCATTCGAACAATACAGTAACGATCTGCGACGATTCCGCGTCGAAGTCAAGCTTGCGAAGATTGCAGAAGGCAAAGGGCGGTTGAAAGGCAGCAGCTCCAATTGACCAGATTTTTGCACACTACGTCCAGTTCGCGTAGCGCGCAGAACACGGGACGCTGCTGGACTTTTGTGTATCCGCAGCTATGGAAGTTGAAGGCAAGTGGTGCCTCGGAAAATGTTCCAGCCCTCACCGATGTTAGACGAGACCAGCATTACAATACGGTTGATATATCTCCCGATTTCGAGTCTTCGGATTGATTGAATACAAAATCCGAGACAGAAGGGCACTACTGTAGGATGACAAGATGGACTGTTCGGATGGACCAAAGCGTCACAGTCGGCAGGCTCCGTTCTACGATGTTGGCGTCCCCGATGATCCAATCCTTTATCGTCTTGCGCTAATAACTAGTACTGTTGGACGCTCTTTATGGGATACTGAAACAATCGAAGATTTTATTACGGGATCTCCCGTAGCACTGGAAGGTTCGGCATCATCCAGTTAGCGCTGATCACTGTCCTAAACCATCATGTCTTCAAGCACTCGTGGAGCAGCCCATCCTTCATCAAGCCTTGAGCCCCGGCAATATCTTTCTCCCGGGCTGCGCTGAAGGTTGGGAAGGGTTCGTCGCCGATCTTGAACTCGCCTCGGTGGCACGGCCAGAGGACAAATCGATGGATCCGCTTTCCCCTTCGGCGGGTGAGCTGAACACCAAAGGCGTCTTTCGCGATGAAACCGTTCCATCCAGTTTAAAAGCTCCTGGCGCATAGATCACTGTACTTCTGCAACTTACTGCTTGCTAGCTTTCACTGAATATTTTCAGGGCACTCCTTTGTTCATGGCTGGAGAGTTTCTAGAGGAGATGCTACTCCCAGACAAACCCAAGACGAAAGTTCGACGCGGTGTACATCATGACCTGGAGTCGTTTATTCTTCTCCTCTTCTATGCCGTCTTGAAACGCGGTCTGGAACATCGGCTCTGGCACGAGGAGGGAGCGACTGAATCTGCCGTCAGCTCACTTTACGGCAGCCTGTTCGGTGGTCATACTATCGACGACATCCTGGTAGTGCGGGCCTGGTTTTTTTCACGACAACTGCTGTATTTTCTCAATGCTCTGGACGCTCCAATGGTGTTATTGCTCTATGGATGTTGGAGAATTTTGCAATTCCAAAGGATCCCCGCTGATTCTGGAAATGCATGCAAATTTGAACTTCATCATACGATGCAATGTTATTTTGGGGAATCGAAGTTGATCACTTTTTTAGAGTTGAACCGTATCTATGACATAGTTGTCGATAAGATGTCAGAAGCTCAGTGGGAATATCATTGAATTTTGATTTGGTCACATCGATATCAAGATAGTGTACTTGACGTCATATTTTTGGAGGTCGCTCATGATCACGTTGGTAATAGACAGGTTTGAGAAGTTGTTCCTCGTGGATGGATTGACGCTTCGATTACCTTCGGACATCATAGTACATGAATATTTTCTACCAACGGTTTAACACCACTGGAACGCAATACGTATATGCTTGACCTGCGTTATTGCATTCACGAGGCGCCACCCGACTATGCGAGTAGACAACATCCTGCGGAACACAGGTATTTAAACGGACCAGACTGGAATCATTCGTCTTCTCTGCGACCGAGTCTCCCAGGTCTATTGCCACCGAGTGGTCGTATGCTACCGGGGTGATGATTCAACCATCTTGTTGACTCAGGTATCAATGAAATGGTGAAATGAAACCACTCCGCTCAAGGCCGATGTCGACGAAACATCTATATGACCGTCATTTCAATACGGCGTCATTGAAGACCATTGCGCTTTGGAGTTACTAGACAGGAATCGGTACATACCCCAAGAGAAGGTACACCTTTGTTTGAGACACTGGCAGATACGCCTCGTATTTTTGAGAATGCATCAATCGAACCATTAGCATCATATGTATCCAGCTGGGCTTGTGCACGACGGAACAACTTCGATCGTCGTTATGAATAGAGCGAGTCGTAACAGGGAAGTCTGCGCTTGAAAAATCAGTTCTCTGGAAAGATCGCTATCAGTTTTCGGTATTACTCGCAGGACAGCGTTGACGGACCAACCTCACCTGGACAGCTTGACCTGTTGATATGATCATCTTCTTGGCTTGAGCTACTCCGCTTTAGCTAAAGGCAACCTGGCTTCCATTTGGTTGGGGTGCTGGTGGTATTATGAATTTCAGCATCTCTATTTTCCTATGTGATAGAACTGATATCCACGCTTTCGGCGATCATAGATTGTTCTCCTCTGGGATCTACCTAAAGTTTGAATGATATCCGCGTCATCTGCGGCACTGTCCATATGTGCTGGGATCCGAGAAGATGGTTCAGAAGCTGTATGACAAACGGAGAAGTTTTAGTTGAGTACAAGGGTCGTCCACAAGTAGATGAAATCGTTCTCGTTAACGACAGTGCCCTATGCAACGTTCCCAGATTCCAAATGGTGGTCACGAGCACCTACACATTAACAGATACGATCTATCAATCTTGATATTCGAAAGGCTATGATTGGGCGTTCGCCGCTGTTCGACCAGGTCTTTTATAGTATGGGCAATTATGAAAATGCCGATGGTCATTGCAATGCAGTAATCTAAGGTGCATCAGAAATGGGGAGTTGGCTGAGTGAGAAAGAACTTCAGAGCGTACTGGGGTTCTACAGCAACCTCGCATCGCCTGACCACCTTGTACTCGCTTCGAATAAGACCCTCCAGTCGATGTTACAGCCCCACTCGTAGATCTACACGTTTTAGGAAGCATTATTTCGAGCACACTAATCTAAAAAATCTAAAAGGCGACCAGGACCCATCCGTGGATCTCCGGAACCTGAGCGTACTATCAATAACCTTCAATACAGCTGTGTGCGAAACTAATGAAAATTTTGGGGCCCGCGTGACCAAAAAGGAAATCCCCTTGTAAACCATTCGGACGACGTTCGACACCAGCAAATATCAAAAATGACGAACTTTTACCTTGTTCCATCGCCTATACGACATGGTTAACAGACGGATAAGCAAATATATGAAAGAATGTGCACTTAGCCTCTGGGATCAGGGTTGGGAGCTCGAGAATATCTGCGAGGCGCTGGGTGTTTCTCGCTTTCGTTGGCGAAAGATCTTTGCAGAACTCGGCACTGTTGTTAAGGGCCCTTCTCCACTCGTCAGCCGCACACGAATGATCATGCGCCGAGCACTCATGACGGCGATCGAAGACCTCTACGCCGAAGATTCAGACCTCTTCCTCAATGAGCTCATCCTTAACGCACAATCTCAATCAAGCTGGCCTCTCTCGCAAAATGCTTCAGAAGATTGCGTCTGAACGTGATGATATCCGTTGACAGGCGTTCAAAGATAGTCTTCAGAATGACTTCGTCGGCGATGGCTCGGAGTTTGTCGTCCTCGATGAAACTAGCAAGAACGAGCGTACTTACGCGTGGCGTTACAGTCGGGCACCCTATGGACAACGTGCACAGCTTAGTGATGTATTTGTTCGAGGAGACCGCTATTCGCTATGTGCTGCCATGACGGCAGACAGCTATCTTGCAACACCTGCTGTTGAAGGTTGGTTTGATGCACAAGAGTTCTACGATTTGTGATTCTTCATTAGGCTGTTTGACGACTGCAACTGCAGTTTTGGGCTGTCTGGCTGGAATTTTGATTGTTGGCCCTTTGGGATCGGTTTTCTTTTGATTTACCATAAAGTTATATGTGTATGGCGCGTGGAAAATGCAGTATGGAGGGCTAATACTGTCTGCAAACTGTTTACCAGTTACAGGAAGTCCCACAGGTGCCGAGGACGCGTTATTCTATCGATTTTCTTTTTGGTTACGCGCGCCCCGAAATTTTCATGAATTCGCACACAGCTATAAGGTCATGAGGATGTCAATGAATTCGCGAGGTTACTAGGACTAGGAGCGGACTCATTTCGGATTGCCTTCTTCGGTTGAACTATCTACTACGTCAACGTAATCCGTGCATTGCTTTTTCCCCAACACTAGGGCAGTTGTTTCACCCTGGTGATCAGTTCACCACACACAACGCTTCAACATCACGCTAAGCCTGACAATGATCAGGGTTTCCTACGATAACTCAACAAAAATAGCCGTGATGGCAGACTGTGCGTTGTCCAGCCTTGTTCATCAATTCGGAATCAGCACTGAGTGCTTCTGAGCAGTGCGTGAGCAGCCAACCACATAAGCGACGTGGCTGTATGAACACCATCAAGCTTTCGGGGTGCTACTGCCAGACACGAGCCTCTCGGAGGCGCAACACTTGGGACTACCATGAGTTTGCAATGTTCGTTTTGGTAGTCACCGGGGAACGCAATGCCCGACGTATTCAATTTCGTACATGTACATTGCCATGAATTGTCTGCAATATCCATCTGATGAGGCGAAACAGTTATCACCTTCGAATGATGTTCTTTGCACCGATTCTTGCCAAAACGTGATATTCAACTTACTTCATCATGATGGCGAACTGAAATATCATGATGCTCACAGTCTGGTAAATACTCTGGGCGGCTGCTGATCGATTGTTGACATTAGGCTCTTGGCTCTTTGATTTTGATACCATCTCCCGGCGACAAAGAGGTGCAGTAACGTATATTTCGGAGATGAATTTTCGAGGGAAAGCTCTTGGCATCTCGAACCCTAGGATGGAACATACAGCAAATTTACTTCTGCGTCCTACAATATTCAAGACTGCGGGTATCGCATGAATGCCCCCAACAAATATATAAAGTCTTTGCCTTGGGGATTGAAGCCCCACTTCCAGTCGATCAGATTCTTCACTCAGTCCTCCAAACTCCTCAGCTTACCGAAATGTCCCATTTAAAGTCTCTCCTGTCTATTCTCCTCATTTCCCTGTCCGCCGTGAATGCATCCCCCTTGCGCCGCGATGCTAGCATGGCAACCCTTAGATTTGCCGCAAGGTTGAACGCAAGGGAGGATGCTACTCTCAGTATCGCTGATGCCGACAGGGCTCGTGCCCAGGCAATGGTGCACGCTGGCTCCAAGAGCAAACGTGCTGGCAGTTCCTCTGTCAGCATAACTAATGGTGTCGTGGATTACGTTGCCCAAGTTGGTGTCGGCAGCCCCGCTACTCAATGTAAGACTCGCTGTCGGGTGACCCAGATAATTTCTGACTAGAAGAATTCTCAGACTCGCTTCTTGTTGATACGGGCAGCTCCAACACTTGGATAGGTGCGGCAACCCAATACAATCCCACTAGTACTAGTGTGGATACCGGGGACACAGTCGTATGTCTTTCCGCATCCTCTGCTTATAAACAAGTCGCCCATGATAAATTTTATAGTACGTCTCTTATGGTTCCGGCGAGTTCTCCGGAGAGGAATACTTGGACACAGTGACGTTAAGCTCTGACTTAGTCATTACCGGACAATCTATTGGGGTCGCGCAGAGTACATCTGGCTTCAATAACGTTGATGGAATTCTCGGTATTGGACCGACTGACCTCACGCAGGGCAGCGTTTCGAGTGGTGGTTTAGTTCCCACTGTCACCGACAACCTCTTCAGCAAGGGTATCATTGGCACTGAGGCACTCGGGATCTTCTTCCCTCCCATCTCTGCTAACAGCGCTGGCGAGCTCACCTTTGGTGGCTACGACAGCTCAAAGACGACGAGCCCAGTGAATTATGTCCCTCTCACAACTACGTCACCCGCTAGCAGTTACTGGGGCATTGATCAATCTATTGCCTACGGTAGCTCCACCATTTTGTCCGAGACTGCTGGTATTGTTGACACTGGCACAACCCTCATTCTCATCGCCACTGGTATGACAAGTCACTCATAAACGGGTGATCCCAACTGACTTGAAAATATTAGACGCATTCGACCAGTACAAGTCTGCCACTGGTGCTACGATGGATCAGACCACCGGTCTCTTGACGATCACCTCTGATCAGTATGCTAAGCTGCAACCCCTGACCTTCAACATTGGCGGGAGTCCCTACGATCTCACCCCCGACGCCCAAATCTGGCCCCGTTCCCTCAACACTGAGATCGGCGGTAGCAGCAGCAGCATCTACCTTATCGTTACTGATATCGGTAGCGACTCTGGCAGTGGGCTCGACTTCATCAACGGTTACTCATTCCTGTGGGTGTTTTAAGTCACCTCATTTAGTATAATGCTGACCATCTGCTCCAGCCAACGCTTCTACTCCGTATTCGACACCACCGACCACCGAGTCGGCTTCGCGACCACTTCGTATACCGATGCGGTCATTAACTAAAATGACCGTGTGGTGACCTTACTCATACGCACGATTTAAATATTTATATCAGCTAATAGTTATTCAAGATCGACGAGGGTGTTAGTTATTCAGAGACGAATGCGAGTAGGCTCCACGGAACGAATTTATGGTGTATCTGTACCTAGACTGTGTCCTTGACTGAAAATTGACTGAAATTCGTTACTTCTCGACGGAGTCAGTTGTGGTAAGTTGTTGCATTCGACGCTGGCGTCGAAGAAGTTTAAGTTGCCACTGTGTAAGCGGATGCGGCACTCATGTCAGGAAGCCTCGAGGATGAAAAAAACAGGCGGCATATACCTTTCCTGGTCCTACATTGGACCTCTCGCCGGGACCATAGAAATACAGAGAAACAACCCACATATGATGATAAAATACTGGAAGGACACACAAACAGTCTACTATTATGACCGGACGAACACCAAACTACGGCATAGATACTTCCGTGATGAGTTGGGGAGCAACCGCGGTTCTGTCAAGAAGGTACAAGTCGATGCAACAGTCCATGGAGCCGTTGCTGTATGTGAGCAGCTGATTGCATTTACCGCCCTGAATCTAAGTAGCATTATTGAACACTTACGACGCTATGTAAGACATGTTCGTGTCTGTTGCACATTGAAGTCTGAAGTGTTCCATTTGGAGAACAGTCATGGTAAGGCGTGTTTTGGGATAACAACAATAATGAATGGATTCGCGCGATCAAGGCAGCAATCTACACGCAACAGTCATAAATCACAAACCTGAATGGTTTGTGGCACAAGAACGTCTGTGTTACTATAATGGAGGTGAGGTGAACAGACCGTCCGAGTCGGGCACGTTATCGACCTCATCAGAGTGCGGGCGAAAGAATTTTGGGAGTCATCGGGCGAATAAGTGAACGAATACATCAGGAAATCACGAGATCACTTTTGACCCACTTATGTACCGCTTTTCGCACGATTTCGTATGTAAAGTAGCACAAGGTCGAAAAAGTAGAACCTACTTTTTTCAGTAGATCTCATTACTGATATTCCACTTCTTCTCAGCTTTTTCACACTTATTTTTGCGAGACGCATTGAAAAAAGCATGACTGTTAAGGTTGTGCTCAAGGGAGAGGTTACTCAAAGGGCTTCGGCTTCAGCTCATGCGCTGCGCCCCTTACCTGAGTACATGCCCTTAATTTCCGGGGGACAGAGGGGAAGTCTGACGGAAGTCCGGGGAATTCCGGAGGACAGAAGTCGGTGGAGTTCGGCGGAACTCTGGAAGACTATATGGGGGACGGAGTAAGGCTACTACGGAAGTCCGGAGTAGAAACAGAACAGAGGTTAGACTACCCTAAGGTAGAGCCGGAGAAGTAGTCCTAAGGTTTAACCCCTAAGACTCAGAGGTGGACAAGAGATGAGACTCAGGTCCGGAGATTGCAGGAATGAGCAGAACTAAGATGATATTCAAACTGAGGAGTTCCAGAGTATTACAGGGGTTTATATACTGTAGGTATCATGTAAGTAAATCAGTCAGCAAAGGTAAGGGCTATGTACGAAGCATGTGGAAAGTCTATTATTAAGTGTAACGGATCAAAGCAGTGAAGTCAGAAATGAAGTAAGAATGGATGGATCAGTAAGCATAGCGGAATAGGACATAACCAGTAACCAGAGCAATAGCTAATCTAAAAGGAGTCAGGGGTGAGTGCGGAGATGAAGGCGGAGATGAAGGTGGAGCGCCAGGCAGAATAGTAAGACAGAGGACTGGACTTTAATGAAGTAGATCCGGAATTCCAGATCCCGAGGTACGGGATATGACAACGACACTGATTATTAAAAGTGGACTATCAAAAAAAGTGCAAAAAAAGTAGTCTAGAAGAATGAGTAAAGTCCTCTAAAAGTGCAAATATGTGTAGATGCTAGAATGACAGCTTGAATGATTGGAGTGGGGGGACCGCAATGGGTATTCTGCCAGTGTCAGATGTGTCAGTGGTAGTAGCAGAGCACATGATGAGGGGAAAATACATACAAAGCAGGGCACGCCTGGCCTTGGGTTTCAGGTCCTCAGCAGGAGTATTCTTGAGCTTTTGGATCGCTTCCTGGCATTGGTGCACCAATGAAATTGTGTCCATTGTATACTTTGTCCCCCGCCTCTTGAGTGATTGGTAGTATTCAGCTGTTGCCAATCCACAATTTGCCTCTGAAAATGCCGATGCAGCAGTGCTGTCTTTGCCACTGTATTTGTTGCGCTTGAGGGGTAGTACTCTGTGACCCTTGGTAGTACTGCCCTTTGCACTGCTAGTGCCGATGCTTTGGTCATTGCCGGAAGCTTTGGGTGGCTTTGCAACAAAGTTGAGAGTGCGTTCTAGCTATGAAAATGAACGGTTAGTTAATGTTAGAAAATTTAGATGGAACCTACTGAGGCAGCACATGCGGGAATTACAACCTGCATATCCTTCAATTGCAGATCATCCATGTTGAGCGCGGGTACATCAAGGAATCCAGCGATTGCATTCATATGTGCGCTTTTGATCATTTCCAACATAAATTCAGACAGGTAAATCTGGTCTGGGTCACGAACATCTGGATTGTTGTAGAGGAAGGCCCACTCGTCAAGAAGATTTGCTGCCAGTGTTTGTTCAAAGTCAATATCATCATCTTCGTCTTTGTTCTCATCATCTTTAGAAGTAGCTAGAAAGTTTGCGATGAGGGCCATGGCTGTTGATCCAAAATTACTGCGCCAGGAGCAAATGCGCTGATTCACCTTTCATTAGAGATGACTTGTAGTCAGAAATAACAGTTTGACGGTAGGAATAGAAGACTTACCAAACCAATGATAGGGCCTTTTGGTTGGACATTATGATTCATTCCTGGATAAGCAACATCAAAAATAGCCTGGAGCGCTGGAAGTAGTTTGTCGGTCTCGATGGACCAAAAATTAGGCTGAGCACCTGCCCACAGAAAAACAGTAGGGATAAAAGACCTTTGCCACATGCCGTCCTTCAACATAATTTGGGGAAGATCAGTGTTTTGCCATTGGTTTCCACTTTTCGGCTTCATCATCAAGTCAGCGGACATCAAATCGGGCTCAGGTGACACCGGAATGCTTGTAATCTGGGACACTGGTTCTAACTTAGCTTTCTTGGGTGGGTTCGGGTTCTCGCAGACTGTTACACTAGTCTGTTGAGCGCCTCAGTATAAATAGAATTAGATATGAAGAAAAAAGCCTACCTTTGAAGTAATCCATGCTAGCTCAGTAGGAATGGGCTCGACTTTGGGAGTCATGAACTCAGAAGCGTCGAGTATCATGGAGTCATCAGCAGTGTCTAGGTCCTCTTTGGATGAACTGATCAAGTCGACTGCTTCGATTGGCCTCTTTGTGGAACTAACAATGTGAGTTGATTGAACCTGTTCTATAGCGAATCACATTATTTCAGCTTGTTGAGTGAGCAGCAATAAATTGAATGGCATTGACACCAGCAGTCTTTCGGAGGTGTCATCATCTGAAAGTTCCATGATCTCATTAGTGATCCCTACAACACTCTAAAAATGTATCAAATCGTGTCAGACCTTAATTTTTTGATGTTGTTGAATGCTCACCTGCACCCCCCCTTCCTTTTCCATTAGCAATGAGAGACGACATGTGCTCTTTGAATTCTTCATCATCTTCATCATTATCGGCATCAACATCAATGTCAACGTTGACATCTTCATCTTCATCCAATGCAGGAATGTGTGAAGTCCTGGATGAGTCTGTCAAGGAAGGAGGTGGATCTTTTGCGAGTGAGACTGTGGTCATGACTGTTTGGCCTGTTCTTGCTGACAAAATGCCCAGAGAGTCAGCAGAGACAGTTTCAGTGGGAACACTGGGAACAGGGGAAGGTTTCGCAGCTCCCTTCAACTCAGGTTCAAGGTGAGTGCGCCAGTTATGGACCTTGCCAAAAAGGCCATATTTCTTATTTCTGAGCGCCCAAGTAAGGTTCATAAAGCGAAGCGTAGACTCTGTGAGCATCAATAGCATGATGGTGAGAAGACAAATTACTGACAGGTTAACATTTCCTTTCTTGTCGCTATCAGGTGCTCAAACTTGTTGGATCTGCCTTGTTGCAGCGCTTATCGCTTCACGTGATATGGTAGGGTTGGCCTTCTTTTTCTTCTTTGTCTTTCTGCCCTCGTTCTCAAACTCCTCATTTCCAACCGCCTCATTTCCAATTGCCTTGTTTCCAATTGCCTTGCCATTGCCTGCACCCACACCCATGCTATTAGCTGTGCGGTGACCACCCGCATCTTGAACTACAGCTTGCACTGGATGATTCTCTGAGGTGAGCTCACTAGTTGCCCCTTGCATACTCTCCTTCACACTCTCCTTCTTCTTCACTGGTCTAGCCCAGGGTTTTACTGGTTTTGCCCTGTTGGCTGCCTCAGTCGCCTGCTGCACCTCCATGGCAGCCTCAATGCCTGCAAGCCAATTAACTCCACACTGCACAGTAGCTTCCTTGATAGCCTGTGCTTCCAGGGCATGCTCCTTGTCCTGTGCGATCTGGGCTTTGGTACGTCGCTTCTTTTGACCTTCAAGAAGCACAAGTCCAGGGTGCTGAGTTGCATTTTTAGGGTGTGTATGGTGAGGAGAAGTGGGAGGCGCCATAGCTGATATGAAAAGCAGGAAGGGGCAGAAGAGAGCTGGCAATGGGTAGGCCTTGATAAAATGTAAGAGTCAAACTGCAAAAATTCTGAGTAGTAGTACTAAATGCAAACAAACAACCCTTCATAACATAGTACTCAATACTTCATGCCACTTTCCAAGTCTGCCTACACTTCAGCACTACAACAACAGAGTGCGACTGCCAGAACTGGTACTACTGGCCATCCTAACAACAAGCTCTCATCTAACCGCAGATTTTTATAGACATCCCACAAGTGCCAGGAACTGGTACTGGCTATCCTACCAACAAGCTCCCTCCTGTGCATCATGTCCCAGACTGGTCCACAGGCGAGCCACCTGCGCCATGAGCCCATTGGTCTTTGCATCCCTTGCACGAAGCCAGGGTGCAACCATTGGTTTAAGAATTGGTTGGGGCACACACAGCATATGAATGCGAAGCACCCCATGTTCCTACAACAACATGGATCGACTCAGCCATGCAGGCCTCCTTCGCCAAGTTCTGGGCTGCCTGGCACTACCAATTTGGGTGATACTGGTGCTATGGAGTTCAGCGATGACGAAAATCCTATGCAACCAACGGTTGGATTTTGCAGCGCTGGTGACCAGCTGTATAGAAACTACCACCCTTTGTTGTCTGGTATGTTTTTCATCCCATTGAATTTTTCTAATATCTCATTCACAACATATGAAGCTCACCCCTGCAATTCAGAGGGTGACTTCCTTCCACTGGGAACTCCACCTCCACCACTCACTGACAAGACACCAGATGACTGGACTCCATACAAGAGCCAGGTAGAATTCGAGCTCGCTGATTATTTGTTTACAAAGAATCAAACCCCCGAGCATTTGATCAACCAGTTGCTCAATATTTGGGCAGCTTCATTAATGCAAGCTGGTAGGAGATTGAGTCTCTTTTCAGATCATCGCCACATTTACAAGACAATTGATAACACTCCTCTCGGCGATGTAAAATGGCAATCATTTACTGTCAAATATACTGGTGAGATTCAAGAGGAAGGCACTGCACCATGGATGGCGGATATTCACGAAGTTTGGTTCCGTGACCCCCGCGAAGTTGTTCACAACATGCTTTCTAACCCAGATTTTGCTGCAGAGATAGACCTTAGACCTTACCGGGAGTTTGCGACAGAGAACGACGAGCGTCAGTGGAAAGATTTTATGTCTGGAGATTGGGCTTATAAACAAGTGGTATGTCTTTTTTTTTGATTTTATTGTTTGTGGGTTTGACATGCATCTACAGGACGTGATTTCTGAGGATCCTGACACACATGGTTCAATGTTTGTGCCCGTGATTCTTGGGAGTGATAAAACGACTACTATCCTCTTTACGCGTCTATTGGAAATGTTCGGAACAATGTACGCCGTGCCCACCAAAATGCTGTTGCTGTTGTAGGGTTTCTTGCAATGCCCAAAAGTACGTGTTTGTCGATTTTGTATATTATTGTCCTTACATCTTGCAAAGCAACCAAACAGCATGCCAAGACAAAAGGTTTCCAAAGGTTTCATCGCCAGCTATTTCACTCATCACTCTCATATATCCTCAAGAGCCTGAAGCCTGGAATGATGACACCTAAGGTTGCACGTTTCGGGGATGGGCACTATCGCTGCATCATCTATGGACTCAGGCCTTATATTGCAGACTATGAAGAGCAAGTATTACTTGCATGCATAGTTTGAAGGTGGTGTGCTAAGTGAGTAGATTTCCTCGATCATCTATTGTATTTGTTCTGATACCGAAATAGGTGTCTTTCACATTGCAAGGCCCTTGATGAGACCACTCTCCTATGCTCAAGATTTCATGCGGATGCACTCATCGAGGAGTGCGACTTTGATACATTGTGGGCAGAGTATGGTATAGTTGCCGTCCTCGTGGTATATCCTTTTTTTTTTTTTGGTTTCAATTGTACTTGTAATTGACGCATATGCAGCCATTTACAAATGATTTCCCCCATGCCAACATCCATGAGTTACTCACACCTGACCTTCTCCACCAAATTATAAAGGGGTTGAGAGATACCTCTTGCAGGAGCATGGAAAGACACAGGCTAACATCATTCTAGATGATATTGACCGATGGTATGTTTAATTAACTGCAATCTTCATTCACTCTTAGCTTTTTGTAGGATCGCAGTGGTTCCTCCTTTTCCCAGCCTGCATCAGTTTCTGCAAGGACGCCACTTTAAACAATGGACCGGTGATGATTCAAAGGCCCTCATGAAGGTATTTTATATTTAATTCTTCTCAGAATAATGTAATGCTAAGTGTATCAAGGTGTACCTGCCAGCAATTGAGGGTTATGTCCCTGAAGATGTTGTGCATGCATTCAGCACCTTTCTCGAGTTTTGTTATCTCATCCGCCACAACATACTTACAGAAAAGTCCCTTGAGGAGATCCAAGCTGCACTTGCTCATTTTCACCAGTATCACGAAGTTTTCAAGACCACTGGAACGATTACAATGTTTTTGCTTCCACGACAACACTCGATGACTCACTATGTGCATTGTATTCAACTCTTTGGTGCTCCGAATGGCTTGTGCTCTTTGATCATGGAGTCAAAGCACATTAAGGCAGTGAAGGAACCTTGGAGGCGGTCCAGTCAATATAATGCATTAGGTCAGATGCTTCTGACTAACCAGCATCTGGACAAGCTGGTGGCGTCACAGGTAGATTTCCGCACTCATGGAATGCTCTCAGGTACTTGTCTAACATCTATTCTTGTAGCACTCAATACACGTTCATTTCTACCTTTTTTTCTGCTATTTAATCATGATTTTGCTAGAACTGTCAGCAGATGTACCTGCGCAGGCTGAGCCCACCAGTGCAGAAGAGTATAATCCAAACCAACAGGAGCCACCTGTTGTGCACCAAACTGCCAGCATACCTGACATTGACGTCATCGCTGACTCCGAAGATATCGATGCACCAACTTCAGTACTCGCACATGTTCAACTAGCCCAAACATCTCATAAGTTTTTTTAAAATTTCATTTGCGTGTTCCAAGTCTCAATACACTATGTACAGAAGGGACAAAGCATGCCCAGACCATTCCCGCACTAGCCGATGAACTCACCATCCCACACTTACCTGACCTCATTTGAGATTTCTTTGTCGATCAACTGTATCCAGAAATGCACCTTATGGAAATCCCTGAAAACATCATGGACTGTCCTTGTTATGAAGGAAGGATTTGGGTGTTCAATTCCACGGTGTTGACATTCTTCACACCAAGTGATTTGAGTAGCATGGGTGGAATGAAACGCGAGCACATTCGTGTGTCCCCCAATTGGAGAAATGGGTGTGCACGTAAAGACTGTGTATTTGTCATTACTGACCCAACAGCTCATGGAATGCAAGGCATGGATGTCACCCGAGTACTCACATTTTTTTCTTTTTGACTTCGGGGCAAATATTATCCATGTGCGGTTGCCTGCTGGTTCAACCGAGTCGGCGACACACCTGATGATCAGATGGGCATGTGGATGGTCGAGCCGTCTTCCATTGATAATCATGTGCACTTTGCGGTGATTCATGTCAACTTGATTTTTCGATCCACTCATCTTATTCCTGTTTATGGCACTGAAATGCTTCCTGCAGTCATTAAATCCCACCACACCCTCAATATATTCACCCTTTTCTATGTGAACAAATTCACTGACCATCATGCCTTCGAAATAGCATTTTAGCACAACTTGCTTTTTTCTTTGTTACTTACTTTTTTTGTGTTGCTTTGCTTTTTTTCGACTCAACGCTTTCGCTTGTTTTGTCTCTTTTATATATTCAGTGATACAAAGCTTTCAAGTCCGAAAAATAAGCGTGAAAAAGCAACAATGAGTAATTGGTCACTTATTTAAGCGCTAAAAAAGCTAGCAAAGTGAACTCGTGATTTCCTGATGTATGTACGAGTCGCTCACTGGCAGGAGGCAGAAAAGAAAAGAAAAGATAGATATTATTCTTGTTAAGTGCCCCTTAAAATTACATAAGGACTCTAGAGAACCAAGTGCTGCCAAGTGGCATTGCAATCATTGCGGTGTACCACCTGTCCTCCCAATACACTTCATGGGGAGTTCACATTGATTTCACATGTACTCATCATTCCAAAGTCTCTATACATCGCCCCACCATTGAATTCATGAGGTTGATATGGTGAGTAATGAGTTGTGGGCCTTTGGGGATGATCTAATAAACAAGTATAATCTCAGTCTCTTGAAAGAAGCTCTGCTAACAAGCTATGTACCTAATAAACAAGTATACTAGGGACTCATCAGTTCTCTTCTAATTGATATGTTGAGACTATTAACTCACATCTCAGTCTCTTGAAAGAACTTCAGAAGCTGAGATGTGCTTGTGCTACTACTAGCGTTCTTATAGTAAGCTATGTGGAAACAGAAAAATATATCAAAGAAATAAGTAACATATTGCAGGATGCAAGCCAACATCAACATGTTGCTCGTCAATGTTCTTTTTGGCTTGGGCTTGGACCTGTCACTCTCTCTCCTCAACTATCTTGGATTGTTCAGAGTCTAACAGTTGAGGCCTAGGAGTGGACTCATTTTGGATTGCCTTCTTTGGTTGAACTATCTACTATGTCTAGTGCAACTGCAGTTCAGCTACGGCCCACTCTGGCTTGGTGTTCTGTCATATCCATGATCCATATGAGTCTCCTCTGCCCTCAGTTAGCATCTTCCACCCTCATTTACAGTCCTCCACCCTTGTCCATGCTCCTCCACCTCTAAATATGTATCTCCAATGTCAGGCACACTCCTCTGCCCATGACTCAATCAAGGTACAAGGCACACATTGATCCATTCTAAGTTCCCTTTGTATATTCCACTTTCCACCTAGTCTTTGTACCTAGGCAACTGCATTGGTAAACCCCCGGGTATCACAGATGGACACCCCAGGTACTACCCATTGAGGGTATACCCGCAGGTCTTGCATAGATGTAGTACAGTACAAGCAAAAAATAGATCAATGTATTCTACAACTCAATAGCATCCCACCCATCCTCCATAGCAGTTTCATCACCACAAACCTCAGTGAGAGCTGTGATGGCCAGCACATCTTCTGTCTTGATGAGGCCAAGGCGGCTCCAATAACCAAGGCACAGGATTGTGCAAGTCATCTGGGCAGAGAGTTGTGACCGGACATGGGAAAGTAGGAGATGACCATGGCTAAAGAGCTGTTCGACATCAACAGAAGTTGCTGTAGTAAGGGGACAATAAATTATGAGCAATGGTCCAATGGACAATAAGAAAAAACACACCTGGAATTGTGAGATAGTCCAGCGCCATTTGTGAAAGACAGGGATAGAGTGCATGACATTCATTCCACCACACAAGGGCATTGTCAGCATGTTCGACATCGGTGCTGAGATAACGATTGAGTTTGTCCCTTAAGTCAGTGGTTGCCAGCAGAGCAAGTGCAGGAATGCTATCAAAAATATTCTACACAAAGTGTCAGTCGACAATGAACATACAGTGGCTCAAAAAACTGTCCACATGTTTGTGCTATTTTCACTATTTACATTATTGTATATGAATGAACAGGTAGACTGGGGATATGCCAGTGGGGTACTCTGTAGTACTCCTTTGGGGCATGAATTTGAGCCCTTGCCCGTGGGAATTTATGGTAATGTGGTGGCACTATAAGCCTTACAAAATGATGACTCATGTGGACAGTTTTTTGACCCTAGATTAAAATTATATAAATCATTAGTTATGACACCATAAAGTCATGCCACTATTAAATAAATTATGAAGTGGTGTCATTATGACATTATTAAACCTATCTCTAAGTATATAATGAAGTGTGTCCCATATATCATAGTCATAATCACCATGAAAACCATCTCCTCTGCTCAAAGGGATAATATCCTTTCTCTGTCTACTACTGGCCTCTCTACTCGTCAAATAGCCTCTAGAACTGGTTTATGTAAGTCTACTGTAGCTAACCTCATCAAAGAATGTCACCCAGACAAGGAAAACTCCAGTGGAGGTTGTCCATCCAAACTCACCTCTACTGATAGGAGGGTTATTATTTAACATATCACCACAGGAAAGGCTGATAATGGAGGATATCCATATACTGCTCAGCATCCATCCTCCCCTCAACTTCTGCAAGCATTCTCACACCAGAAGTTCCACACCATACATCCCCATACCATTAAAGAACCTCCTCCAAACTTGAGAGTTCCATTAATCTCTCTGTCTGTAAGAGGGCCCCCCTTCTTTTTCCACACATGTACCTTCCCATCTGACCCAATTCTATTGATTTTAGTCTCATCTGACCATATGACCTGCTTCCAGTCCTCTACAGTCCAGTTTTGATGAGCTAGGGCAAAGGCTAGTCTTCTCTTCCTATGAGTGATGGAAAGAAGAGGCTTTTTCTTCTTTGTTACGACCCTAAGATTGGCTTCCTTGAGGACATTCCTCACTGTTTGTGAAGAAACTGGAGTAGGAATGATGGAATTGATATGATGAGTGACTTGGACGGCATTATCAGCCTTTCCTGTGGTGATATGTTAAATAATAACCCTCCTATCAGTAGAGGTGAGTTTGGATGGACAACCTCCACTGGAGTTTTCCTTGTCTGGGTGACATTCTTTGATGAGGTTAGCTACAGTAGACTTACATAAACCAGTTCTAGAGGCTATTTGACGAGTAGAGAGGCCAGTAGTAGACAGAGAAAGGATATTATCCCTTTGAGCAGAGGAGATGGTTTTCATGGTGATTATGACTATGATATATGGGACACACTTCATTATATACTTAGAGATAGGTTTAATAATGTCATAATGACACCACTTCATAATTTATTTAATAGTGGCATGACTTTATGGTGTCATAACTAATGATTTATATAATTTTAATCTAGGGTCAAAAAACTGTCCACATGAGTCATCATTTTGTAAGGCTTATAGTGCCACCACATTACCATAAATTCCCACGGGCAAGGGCTCAAATTCATGCCCCAAAGGAGTACTACAGAGTACCCCACTGGCATATCCCCAGTCTACCTGTTCATTCATATACAATAATGTAAATAGTGAAAATAGCACAAACATGTGGACAGTTTTTTGAGCCACTGTAAGAGTAAATAAGAACAGTTTTGAATTACAGTCAAGGATGCCACCACAGATGTGTTAGCATCAGAAACCATGTCATCCGTCTCCTCGTTGGTGTTATCGGTCAAGTATGATTGGTCAAACTCCTCATGCACCAGTGTCTGTGCAAGCTCAATCCAAGCCTCCTCCCATTTAGCACATCTAAAGTAAGAAAGTTTGTGTCACGGATGGAGAACTATAGTATGATTTAGTTAGTCAATACTAAAATAATAGCATTAGAAGGCTTACTCATGGCTATATGATAAACATCAGAGTTGTCTGTAAGTTCATAGTAGTGGTTGAGAGTTTTTTTGGCAAGTCCTGCAGTGGCACAAATTGAAGGAAGTGTTACGCAAAACCTCTCAGGTGAGATCCGGTGGCGCTAAACCCACAAGGGGCGTTCGAAGCGTGGCCTTCGGCGCTAGCCCAGCAAGGAGCTTGCCTGCGCTAAGTCTGAGTAAGGGTTGAGGCCCTTACTTGCGTAGAGTTGTTTTTGGAGTTTCCCAAGGATACGATCCAAGGGACGGAGTTCAACTCAAGAGTATCGTCTCAAGAGGAGATGGTTCTGTGTACAGAGGGAATTCTCTTTAGACAAGAGAACTTCAGACCCAATGACAAGATCAGATGAGAACCGAGTAGATTCAAGTTAGAGAATCTATCTACTAAGAAGTAAGATATATATATGTGAAGGGGAATACCGGTGGAACGGTAAGGGTACAGGGTAACGGGAGTATTACCAAAGTACTGGTAAGGGCAGAGGGTTGTGTGAGTCATAAGTATAAATAGGTAGGAAGTACCGGTTGAGCGGTAAGGGCAAAGGGCATGGGGAATCCCCATCAATGGGGGAACCGAAACAAGGGAAAGGGCATAGGGTGCAGTAGAAGCGAGAGCTTCTCGCATTTCAGAACAACGGAATCAAAAGAAGAGATGAAAATAGAATAGTCGTAACCATAGTCCAGGTCTGGACGAGTCCAAAGAATGAAATGACGTATAACGCTCATGTGACTGTAACAGGAAGGAGTTGGTTGTTGAGCATATGTGTGGCAAGTGTCTCGTCAATGAGATCCATTGCTGGGATCACTGTTGTGAGGTTTGGTGTTGAGCGTGAAAAGAATAATGTGGCATCCTTAAGGATCTGAATAGTAATTACATTAGCAATTAGCAAAATTAAAACAACACCACAATCCTCACCTTCAATACATTGCATAGTTGCTCAACAATACACCATTCATTGTCACCCATCTCAAATGCCCTCAGTCCCAAGTTCCATCACTGCATCACAGTGTCAATTGCCTTGTGATGTTCCAGTGCATATTCCACCATATCATATGTGGAATTCCACTGGGTGGATACGTCTCTGGGCAACATACTGGATTTCATTCCCAAGTTGCACAAGATATCATGCCAGGCTGGGAGAAGTTTTGTTGTCAAGTGGATGATCTTGTACCCAAGTTTCCGAAGCTATTTGGGCCACTGTCAGCTGTGAGTTTTCGATGTTTTGATTCGCCAACCTTTACAAGCACTAACTTGACTGGGACTATTGTATTTTCCAGCGCTTCACGTTCTTCACTGGTCAGAAGCTCGGTACCATTCACCAGACCCTCTGTATTATCCCTCAAGTCATCATCATTAGCTCCCGTGTCCACAATTGTTGTATAATCTTCAACTTCAATGTTTTCACTCAACTCCTCAAGTTGTTCCCTCAACCACATTTCCTCTGCAGTCAGCACAGCATCATTGGCATCCTCATCTTCCAAATCACCCTGCTTCTTTTTTGCATCAAATTCACAGATAACAGCCTTTGCAACAAGGTTGACGGTGTGCAGGAAGCACCAAGTGTGCATTGTGCATCCTCCAAAGTCCAGGAGATCCACTGCAAGTTGGTCAATCATCACATCATTGTTAGATGTGTTGTCACAGGTGAAACACAGAGTCTATATGCTTGTAAGTCACATTATTCCATTGTATATTTTTTTTCCTTACCTTTTCTGTGACTTTGAAATCTTGCAGGACTTCCTGAAGCGCGCCTGCGGGTTCTTCCCCTGTATGAGACCATCATCACCAGCACTTCAATGTTTGTAAGTGCATTTTACCTTTGGAACTTCAACAATATCTAACAGCAAGCACAGTGGTTCCCCTTTGTACTCTAAGTGTGCCAATACTGCCATGAGGGCCCTATGGTTTGGGGACGTCCAGCCATCAGTAGTGAAGTTAATTTTTCCTTTATGCTCCTGGTACATATTTAGTTTTTAAATGAATTATAATCATGGTATGAAACTCATGCTTGTCAATTTAGCAATGCATTGACGTGTCCTTGCAAAAACGAGCTGAATGTCTTGCGAGACAGTCAAAGCAGATGGTATGTAATACTCTGGTTGTCCTGTTTTCATGAGAGACTGAAAACCTCTATCTTCAACTATCAAAAATGGACGCAGGTTTTCCGATACCCAACAAATGATTTCAGCTCTGTTGGGCTTGTTAGATCTGACTCAAGACACCATCAGAATTCTCATACTTTGATTCTGCATGTATATGTTGATGATGAGAGTATGTTACCTTTCCTTTACCCTTTCTCTCAAATGATGCCACAATTGATCTGTTTCACAGGACACTCCCAACAATCTTTTTACAAACTTCATCAGCATCTTTTGCTTCATCTGCAGCCCGCAAAACTTCATCTCCCCAACACAAACAAACATGCTTACGCATGTTTCCTGTCGAGCGCTTGTCGCCTTTGTCAAGGTAATGCCTCACTGTTGTTTTGCAACCTTTGCCCTGGCACTTGAATGCATGTGCACACCAGCCCTTCTCCTTGATAATCTTGGGTATCAGATCAAAGAAAGCATACACCGGTGAGGTCCAGTCTTTCATGAGCCATTCTGTTGGTATCTGTTAACACAATATCATGTCCTAGGTTTCCAAACATACTTAGCTCATTGGGAGTGTTTTCGTCTTCACTTTCAATCACGGTAATCACCTCAACTTCATCACTGTGTAACAGTTCTTCCTCCTCCTCTGTGTGGATGACAGTTCATTGACTTTGTGCCAGTGATGATCTCGATGATCCAATCACAGGGCTGCTATCTTTAGAAGGCATAGTGATGTTCTTGGGTGCCATTACTGCAGTGATGGGAGTGCTTCCATTGGTTGGGTTTGATTTTACTTTCTTCGGCGGTCTCTTCGCACTATCTCCATTCAAATCAGCTTTTTGTTTCTTCAATGCGGCATGGCCTTAGCTTTGGCGGAGACCTTGGGGACTCATTTAGTAGTACTATTGGAGTGCATGGTGTGAGCGAGGCTGGGTAAATTATGATAGTGTTGGTTTGCAAAATTTTGACAGACTTTACCCAATTGTACATTAGAGTTTGACATATATAATATCTCCACATGTCACTTAGTGGACAGTCACTACTACTTAGTAATATCATCCGAAACCTGTGCCATAGATATGGGTATGGGTACAGGTACACTAATGCTAGACCCATACCCATACCCCAAACCCATGCAGGTCACCCTGACCCATGCAGTTGCCTAACCACAGACAAAGGTTGCCCTTCACACACATGCAGTGCCAAGTGGTGACCAGCCTTCACCTTGGTGATTGGTTCAATTGTCTACTCCTGACTCACCTGATGCTGTGGTAGTTATGCATGATATTACTGTTACTGTAGTTCAGACCTCATGCATGTTCTACTGCTATCCTAGTATGTAATTCATGCATGATGGTACATATAATCTTGCTGTATTATATGAGTACCTGCCTTAAGTAGGTCATGCATGATGACCGCAGTCATGCATGGCAATTGGTGCATATATCAGTTACGACCATGCATGATCTAATCTGTATATGCAGCATTTTGGATTTGTACCTGGCGGCGCGCCACGGTAGCAATCCTGCCTCTCCTGCTCACTGTGCACAACAGCAAGCATACCATTCTCGCTTGTTTTGGGGGTATTTTGTTGCGGACTTTTTGCTCCACAAAGAGGATGGTTGAAAGAACAATTTCATTGGTTGATATGCATGCAGCAGTGTTACAAAGATAGAATGTAAATAAAAACTACAAATATCAAAAATATGTGCTGGAATGTGTACACACGAGAGGGAGTAATCAGACATGGAGCGAATGGGAAGTGTCAGTTCACCGAGTCACTGCCAGTCCAAGAAATTGATGACTCACTGTTGTTCCTCCTTCAGAAAGTCGACCACTTCTTCCCATCTCATCACACATGTGCGTGGGCCTTACACAGTTCTATAATGAGAGGGTATGATTCAGAGCAGCTTCAAAAATAAGTAGAACTTGACCTACATATGGGCAAAAGCTGCTGCAGGAACCGCGTGGCCCTGGTGTTCGAGTACCATTGTGAATGTTCCATGGCACCTGGGGCTGTGCATGCTGTGAGAACCTGCCAAATGAGAGTGGTGTCCTTTTAAAGGTGGGAATCAGGAGGTAGCAAGCACCGAGAGTCTGAGACAGCGGGAGATTGTAGGAGGCATGGTGAGACAACAGTGTAATGTCAACTACGAAGGCACCGGGAGCTGCAGCCTGTAAGCCATTTGCTATGATGCAGTTTGCAAGGCAAATGAAGGGATCATCATCTCTTTCACTTCGTAGCCATAAGAGATGCGCAGAATGACAGCGCCAACAACACTAAAAAATTCAAGAAATTCAACACCATATCAATGAGAGGATAAATACTACATACTGTCAGATGTGCTCCTGCAGTTCATCGGGTTTTGCAAGCACACACTTCAAGAATTGACAAGTCGCGACCTCCTCAATCTTGCTGTATGCATCCACTGTGGTGCAGCTGCCAATGATGTGATTCTTGCAGTGCCAGCGAAAACAGTCACCATAAGGGAGGAAAATTAAAGAGTCCTTCCAGTCAACAGGTTCGCCACCCATAGGAAGAACATGGCGGTCAGAGTATGGGGTGCTTTTGCCATGTAGGAATGTTCAAGAGACGTTGAATGGTTGAAGAGATGCTGTGGTAAATTACCGTAAATGGTGTTCTGACGTCTACTGACTTATTTGAGTTCCAAGGCATGTTGAGTGGTATATAGTGCAAAGCTCAAGAACATATCTCAACAATATTTCACTGTACAAAATATCAAGATCAGCGAAGGTGCCAATGAACTATATGTAGTCTCATGTAGAACAAGTGTGATACACTATAGTAATAATGTGTTATGTATGTTTCTTTCCTCAGCACACATTCTTGGGAGATTTATATAGAGATTGCACTCATTCCCCTGGTCACACAAATCTTTGAGTACAATCCATATATTCATAATCCAGTCATGACAGTATAGCACGTAATGTATTTTTGACCTTTATCCAAGTCTGATATTCAGCATGGCAAAGGGATGCATTATATTTCAAACCCAAGAAAACTTGGCCAACAAAACAATGTACCACTACAGAAATGAGAGCGCGCATGTAAGGAATGAAGAGAAAATTGCCAAGCACAAAGCTTAAAGTACATTCCATTGAAGCACTCAATGGCAGATGCAGCGGATGCACCTCCAAAGGCTCGTACAATCAAAAGAATACCAATGAGGATGCGCTATCAGCCAGTGACAAAATAACTGGTGCATGCGACAAGGGAGGGAGGTCATACAGGGCGGAAAGCATGGCCATACTACAAAAGGCAGCGACCAATGGCGGGGGAGATGATTGGACCCTGGTCAACGATCGTACAGTGCTTGACAGGTACAATGGGTCATTGAGGTTGACACGGTGAGGCATGGTTTAAAGGAATTGCGGGAAGGCATGGGGTGGTAAGTGAAGGGGTGGGAAGGCCTGAGGCCTGGTCGCCTGAGCACCGAGCAATGAGCATTGAGATGGGCCAGACTAATGAGTAAATCAGTAATAACAAATTGAGAGCAGTATACGGAGACTTACATGGCAGGGTAAACACTGAAAGAGATGGTGAGATGGTGTGCGTGAAAATAAATTTGGGGTGGGTGGTTGATGGCGGGATGTAAAGGCGGGATACCGCTCTAACAGCACTGCCGCAGCGCAGGTAAGTACCGTGACAAACATGGCACACACAATTGTCATACATGGCGTCCCCAGCACTCAGCATGCATGGTATCTGATCATGCATGACAACAGTAAGCAGCAGTGCTTGACATTTGCACTTCACATCATGCATGGTAGCATGCATGTTCTATCTGTGACCCTACTGAGGACTCGCTACAGTAAAAACATGCATGACTACAGTACTACAATTGTAGTTATTTCATGCATGAATAGGACAGTATGGCCTGCCTGACTCATCAAGCCAGACAAAATATTCCTTTGGAATATCTCTGTATGCTGCTTGCCATGTTGCACACAGTGCCTCATTTCGTTCCATGGCCATTTTTGAGACTTTTTTGTGGGTTACAGCCATACAACAAAGAGTGCAAGAAAGTGTTGTGATGGAAACTTCAATATTGCAAGTAATAAAAAGCTTTTCTTGAAGCTCATCAAGGTATACTGAAGGGTTGGCATCAAGAATGGAATGGATGTATGTGAGGTCTCCTTGGTCAAGTGTTCGTGGATGTTGACTCCTCGTATGAAATGGATTGTTTGCTTGGCCAAAGTCATGATACAGATGGAGGATGTTATAGACAGTTCGTTCAGTACATCCAACAATCTCAGCAATATCTGTTGCAGTTCTGTGCTATTCGTAGCGTGAATAGTATGGACGCATTTGGACCAACCCCCGACACTACTGTACGCTGTTATCTACATAGGTGCCTGTCCTTGGATTCAGCCAGAGTCCCTGCTGCAATGGATCATTGATCAGAAGTCACGGATTTTGTGCCCCAACGCCCACATCAGCAAATGTGCAGAGGGTCCTGGATGGCCTGGAGAGTCTGGCTCCAGGTTATCAGGCTACCTGATTCGAGCCTGTGTCCACATGAATCTGCCATGACCAGATTGACATGACTGATACCAGATCACTACCAGATAGCTTACAGATCCTTAACAGATAGCTTACAGATCACAACCAGCCGTGGACCAGACATGATGATAAAATCAATACATTCGATCATATTCAGTAGCGAAAAATGTAGAATAATACCAGTGGTAATACTTGGCGCTGTTTTAATACTCAGCACTGTTCGGTCAATGACACAAGGCACTTGGGAAATAATCAGACCAGTACAATTGTGACTCGGTAAGACTCACCAGCCTAAGGATTCTCTTCATCGTCATCCGAGAGGGGAATAGCATCACGGACATCCATGGAGTCGTCATCCGAGGTAACATGGGCACGATGGGCAAGAGAGTCTTCACCTACCAGCTCCCACATGCCATCCACAATCTGATCCCACTTTTTATCAGAAAGTTGAGCCGTCTGGAGGGAGTACTGCATAGCGACACTGCCCCATGCTGCATTGAAGGAAACATTTTTCGTGGGCTGGGAAGGGAGACCAGTGCGCTTCACCTCCTTTGCAGCTTCTTTTGCAGAATCACCATCTTTGTACAAAAACAGTGCGTGGTGCACCTGCAAAATGGAGGTTAGTAGGACTTTAACCAATGATTTGGGACTCACCACAGCCGCACAAACCCCCAATGCACCTGCAGGTTTCCCAAAGGCTTGAAATGATGTTCCACAATGCCTCACATGTGCCGCAAGTAACTCCAGGAGCATGGGAGCCAACCACAATTGCTTCAGACTCTGTGACACTGTGAGGACAATGACCAATAATGATTCTGAGTGATGCTGACTCGGACATACCTCCTGATCTGCATAAATGAATGGTACGCGTTTTTGACCATCTATTTTTTGAGGCAGGCGATCTTGGACAAATTTGATACGAGCATTGGTGTCAAGTCGATATTCTGCTTTTTTGAGTTCACGTTCAAGAATCTTGATGGCATTTTTCCCAAACATACTCTGCCCCTCATTCAGCCGGTCTGTTGCCTCAAAGTGGAAGTTACATCAGCGTCCGAGGCACCTAAACTGACTATACATACCACTTTCTTGATAGCAGGACACTTCGTGACATCAACCTTATTGTGTGAGAAGAGAAGATCCCACAATTTCTGCAGCTTGCTAGAGACCTCTGGGTGTTCGTTTGTACCAAAGGGATCAGTGGTTGTCCCAGCCCAATCGATCAGTGCACAGATCAATTGTGCCCATATCTCATTGTCCTTCTTATCCACAAAAGGTAGGTCTTCAAGCTTTAACTTCTTGAGTGGCTTTGATTTATCTGAGCGCTTGATTTCTTCCACAACAGCATCGTCAGCTCCCTTTCGCATCAATGTCAAGCCCATCTGAATGCAACAGATGTGTCAGTAAACACTTGTGTAAGTAGCGGTTGGGTACATTAGCAGTGACTCGCGCTGACTTGGTTCCCGTGGCACCGATTTCCTTTGGCAGTTTGGGGCTGCTGCCCTTCTTCTTGCAAGTCACAGCCAGTGACTCTGGTGTCTCATCGTGGGCAAACTCTCCATCTTCATCTCCTTCAGTTGTTGGTGTGGTCATGCTGCTGCGAGATGATGCACAAGACATTGAACGGGAAAGTGTATCCGAGGCTGCAGGTATGAGTTCTTCATCTGAAACTCTAGTCAAACTGTACCTCACCGATTTTGTTGTCAACCCAACAATTTTCTTCCAGTCAGCTTGCAAGTTACTCGAATGTGCACCCTTCACACGTTTAGTCTGCAATGAACCACTGCTACTTTGTTGCTCGGTAAGTCGATCAGAAATTTGGGTCCATATTCAACACTGACCGTTCCGCTGTGTCAGTTTCTTGTGATTCGGTCCCCTTGCGCTTCCTGACTGTTATTCCCGCTGTTGCTGTGGTCTTCCTTGCCTTCATGATTTCTTCTCGTAAGACCCGTTTCTGGATAGGTAAGAGTTGTTGCACATCTATAGCATAGAATCACATCGACTCACTTTCTCTTTTGATGCAGTGCTTTTCTTACCCTTCCGAGGCTTGCAGACTTCTTCTTTGACGCTACTACTGTCATGCTCCTCAGGCTCATCATCTTCGCTATTATCGCCAGTGCCTCCCTCGGAGCTTCGGGACTCTGAGTCATCAGATGGCTGAAAAGCTTCATCTGACTCTGGATCCTCATCGTCGCTGGCAGCTGTTTGGGATCAGGTAAGCTCATGTTTGACTGACTCCGATGGACAGCAACTTGACCTGTTGCAACAGAATAGTAACCCTTGGCCTTGTAAGTGGATCTGTCTGCCTGTGGGCGATAGGGGGGGTAGCTTTGCCATAATTGTGATCGTCTCTTTTTAGTGAGTCTTCCATCGCAGCAATGCATTTGATGCCTTCTTGATGTTCCTTCTCTACTTTAGCTACTTCTTCCCAGTTTTTTGCTGCTGCTGCAGCATCTTGGGCTTGCTTTTCAGCTGGTGTTCGGTGCTTGGTTTTACCCTTGAGTAGAACTTTGGCAGGATGAGTATTTGCATTTGAGCAACTTGGCCGAGTCATGATAAAGTTGAAGGGATACTTGTTGGACTCCGATGTGCTGTCAAAATTTTTCCAAGGTTTGTTTCCTGCAAACAAACTGTCTTACCAATATCTTGCACCGGACTTATCACTCAGGCCCCTCCCAATAGCATTATGCTGAGCCGACTCGCTTGTTCATTCACTGGATGTCCTGAAACCTTCAAATCTCAACGTGGCCGGATGAAACACATTTGCACCTATCATGGTTCTGTTGACACCATCCCGAATCCAACTTCTGCTGACTCAAACCCTCATTCTGACTCGGACCCCCAAGATTTCAATTTCAATTTTGACCGTGACCTCATCAATGATGACTATTTCAATGATCACAGCCCTCAGCCTGAAGGTCACTCCAATCGACATCAATCACAGTACATACCTCACCCACATCTCTGTGGTAAGTCAAATACAATCATGTCTTCAACTTCGAACAGATGTAAAGTTGAACACTCTCTAGGTGACCCTTGCGACCTTGAAGGCAACCCTCTTCCTCCAAATGCCCCCAAGCCTGCGCGCTATGTAGGTCCTCAAGACAGCTGGGCACCCTTTGGGGATCAAGCCGAATACTTACTCGCGGACTTCTTGTTCTGAAAAGAGGAGATGTCTGCCCCCAACATTGATTTTCTGATGGAGTTGTGGGCATTCAAAGCAGCCAAGTATGAAGAGGACAGCCCATTTAAATCTCACTGTGATGTATATGCCACAATCGATGTGATCCGTGCGGGTGATGTGCCTTGGGAATGTTTCTCTGTAACACCACAACATGACCTTGATGAGTCGGACGTGCCCCAGTGGCAACAGACTGAATATCAAGTATGGTATCGAGATCCTGACGCTGTCATACAGGCCATGCTGGCGAACCCTGACTTTGCTGGGCAGTTTGATTATGCCCCATATGTTCATTATGACCAGTCGGGGAAGCGTCATTGGAAGGACTTCATGTCTGGCAACTACACGTGGCACAAGTCCATGAGTATCCTGGCTTATATTCTTCATAAATATCTAACCGACGTTGGCGCTTGCAGGATACAATATATGAGAATGACCCATCAACAGATGGATCCATGTACGTTGGAGTCATCCTTGGAAGTGACAAAACAACAGTATCTGTTGCCACTGGTCATGTCAAGTATCATCCGTTGTATTTGTCAATCGGAAATCCACATAATTGCATCAGGCGAGCTCACCGTAATGCGGTCACTCCAATTGGGTTTCTTGCCATTCCAAAGGGTACATGAAATAGTTCTATTGTGTGCCCTTTTGACACTATTTTTCAGCTGATCGCAAATATGATAATGACGCTCAATTTCGAACCTTCAAGCGCCAGCTTTATCATTCATCCCTGGTGGCCATCCTCAAGTCACTTGAAGGTCCAATGACGAAGCCAATTGTCTGACAATGCCCCGATGGACATTTTCGTCGAGTCATCTATGACTTGGCGGCTTTTATTGCGGACTATCCTGAACAAGTGATGCTTGTGGGTATTGTGCAAAATTGGTGTGTGAAGTAAGTGGACTGCGGACTAGCTTTGATAGCTTTGTTTGACTTACGCTTGGTTACAGGTGCACTGCACTGCCTGAGGATCTTGATGGGAGCACTGCTGAGCATCGGTCTCAAGAATATACTGATGTGCTGGTTGAAACTTTCAATTCGGATGTGTTGTGGGATCAGTATGGGATAGATGATGATATTGTAGTAAGTGTTGTAGAACTCTGGAATTTGCATGTGTGTTTGATGAAATGGTCCCTTTAGCCCTTTACAAACAATTTTCCACGTGCGGACATCCATGAAATGCTGTCACCAGACCTCCTTCATCAAGTTATCAAGGGATGCTTCAAGGATCATCTGGTGACTTGGACTGGTGAGTATCTGAAGGAAGTCCATGGTGAGGCATGTGCCAATGAGATCATCGATGATATAGATCACCGGTGCATCATACTTCTTGCAGCTGCCAGAGTGGTACTGATCCGCTTGACATGGACTTGCAGAATTGCTGCTACACCAGCTTTCCCTGGCCTGCAAAGGTTTCCTGAGGGTCGCCGCTTTAAACAATGGACTGGGGACAACTCAAAGGCATTAATGAAGGTAATGCTCATCATATTCTGTCCGAAATCTAATTTATTCACACTTGTACACTGACAGGTATACATCCCTGCAATTGTAGAATATGTTCCTCCCCAGCTTGTTGAGTGCCTCAGCGCATTCCTCAATTTTTGCTACCTTGTACGACAGTCCGAACTTGGAGAAGACTCCTTGGCGGAAATCAAACAGGCACTACACAATTTTCATGAGGCCCACGAGATTTTTCGTGACTCTGGGGTCCGGCCAAAGGGTTTTGCGCTGCCACGTCAGCATTCAATGGTACACTATATCCGTCTGATTCAAGAATTTGGCGCTCCAAATGGCCTATGCTCATCAATCACCGAGTCTTGCCACATCACAGCAGTCAAGAAGCCATGGTGTCGATCGAATCAGTATGATGCACTTGGCCAGATGCTGCTCACAAACCAGTGGCTGGACAAGCTCACAGCCGCACATGTTGACTTTGTGGCACAAGGACTTCTGCCAGCCTCACATGCGCCCCCACCCAGGCGTGGCCTTGACTTTGTGGATGAGGGTATTGATAATGATGCACCAGACATCGAAAGAGTCCAAGGATCGGTTGTTTTGGCACGCACACCTCGTACGTCTTTTTGCAGTATATGTGAATACATCAATTCTAATCACATCTACAAACATGCAGAACGTGGCTATCCTCGGACACTCGAGACACTCGCAGTGCATCTCCAGCAGCCCAACCTTCCCTTACTTGCTCGCGAGTTCCTTTACAGCCAATTGAACCCTGGCGCAGCTCAGATTGACTGGAATCACTTACCACAGATCGACAGTCCAATTGCTGTGTTCCATTCTGCTGTGGCTACTTTCTCGGCACCTAGCGATATCTCCAGGACCCATGGCATGCATTGTGAGTTGATTCGTTGCACTCCATTGTGGCGTCGGAAGCATCCACGTCATGATTGTGTCTTTGTGGTTGAAGACCAGGAAAAGGCTGGAATGAGGGGCATGATCATTGGGCGGGTCAAGCTATTTTTTTCATTTGCTTTCAAGGGTGTGACATACCCTTGTGCATTGATTGACAGGTTTTCACAGATGGGGAGAGGCCCAGATTCAATGATGGGCATGTGGAAGGTGAAGCCCGAGGTTTCTGGGCAGCATGGGACTCGTGTTCAGTCCATTGAGCATGTTGACACAATCCTTCGAAGTGCTCATCTCATCCCCGTCTTTGGCAGCGGTCCCCTCCCTGATGGTTTTCATTTTTCTTATTCTCTTGATGTGTTTAATTCTTACTATGTAAATAAGTATGCAGATCATCATGCACATGAAATTGTGTTCTGAGCATACATGTCTGAGCATGTGGCAATTTTCTTGCTCTAACTTGAATTTGTCATGCGTGAGAAGCAAACACCTACCAGATCGCCAGGACATCCAGGTCACTGTCAGGATGTTCAGGCATTGACCAGGTGTGGCCAGGTGCCTGTACATTTACTGATGCAGAAGCTCGCCACCGCCTCATCCAGTACTCTATCCTTCTAATCAGTATCTTAATCAGCGCTACGAGCAGTGTCCTACAATCCATGTATTTGAAGGATCCAGAGCCATGTCATACCTCTGCTCTCTCAGGCGAAGCATGGGTCATGGAGTTATTGTCTGGTCACCCAGATCGAATACAGAGTGAACTTGGTGTGCATGCACACATTTTTGCAGCACTTATCTCTGAAATTTGTGCCCTCAGACACACCAACTCCAAGTTTGTTTCGCTAGAAGAACAACTTGTGATTTTCCTGTACACTGCTGTCACAGGCTTGTCTATCAAGCACATCAGCGAAAGATTTCAATGTTTGAATGATACAATTTCTCAGTAAGTAGTATGTGCTAATAACTGTTGGTAGACTGATTGTATGTTCTATGTAGTTATTTTCGCAAAATGCTCACCATCTTCTCGTCCTCCCCCTTCTATATGAAGTATGTTCAGTTGCTGGATGCCTCCATCCCCAACAAAATTTGCTGTAACCCCAAGTTTTGGCTGTTCTTCAAGGATGCCATTGGGGCCATTGATGGGAGCCACATCCATGCATCACCTTGTGCATTTGAATGAGGCCTGTATCGAAATCGAAAGGGTTTTGTTTCCCAGAATTGTCTCTTCGCCTGCAACTTCGAGCTCAACTTCACATATGCCCTCACTGGCTGGGAGGGCTCAGCCACAGACGCACATGTCTACGAGGCTGCAGAGGGTCATGACCTTCACATTCCCATAGGGAAATACTTCCTTGCAGATGCAGGTTTCCCTCTGCGGCCTGAACTACTCATTCCTTACCGTAATGTGCACTACCACCTCACGGAATGGGGCCGCGCAAGTGTTCGGTGAGTGTACTGGCCATTATTCTTCCTGCTGTGCACTGATTTCCCGCAGGCCAACTACCAAACAAGAATTATTTAACCTCCGTCACACATCAGCTCGAAATGTCATCGAGTGAATATTCAGTGTCTTGAAATGACATTTCCGCATCCTCCTTCTATCCCCATCATATGCTATGGGTATACAAGCTCAGATTCCAGCTGCATTGTGCAGCATTCACAATTTCATCCGCTTTCACGATCCTGCAGAAGGTAGACTGCCAGACGCAGACTATTTGCCTGATGATGCACCTGCTGCAAACTCAGAGGGTGCACCAGCAGAAGACCACGTGGCTGTGCACGACAATCTACATTTGATGCGCAATGGCATTGCTGTTACAGGAAAACCTGGCTTTCCAACAGTGCACTTGATAGGGTCAATCCCATGTCCGCTTCATGGAGCACCGAGACGATGGAAGACTGAATGGAGGCTGTCCATCCAGAATGACTGACTAAAGGTTCAAAGAAGAAGCTAGAGCCATATATCACAAGTGAAGATCAAGTTAGAGAAATACATGGTCTAACTACAGTGGTATATATAGGTATCGTCCTATGAGTTCAGGGTAGGCTTGGGTAGCCAGAAAGTGTCCCAACTAGGTAAGCATCTATGTGAGTCATAAGGACTCAGAGATAAGAGTACCGGTCCAATGGTAAGGGTCAAGGGTATAGTACCGGCACAGCGGTAGGTGTCCAAGTCAGATAACGCTATCTGTCATGATAAGCGATAGGATAAACGATAGTCGTTACTGGTGTATTGGTAGAGGCGATAAGGGAGAAGTGTGCGGCTTCTATTGATCCCAGTCTAGGTCGGTTCCAGAGCTGTCCTGCTCCAACAGCTGTCATGCTGTGCTCTGCAGTTTAGTCACATGCTGGTGATGTCATCTGTCATGTGTTGTAATGCGGTTGTGATGGCGACATTTGGTGGAGATGATAGGGGTCTGAGGGTCCCTGTAACAATTGCTGAAGCAATGTGGGTGGACTATCAACACATTTTGCAGGAAAGACATGCTCTCGAAGATGACGATGACGACGATCTATCAGACCAAGGTATCTTGGAGGATGAGGGTGGACTGGGCTAATTCTCACTAGTAGCACGTAGTTGAACTTGTACAATATATCATGATATGAAACACGCGCAATACAGGATGTGGGATACTACATGTTGGTACGATAAATGTGACAGGCGGTGATAGCTCTACACAGACCCAAGGAGTCCCAAGATAAATTCACAGTGCATCTCAAAGTCATCCTCCAGCTCAACATAAGCAGCGAGATTGTTCTCGCCTCCTGAATGAGAAAAGATCCGCAAGAGCTTGGCTCTCTGAGCGACTGACAGGTCTCCATCTCCAGTGCACATAATTGCCAGGCCACGAGAAATCATGGTAACCACTTGAACAACTGGCACCGGCTCAGCGACCACATTTTTGTCGATATTTTTGTCGATAACGTTGGTGAGGCAATTGATAGTACCTTGCATGTTCATGATGGTGGCCGCTGGAGTAATCTTGGCAGCTATTTTGGCAGCGCTGCTCATCCCCATCTGTGCACTGTCATACGCCGACACTTGAGCCTTCTTGAAGGCTGGTGACTGGGATGAGTGCATCAATGTTGGCGAAAGGGGGAGAGTTGATGAGTGGTGACTATCAGTGTAGCTGGACTTGGGGGTGGCATTGGAATTGTAGGATGACGTCTCCAGGGTGTCAAGCAGGGTATTGGTGCACAAGCGTTTACTGGACTGGGAGCCAGCAGTAGTAGCAGAGATCCCATGGAACAGGGCGCTAGGGGGCATTGTCAAGTCAGGTCTCATGTCTGGCACATCGCTAGGGCCAGTGGCGCTAGGGTCTATGTCCATATCGAGAAGGTCAAGGCTCCCATCAGCACCCTCGAGCACATCATCTATATTGATGGAGGCGGGGGCTGCTGTGGCAGGGTGGAAAGAGTGGCGTCCACGAGCACCATTGTTCTTGCCCAGGATGGTCTGCATGTCATCATACCGAGGCCATCCTTTGTTGCAAAGAAGGTGTAGTGTAGCTCGCAACTACTTTGATGTCAGTCCATGTCCCAACACGCTGTGCCATAGTGACATACCTTTGGTGCAACATACGCATCCCAGACACTGGCAGCAGCAACACCCTCGATTCCAGCTCCTCGTACATTGTCCCAGTGGAAACCAGACACATTGTGGTAGATCTTGATTTGATTGAAGGTTCTTTTGAGCTAAGATCTGGTCAACCCATGATCAATCAAGATAAGATCATATACACACCAAGGTCCACTTTGTCTTTGCCATCTTAACCATCTTTTGTGGGCCTATAGTCTGAATCACCTCATTAGTGTTGATAGCAGCCGCTGCGCTGTTGAAGGTAGTCATCGGGAAATTTCCACCATCACCGCCTGCTGCCTGGTTCTCGATCAAGTGCTGAAGTAGGACATCCACCTCCGATTCTTGCCAATGTGCCTTTGTGCTGTTGGCCGGTTGTGTTTTCTCGGGTTCAAGTTGAGCCATGAGTACAGTTGCAAAGTTTGCACAGATGGCGGTGAGGGCAACAACACTAGTACAAATTCTTTGGCGACGATGACAATCAATAAGAGCCAGTTCGTCAATGAGATGTTGACGAACATCTGGCAAAATAACATCACGTGCGAAGGTTGTCGGCTTGGGCCATCCCAAGGGTCGGAACTTGAACATACTATCTAGCCGTCGCAGTACTAGTATAATTATGTACTGTATATTCCTGACAATGGATGCTCTACCAGCAGTCCCTGCTCCCATCGACCTTCGATTGGATGTCCCGCTATTCATGCCCCATCGTCCCAAAGTCCAGCAATGTCTCATATGATACACGATCCTTTTGATCAGCATCTTGATTAGCACTACAACTAGTATCTTACACTCAATCTATCCAAAAGATCCAGAACCATATCACACATCTGCTCTCTCAGGAGAAGCATGGGTCATAGAACTATTAACTGGTCACCCCGAGCGTATATGATGCGAGCTTGGTGTACATGCGCATGTGTTCGCAGAACTCATCTCAGAGATTTGTACCCTTGGGCACACAGACTCCAAGTTCATCTCACTAGAGGAATAACTAGCAATTTTCCTCTATGCAGTAGTCATGGGCTTACCTATCAGACACACTGGTAAAAGATTTCAATGTTCGAATGAGACTATATCTCGGTGAGGGTGATATTTTTAATTGCACGCTATATCTCATTGTACATAGTTATTTTCGCAGGATGCTCTTTATCTTTTTGTCCCCCCCCCTTCTATTCAAAATATGTTCGCTTGCCGGATGCATCTATTTCATGCAAAATTCGCAAGAACCCCAAGTTCTGGCCATTTTTCAAGGATACCATTGGGGCCATCGACGGAAGCCATATTCACGTGTCACCTCGTGCGTTTGAACACGGGCCTTATCATAATCGCAAGGGATCTGTATCTCAAAATTGTCTCTTTGCTTGTGACTTCAGGATGAACTTTACATACGCGCTTACTGGCTGGGAAGGGTCGGCCACAGATGCCTGCATCTATGAGGATGCCCATGCTCATGACCTTCACATACCTCCAGGAAAGTACTTTCTCGCAGATGCTGGCTTTCCTCTACGGCCTGAGTTACTTGTACCATATTGTGGTGTCCACTACCACCTCGCGGAATGGGGCTGCGCGAGCATAAGGTGAGATTTCTTTTTTCAGCCGCTGGAGTGTACTAATTTTTGCCTATAGACCAGCTAACAAAAAAGAACTATTCAACTTGCGTCATGCATCAGCATGCAACGTCATCGAACACATCTTTGGTGTCTTGAAACGGTGCTTCTGCATTCTCCTTCTATCGCTGTCATATGCTATGGAGGTTCAGGCACAGATCCCTGCCGCTTTGTGCAGCCTACATAACTTTATCTGTTTCCATGACCCTACAGAAGGCCCCATCCCTGTTGAT